AGCAGCGGGACCTTAGCATATAATAGGATATATATACAATATATACAAATACACAATAATGGACACAGACTATAAAGGGCACACAGTTTCATTCACTAATGAAAGTCAAACATGTTTGTTTCCACTGTTTTATTGTGTGCCTGTCGCGATAAGCAATTAATTGACTTATCGTACGATAAATAAAAATGAACTCGATAACTTTTCTGACCTCGATAAATTGCCATTTACATGAGGATGTGACTAGCAGTTTGAAAGGATGTACTTGAATTATTATTATATATTATCATTATGTCAGTGGTCTAAAATGGTCATACAACGGTGCCGACAATATTATCGTTTATCGCAATAATTTCCGGGAAAATGTATCCAACAAAATTAATTATCGTGAGAGGCCTATACATGAAACACACACACAAACAAATCTACAGACTTACTCCAAACTGCCAAATATATTAATTAACACACACTCACTCTCATATACTCTTTGACTCTATTTTGGCCTAGTAGAACAATAAGCAGCAGACTTTTACTTTTTTATCATTTCTACTGGATCTTAGATCTGCGCATGCGCAATACGGGTCGGCAGTTGCGGCTCCAGAGTATTTTTGTTGGGTAATCTATGGTAGGGCTAACCCATACAGTGGTGGGGCTCAAGTCAGTATTTGCAATGTAATTACATACACGCTCCCCCCGACAGTGAAACGCCACGCGTGAGGTTTAGATTATTTCCCTGTCTCAATCCAAATTGAACTGTATGAAATAAAAAGGCACATTTGTCTTGTAGTAAATAAAAAGGGCGACCTGGAGCCAATCCTGCAATTTCCCCACAGGTGAAAGAGTTGACATGCTGAAAACCCAACCCCTGCAGGGGGGTCTGGGGGGATTCTACCCCAGGAGATTTTTTGAAATACTAACATAAAATACACATTCTGGTACACTCTTGAGAAGAAAAATAAATAAATCTATTACTACACGACATATTTAAAAAAATGAATGCCATATTAGTTTTGTGTTACTTTGTTCTGAAAGCTGAACCTGCTCCTCACAGAGAGAAGAGGGAAGAGGCTGTGTGAATTACTTTACATTGTGGATAAGGGTGGATAGCCCCCATTGTTCTGTGTGTCAAAATGAAAGACAGCCCACACACCTATCATCAAACCGTGGGGTCTTTTTTCATTACGTGTTGATTTCTATCAACACGTAATGTTATATAGAGATGTACTACCGCAAAAGTATTCTCCGTCGGGACTTCCTGCAACAACACCACGCCGTTATCGTGATTCTGATTGGCCAGAAGACATTATCAAAGATGGTCTATTGAGAAGACGATCACTACGTGACAAAAGTTTTCAAAACCGTTTCTAGTCTTCGGTATTCTTGTTTTTGGCGTGAGAATAGTTTGGACAGCGTGAGAGCGTGAGATTGAGAGTGAAAGCGTGTCACACGCCAGATGCGTGAGAGTTGGCAACCCTGTTATAAAGTTGTGTATATTTACAGACTGTTGCAAAAACTAAGAAGCTTATAAACATCAGGTTTAAAACTAAAAGAGCTTTACAAAAAAGTAACACAATTAAAGATGTTTGGAGTTTTATTTGAGTTATTATTTTTTATTTTTTGTCCAAGAGCTGATTTGAAACCGTTGTTACATACAGTTACGGCATTTCCTGTTTCTGCCGGAGAGGGGAGTTTGTCCCAAAGCTTGCTGCTGTATTTACTCCCTCCATCTGACAGGAGGGAGCCTCGTTGAGCTGCGAGTGTCACTCCGCCACGGAGTTCACTCCGTCACGGAGTGGGTAGGGTGTGGTTTGGAATTGGGCCAAAGTTTTGTGATGAGGCCCTCTGTGTCGCGAACGTCGACGGGGGAGGGGGGGGGGGGCGCGCTAGTGGAGCACGCGCGTGAACTGCGAGCAACTGCGACGCGCCTAATTGTGGCGCATTTGAGATTGATGAGGCTCCCTCCGCGAGGTGAGGTCCCCTCCGCGAGGTGAGGCGAGGCCCCACGCAGTCTGCGTGATCTGCGTGTAGGGAGGGGCGGGCCTGGTTAGGTTAGAATACATCAAATCAGTCAGACTTCAGACAGGCCGTTCTCCATTTTGACTGCGCTGCGCTGTCGCATGGTATGTTGCTTTGATGAATCAGAAAACAGGAAATAATAAAAGTTTACACCACTTGTAGAAGTCTCATTGGACTCTAGGACGCTGATGTTCTGACATCCAGTAAAACAGAGTAAATCATGTGTTAAAAAGCAGATACTGGTGTTAACACTCACCCTGTTGTCCTCCAGCTCCGTCCAGCTGTAAAATGGCTTCTGGCACTCTGACAAGTCTGACTTCATACTTCCACTTTCAACTTCCCTCCCTGTCTGCAGCTCCTCCTCTTGATTCATAACCAGCCTTATCAGCTGAACCAGTTCACAAACAGGGACTATGTTCAGTGAGATAGAAATAGAGCTAAACACAAGCTCAACAAAGTTATTGAAATAAACATATTAAAACCACAGTGTGAAAATCACCCAGTAAACATCCTGCATTCAAAACCTTACTTTAGTTAAAGTGTGTAGGTATTTAAGTACTCTAGTGGTAATGGTGCATTAAATTGTTCCCTATTATATATATATATTTGTTTCTGGATTAATAACCCTGCTGCATTTATTGCATATTACTCTATTTTCCCATAATATGGATGGACTTTTTTGTTATTGGCACCAGACGAACACAACTGTGTTTAAATGTTAGATCAAGAGTTTAATAGACCTTTTTATACATAGATTTCTAGTGATTTCAACCCACCATTGAGCGCTGTTAAAAAGCAACAAATACAACATCAGATACAAAAGTGAACCATTGATGCCTGAGCTGGACTGATCCATTTTCTGATGGCTTAATATTTTCTCAAATATACTGAATACAAAGAAAACAAAAAAAGGCTTAATTTAATCCAATGTTTTGACTAAATGTCCTCCAATTCTGGAATGATCCAAATAAAAAGTGAGTCAAGCTCCAGCAAGAGGACAATATTTAAATGTTATCAGATTCACCAGCTAGCTAGCAGTTAGCATTAATTAGCATTGCTAGTGTAACCCTTTATGAAGCCTTACCCTGCTGGTAGGAGATCTGTAATGCTAACGATGGCTTCAGTATCTATAGTGTCTAATTCTAGATCTCTAAGGTATCCCAAACCCAAAATACACAACAACGGTTTACTCTAATTCTAGGTTGGATTAGGATATTGGTTTAGCAAACTCTATAAGTAAGGGATATAGAAATATTCAACATTCTATACTCTGTCGTTTTTTTAAATATTAGACGTACTATACTCTGTAATTTATGACACATCAACAAGGACAGATATGAAGACATGATTTAGATTCCTTGACATTTCAGAAAATATTATGAAAATTCCAAGAAAAAAAAACACAGTATGTCTGAAACATTGATCTAAAGTCAATCATCTTCCGTGACATACTATGACTTTTTTTCATGAAATGTCAAGGAATCTAAATAATATCATGTCTTCATATCTGTCCTTGTTGATGTTGCAAATGGAGCTGCTGTGATGTAAAATGTCAGACTTGATCTAACCATTACAATATTATCGTATCGTATATCAACTATAAAAAAAGTCTGAAAAAAACATTTTAAAAATCATAGTGTTTCAAGTCCATATTAAAGTCTGTTTAAAAACATCACTGCATATGTTATTAACTAAAAAGTCATACTATAGTATGTTGAAAATATCAGACAAAAACGACTTAGTATAGTATCTCGAATAAATAGTCCCAGTATTGTATGTCGAACATTTTCCGTAATAGAGTGTGTAAAAGAAAGCTCATATTATATAATATGTAAAAGTCATAGTACAGTATGTCTCAAATATCAGAAAAAGCGACTTCATAAAGTATCTAAAATAAATAGTGTTGTGTGTCGATACAATTTGAAAAAAAAGTCGTAGTACAGTATTTAAAAAAACCTCATTGTACAGTATTTTTTAAAAAAAAGTCATAGTACAGTATGACTTTTTTTCAACATAGTATAACGAAATGTCAAGGAATCTAAATAATATCATGTCTTCATATCTGTCCTTGTTGATGTTGCAAATGGAGCTGCTGTGATGTAAAATGTCAGACTTGATCTGACCATTACATTATTATTGTATCGTATATCGTACAAAATACTGTGTTAAATTACAAAATACATGGTTCTGTTCTCCTTGTATGGCGTCAAACGGGTGGATATTCATCATCATCATATTGTAAAATGAATCTTCAGAAACACCACAGTCGTCCTGAGTTTTGTGTTTGTTTTTAAGGTAAACATCTAAGGCCCCGTTTGCACGAGGACGAAACGGGTTGTATCCGCATAGTTTCTCTCGTGTATAGCCCGTTCGTTCACACGAGGCCGTAGCGGACAGCGGAAACGGACCCCGCAAACGATAATGGGTCCCAAGGTGGATAGATCTGCAAACAGAACGCTCTGGGGGGCCAAACGGCTCCGTGTGTACGTCCTATACGATCATTTCCCGATAGATGAAGCCATAGCCCCGCCTCTCCCCACCTCTGCTTCTCACTGCTGTAGCATGGTCAGTAGCTACTGCTACTGACCATGCTACAGATGTTAGTGCAAAATCTACAGCTCCTCTACCACAACCATCAGCAACAAGTGGACATGGAGAACTACATGAACTACACGTTGCTAAATCCACCGCGGGGCATAAACAGAAGGGCAACCATGCTCCGGGGTCTTCTTCGCTGCTTTTGGTGTATTTTGTGGCGGCAGCAGCGCCACTTACAGGCCCGGCATATGTACTACAGCGTTTCCAGCGGGTCGAGCGGTCTCGTGTGAACGGACACGTTAAATGAATCGAATGCGTGTGAACGGAAGACTTTTTTGAAAACGCATACGGCGCGTAAACGCAAACGTTCCCGTGTAAATGGGGTCTAATAGTGAATAGAGTTCATGAAGCTGTTGAGTCTACAATAAAGTAATCCTTCACAAAACCAATAAACACACAGCAGAGAGTTTATTTCTCAGGATGTACAGTTGTCATGCAGGTTTAATAACTGTTCAGTTTATATTAATCGGCGGGGGGAGGGAGGGTCTTAGCGACAGTTTCTATATTCATCTTAGATCTTCATCCTTAATGTGTAATAGTTACAAAACAGCTGAACAGCTAAATAAATAAGTTAAATATTAAGCTCTCAGTCCAGACTCATGTCTTCGTCGTCGTCCTTCTTGTCCTTGGAGTCTCCGTCCTGGTCCGACTTTGTCTCCGTCTCCATGGCTTTGGCAAAAGCTTCGACGTCTGCAGAGAGAGAGAGAAGAGATCATGAATTACTGCTGCGAGAACTGATGGTTTTATTATTAACACAGTCTAAAGAAATACCAGTCAATGAAGTGGGTCAGAGTATAGCATCTACTAAAAAAGGTCACGGTAAAATGACGTAGTGTCAGTGGCGACTGGTCATTAGGGGCAGGTGGGGCACAGCCCCACCTAGTGTCAGCAGAAAGTATTACAAATAATGATTACAAAAAATGCAAAAAATGAATTAAAAAATATATAAAATATATTTTAAGATCATGTTTAATCATCTGATTCGTCTGTACATTGCTGTTTTAGTCTGTGTTCTTCTAATTAGTGTCTACAGTGTGTGCCTATTGAGCTTTATATATACACAGTGGCGTTTTTATATGTACAAAAGTGGTGGGGCACAAAAAACGTAGATGTCTATATATAAGCTTCTGCAGTGACGTGCAGTGAGGTTCATGGCTGGTGAGGCACTGGCACTGACTCTTCAGGTTTACAAATATTATATTTTGACCTAAACCAAAATATAATATTATTTTCAAAAGCTTTTTTTGTCTGATGCTTTGATTAATTTTAAACAGACAGTTCAACAAAAGGATACCCAAAAAATGTAATTTTATCATTTAAATATTGAATTGTTCTCTCTTAGTAAGATCCCATTTTCAATAAAATGGCGGTCTTACCTTGACTTGAAGATGAAGTCCATTTGCCTATCCTTCTGGACAAACATTTCTATTACTTTTTTGTAAAAGTCCTCCTTATGTTCTTGTAGTTTCAAAAGTCTATCATAAATCTAATCCATAGATTTATGATTCAAAAATTATGAAAGTAGGGTAGACATGTGGATATTATCCGGCTAATCAAAACGGGCATTTATCTAACAGGTACGTTTCCCACAGATCTTATTTTGAGCTATTTTCTAAATTCCTATGGAGAAACCTCATTGCTTTTTTGTCGAGGGACGCCATGCGCAGCTTACTTCCTGGTTTTAGGACGCGTCACTGCAGCTCTCTCGTCTCCTCTTCACACACCACACTTTTCGCGGCACACGTACTTACAGCCAATCAGCTCTGAATTATGTGAGATGACGTATGGTGGGGATGGCAGCTCAGTGCCCCTATGGTCATTATTTTTTTGCCACACACATTAAATAGGAAAATACTCTGAGCATGCGCAGTGTAGTTTTTACAGTCACCGTTCACTTAGACAGTGAGAGGAAGGGGCATGATCGGGTTTTGTCCCACATGGCTCTAAACAGCTCAATAGGCACACACTGTAGACACTAATTAGAAGAACACAGACTAAAACAGCAATGTACAGACGAATCAGATGATTAAACATGATCTTAAAATATATTTTATATTTTTTTTAATTCTTTTTTTGCATTTTTTGTAATCATTATTTGTAATACTTTCTGCTGACACTAGGTGGGGCTGTGCCCAACCTGCCCCTAATGACCAGTCGCCACTGTATATACAGTCTATGCTATTGAGCTGTTTAGAGCCAAGTGGGACAAAACCTGATCATGCCCCTCCCTCTCACTGTCTGAGTGAACGGTGACTGTAAAAACTACACTGCGCATGCTCAGAGTATTTTCCTATTTAATGTGTGTGGCAAAAAAATAATGACCATAGGGGCACTGAGCTGCCATCCCCACCATACGTCATCTCACATAATTCAGAGCTGATTGGCTGTAAGTACGTGTGCCGCGAAAAGTGTGGTGTGTGAAGAGGAGACGAGAGAGCTGCAGTGACGCGTCCTAAAACCAGGAAGTAAGCTGCGCGTGGCGTCCCTCGACAAAAAAGCAATGAGATTTCTCCATAGGATTTTAGAAAATAGCTCAAAATAAGATCTGTGGGAAACGTACCTGTTAGATAAATGCACGTTTTGTTCAGCCGGATAATATCCACATGTCTACCCTACTTTTATAATTTTTTTATCATAAATCTATCGATTAGATTTATGATAGACTTTTGAAACTACAAGAAGATAAGGAGGACTTTTACAAAAAAGTAATAGAAATGTTTGTCCAGAAGGATAGGCAAATGGAATTCATCTTCAAGTCAAGGTAAGACCGCAATTTTATTGAAAATGGGATCTTACTAAGAGAGAACAATTCAATATTTAAATGATAAAATGACATTTTTTGGGTATCCTTTTGTTGAACTGTCTGTTTAAAATTAATCGAAGCATCAGACAAAAAAAGCTTTTGAAAATAATATTATATTTTGGTTTAGGTCAAAATATAATATTTGTAAACCTGAAGAGTCAGTGCCAGTGCCTCACCAGCCATGAACCTCACTGCACGTCACTGCAGAAGCTTATATATAGACATCTAAGTTTTTTGTGCCCCACCACTTTTGTACATATAAAAACGCCACTGCGTAGTGTGTTGTGAAAAATCCCAGAAAATGTGTAGAAATTAGAAAAAGTCATATAATCGTAGTGTGTTATAACGCTTTGTGCAGAATGCTTTGGCAATACTGTGTAGTATAGTGTAAAACGATCCTAAATCCTCAGAATCGTAGAATAAGTCACAGTATAAATGTCCAAAAAGAACCTAAACCATGAAGGTGATTTTCCTCAGTAGATGTGAAACTCACCTCCTTTGTTGGCGGCGTCCACGGCTTCTGCAGGGAGACCAAACTGATTCATCAGAGGACCTAACTGACCTGAGGCCAGCGCACTGCTGAACATACTCATCGCCTGCACACACACACACACACACACACACACACACACACACACACACACACACACACACACACACACACACACACACACACACACACACACACACACAGTAAAAAGGTAGAAGTATTTTATATACAAACGTCCGTATCTCTCGTAAACATGGCGGTGTTAAATGAACATGAGGAAGCAACATGTTGGCACTGAACTCAATCAGACGTATTGAGGATGATATTGATACCTGCTGGAACTGAGGCGAGCTGAGAGTGTTGTTCAGCTCCTCGCTGCTCTGAGGGAGAGACTCTCCGGAGGGGAGGAAGGGAGAGAGACGCTGCTGCACCTCGGGGTGAGACAGGATGGGAGCCATGACCTCCGGGGTGAGCACGCTGGACAGATCCACTGCAGAAACCACATCTGTGCTTTAGCAAAGGTACAAGTACTCAGATCTGTGCTTTAGCAAAGGTACAAGTACTCAGATCTGTGCTTTAGTAAAGGTACAAGTACTCAGATCTGTGCTTTAGCAAAGGTACAAGTACTCACATCTGTGCTTTAGTAAAGGTACAAGTACTCAGATCTGTGCTTTAGTAAAGGTACAAGTACTCAGATCTGTGCTTTAGCAAAGGTACAAGTACTCAGATCTGTGCTTTAGCAAAGGTACAAGTACTCAGATTAGTGCTTTAGCAAAGGTACAAGTACTCAGATCTGTGCTTTAGCAAAGGTACAAGTACTCACATCTGTGCTTCAGCAAAGGTACAAGTACTCAGATCTGTGCTTTAGTAAAGGTACAAGTACTCACATCTGTGCTTTAGCAAAGGTACAAGTACTCACATCTGTGCTTTAGTAAAGGTACAAGTACTCAGATCTGTGCTTTAGTAAAGGTACAAGTACTCAGATCTGTGCTTTAGCAAAGGTACAAGTACTCAGATCTGTGCTTTAGCAAAGGTACAAGTACTCAGATCTGTGCTTTAGCAAAGGTACAAGTACTCACATCTGTGCTTTAGTAAAGGTACAAGTACTCACATCTGTGCTTTAGCAAAGGTACAAATACTCAGATCTGTGCTTTAGCAAAGGTACAAGTACTCACATCTGTGCTTTAGTAAAGGTACAAGTACTCACATCTGTGCTTTAGTAAAGGTACAAGTACTCACATCTGTGCTTTAGTAAAGGTACAAGTACTCACATCTGTGCTTTAGTAAAGGTACAAGCACTCACATCTTGTACTCGAGTAAAAGTAGAAGTACTCACATTCATTAGCTAACAATGACATTATTGTTCTATTAATATAAAGGGAGGTCAGGTACTCTTTAAAACAGCTGCTAGTTATGGGTACTTTTTACTGAAGTACATTTCAAAGCCCTCTTTACTTTTACTTGAGGAAAGAAGTTTAGTCAGTACTTCTACTTTTACCAGAGTATTTTTAAACACGAGTATCTGTACTTCTACTTGAGTAAAGGATGTGTGTACTTTTGCCACCTCTGGTTACTTCCTCTCAGTACTTCTGGTGTACTCTCTCACCTCCCTGCATCAACATGTACTTAGTTACTTCCTCTCAGTACTTCTGGTGTACTCTCTCACCTCCCTGCATCAAGATGTACTTAGTTACTTCCTCTCAGTACTTCTGGTGTACTCTCTCACCCCCCTGCATCAACATGTACTTAGTTACTTCCTCTCAGTACTTCTGGTGTACTCTCTCACCTCCCTGCATCAACATGTACTTAGTTACTTCCTCTCAGTACTTCTGGTGTACTCTCTCACCTCCCTGCATCAAGATGTACTTAGTTACTTCCTCTCAGTACTTCTGGTGTACTCTCTCACCCCCCTGCATCAACATGTACTTAGTTACTTCCTCTCAGTACTTCTGGTGTACTCTCTCACCTCCCTGCATCAAGATGTACTTAGTTACTTCCTCTCAGTACTTCTGGTGTACTCTCTCACCCCCCCCTGCATCAACATGTACTTAGTTACTTCCTCTCAGTACTTCTGGTGTACTCGCTCACCTCCCTGCCCCCCCGAGGGGACGTTCATGGTGGCCAGGATGCTCTGCAGGTCCCTCAGCTGGATGGGCTGCGAGGCGTTGGGGGTCCCGGCGGCGGTAGCGGGGGAGGAGGCCGGGGGGGAGGAGGCGGTGGGGGAGGTGACGGAGGTGTTGGTGGGGGTGACGGGAGTGATGGGGGTGGTGGGAACCTGGGCGGAGCCGAGGCGGCTGGAGGCTGAGGAGGAGGTGGGGGTGACGGCTGTGGACGGGCTGAGAGGAGAGAGAGGAACATCAGTGGGTCATTTTATATATATATATTATTTATTTATTTACCCATGTAATCTTGTATTTCTATTATATTTATTACATATTATTATTTTTTTAAATGTATTTTTTTTCTTTATTCACCAATGTATTATTTTTGTATTTGTACTAATTATTATAATTTTGTTCCATCATTATTATTTATATTATTGTAATTTGTATGGCTTCATCTGATGTTTGTCAGGATTCTTGCAACTGTTTTTACTTGAACATCACTGGTACATTTTTTTATATTTTTTAAATGTATTTACTTTTATTATTCTCCTGTGTATTATCTGCATCAAATACTGCCATGACATTATAAATAAATATATAATATTTTACATTACACTTCATTTAGCTGACGCTTTTATCCAAAGCAACTTACAATGACCAATTACAGGGACATTCTCCCTGGAGTAACTCCCTTACTCAAGGGCACACTAGTGGTGGTGTTCCTGGCGGGATTTGAACTCACAACCTTCTGATCTTCAGCCCACCTCACTATCCATTAGACCACCACTATCCCTATCACTATAATATCCACTGAATAAAATGTTTAACAAACATCTGTTAGGATTTTTAACTTCCACACACTTCAACAAAATAAAATAACTCAAATTATAAAAATGTTCTGTATTTTCTGAACACTTTTCTTAATTTTATTTGGCATTTAATTATTTTGTGCAGGAAACCATAGCATGTATTTTCCCCCATAAGGTAATATGGGAAAATGTCTCCCTCTGGTGGAGAATAGTCGCAAGTTCATTTCTAAAGCCAGGGCCCTGAAGTACTTTATAGATCCCAATTTGGGACATGTTTGTGTTGCAGCAGCATAAAAAGACATGGCATTGTACAATACAAATTAAAATACAAGAAAGTAGAAAAAATACATGTTGAATTTACAAATGAACAATAACAAGATATAAAGCAAGTCTATTATACAGGGATGGATTTTATAAAAATGGGTCTAGAATGGAACATATTTTATTCGGCTAAACGCTTATTATGGACTTTTGATAGGAGCTGAGGTCACACTTTCATAATTAAATCAAAACCGTGTACGTTAAAAAATAATAATAATATGCCACCAAGTAGTCCACACACACCGTCAGCAGCTGTTTGGAGTAAATGTAGTGTTATAAAAAGATGTGTATTTAAAGTGACCTGGTGGAGGAGTTGCTGGCTGCAGGGACGCTGCTGGAGCTGCTGCTGCCCAGCAGGTTAGCCAATCCTGGGCCAGCGAGGGCCCCGAGGCCCCCTGAGGGCGAAACATCACGTTATCATCTGAGAGAAACTAAACATAAATAACATTCATGACATATTGTTAGAGCCAGTATTTCATTTTTATAAGAAAGGCCACCTAATCGTGACGTCTGTAGTCAACCAGAGTATAAAAGACTACAATTCCCACGTCGCCTCCTTTAAGTGACAGAGATGGGAAACCTGTCAGAAGGACGGCGTCGAGGAACAGTTTCTAACCGTTCGATTACCCTTTAAGTTATGAAGTTATATAAGCCTTATCAAGACAGAAAGAATACCTAAGTTGTTTGTTATTTTATTTGCCTCTTTGTTTTGACTATTGTAAAGCCCTCTTTTCTTTCTTGCATGTGTAAAAGTTTGTTATTTTATTTTGAGCAAACACATCTCTCGTCTCTTCAACTGTAAGTAATGTAAGTTATAAAATGTCTGTTTAAAGCGTCTAGTGGCTTGATAGATAAACAAGGAAGGAAGCCACGACAGATACACTCTGTGAGTTTCTCCTCCGTACCGATCCCGCCCAGTCCAGTCGGTCCGATGAGCTGCATCAGCTGGTTGTGGCTCATATTACCCAGAAGGCTTTGCAGGCCGCCCTCACCTGCACGGGAGAACAAGAAAATCCAGCATGACAATTAAGAAAATGTATAAAGAAAGCGTAACTAGACAGTATGAAGTTGACTTTTGATGGTTTTATGTTTCAGTATTTGTAACTGTGACATAATAATGCTTTTATTTTACTTTGTTATGGTTATTTCATTTTTTTCTTTTTTAAGAAGGGGCAGGTAAAATAAGATGTACTTCTCCCTGCTCCTTTCCACCATGCGCTATAAAAACTAAACTGAAAAAACAACCAGTATAAGTGTACATGTTTTGTTAGGGTTAGGGTTATTTCTGTCACTTTTTTGGAAGATTTTTCAGACCAAGTAAAAAGATGGATTTATATTAGTTCATTTATGCTCTGAGGACGGCAGCTCGGCTTAGATTTGAAACAAGCTCGCTCTAAAAACAGCTCTTATATGAAAACCTAAACAGGAATTCTGAAGCTGATCCGTGTTTCCGATCTGATTGAGACCTGGAAATGAATACAAATTAAATTGCATCCTTTCTGTTAGAAAAATATCCCCGGCTTGAGCTTCAATCTCAGGATCCATCAACTAGTTCCTGAACAGTGTCCTTCACATGCTGATATCCAAGAGAGGGAGTTACACAGTCACAAGATGGAGGAATACCGGTTCTTCTCTAGGTAATCATACATCCTGTCACGTTCAAAAGAGTTTTTTGTCGAAATGTTGGCTTTTTTCAGAAAATCTCAAAATTCTGACTTTTTCCTGAAAATGTGCTTTTTTTCTGAAATTCACAAAATTCGTACTTTCTCAAAAAATTCTGACTTTTTCAATAAAATGTGGACTTTTTCAAAAAAAATTACTTTGCCTCAAAATCTCAAAATTCTGAATTTTTCGCAAAATTTTGATTTTCTCAAAATTCTGACGACTTTGCCTCAAAATCCTGACTTTTTCAAAAAAATCGGACTTTTTCAAAAAAATCGGACTTTTTCATTTTTTTTTTACTTTTTCAAAAGATTCTGACTTTTTCAAAAAATTCTGACTTTCAAAAAAATCTGACTTTCAAAAAATTCTGACTTTTTCCAAAAATATTCTGACTATCTCAAAATCAAAAAATTCTGACTTTTTCTCAAAATCTCAAAATTATGACTTTTTCTCAAAATTATGACTTTTTCTAATCATTCGTCACCGACTTGAGCTTCAATCTCAGGATCCATGTATTTGTGATCCTCTCCAGAATGGAAGTAGTCATCACACACAGAGCATCAAGTAGTTCCTGAACAGTGTCCTTCACATGCTGATATCCAAGAGAGGGAGTTACACAGTCACAAGATGGAGGAATAGAAAGCAGTATTCAATGTTTACTTCAGATTAGCTCCACGTCAGAAATGAGCATGCTTGTCATATGTCTATCTCCATAGAGGCTGAATCATCATGTTAATCACATAGCTATCATATGCCTCAAACAGTCCTGATGCTCTTCTAGGTAATCATACATCCTGTCATGTTCACAGCTACAGTTGGGATACCTTTGTTATCATGTTACTCTGATGTTGGAAGAGTACATTCAGTATTTTCCCAACACTTTATATGATTCATGTGATGGTGTTTTACCTCCCAGGGCGGAGAGGTCATGCCCCCCGCCTCCCCCGCTGCCCAGAGCGCCCGGCATGGGTGGGTTATTCAGAAACTCGTTCACCTTCCTGCAGTGCTCCTCGTCTTTCTCACTCTTCGGCTCCTGAGCATCAGAAACACAAAACTCAGGAAATCAACTCAAAGACACCTTTTGTGCAAAATGCACTTCTTCATGTCTTTTATACACAAACGATGTGTCCCCTTCAGAGACTCTGAAAGTGAGTGAGTGAGTGAGTGAGTGAGTGAGTGAGTGAGTGAGTGAGTGAGTGAGTGAGTGTGTGTGTGTGTGTTGACTCCGGTCAGGTAGAGACCGGTCTCCAGTCAGCACCGATGCAGACTCGCTGTTTGAGGGCTCCCCCTCCACACCGCTCCACACTCGTTGGTTTGGAACAGCACTTAATGTGGCGGACCCTCAGTGCGTGTGTGTGTGTGTGTGTGTGTGTGTGTGTGTGTGTGTGTGTGTGTGTGTGTGTGTGTGTGTGTGTGTGTGTGTGTGTGTGTGTGTGTGTGTGTGTGTGTGTGTGTGTGTGTGTGTGTGCGCGCGCGCGCGCGCGTGCGCGCGTGTGTGTGTGTACCTGCATCCAGAAGAACAGTCTCTTGGATCCAGCTTTGAACTTGAGAACAAACACCCGTCCGGTGGTGCACTGGCTCACACGTTTAAACTCACAATCATCGGGGAAGATGATCAGGTCCTGGAGGAGAAGAGGGAATATTAAACAGTTAAGAAACAATAACTTTATATTCAAACACACATTCATGGGGGAACATTGGAATTGGTCATTTAAGGATCATTTGGACTGCACGTGAAGTACATACAGTGTGAGTTGGAAACAAAATAGATATCATATCTTAAATAAATAATGTGTCAGGGAATAATTTGCCCTGCATGTTTACCTTTCGCCCTCTGACGCAGATGCCCTAACCCTTGGGCAGCATGCTATCTCCCTTAAGGAGGGGCTGCCCTAGCAAGTTGTTGTTGTTACCAGTTTGTGACCGGGCAGCTCTCGGTCAGAGATAGTTATTGTTGTGGGACACCTGGAACACATCCTTCTCGGGGTGTAGATGACCCCGAGCCATAAGCGACAACTAATGTGATTCAGTGTCCTCAGCTGTTTAGTCTCTATTGAAGAATGTTGATTATTACACTCTGAACTAACCCTCCTGTTACATTCAGGGTCAAATTGACCCGTTTGAAAGTTTGAAAATCTACGAAAAATACTTTAAAGTATTTTTTTGTATGAAACTTCTTCTCCTTACCTTAATTAGTGCAATAAACAAGTACAATTAAAATGGTTCATGTCATGCATTTGGAACCCCCCCCTACATGTCTATATCACAGAGATGGTATTTGGGTCAATCTGACCCGGCAGTGCAAGTGGAGGCTAAAAGGACACACACACACACACACACACACACACACACACACACACACACACACACACACACACACACACACACACACACACACACACACACACACACACACACACACACACACACACACACACACACACACACACACACACACACACACACACACACACACACACACACACACACACACACACACACACACACACACACACACACACACACACACACACACACACACACACACACACACACACACACACACACACACACACACACACACACACACACACACACACACACACACACACACACACACACACACACACACTACAAATCCTTATGACTCATTTGGCTTGATTCTAAGTGAACGGGTCAATTTGACCCTGAACAGAAGAGGTGTCTCGTCTCTATTTATCAACATCAACCAATTGGAAAAAAAAGTTGGAACATTTTAAAAGTAATTTAAAAAATGTTATGTTATGCAAAACTAATGTATTTTATATCAAGGTTTTTCCAATGTAAAAAAGAAAATAGAAAAATGTGTTTGAATGTATATGTTTTGTGAAAAACGAGTGACTTATTCTAATGGAACCATGATCTGTGAGAGGTGAATAACACAATTGCACTAAATATTGATTTCATTGATAGTAATAAAAGGTACAAACTATGTACCAAAAAAAATCTGGATTTTGGGGCTTCTGACCATTTTTGGATAATTAAACATGCACTGGGTCAAATTGACCCACGAATATTATTGCTGTTACAAAAAACGAATATAACAGGAGGGTTAAAACCTCGAGCGACAGGAGGGCTCTTCAGAATTGATTGTGGCATCTCTACCATGTGGTCAACTCGTGGCCCGTGACATGTCTTGTGAATTCTCCGGCCGAAGCTCCAAATAAACCGCCAGTGTTTGCCATCAAAGCTCCAGCTCTCCTCGTGTCTCTCTGAGTCTCCATTGCTTCAGAAGTTTCCCTCACAGTATGTATATATTCTTATATATTGGACTGAATATCCAATATAATTGACATGCAACCAATGTTTTGTTTTATATTGATATGCTAGTGTTATTACTATTGATTCATTTCAGTTAAATGTTGTCTTGTGTGGCCAAATACAGTTAGTGCAGAAACACTAACAGAGAATGAAAATAAAACTTTTTAAAACAACAAGCTGTATGGTTCCAGAAATTAAATTTTTGTATATATCATAAATAAAATAATGCAAATAAATGTGTTTTGTCTTGTTTTTGTTAGGTTGTCCGTGTTTGTATTGTCTTGTATCCTTTAAAGGTGGGGTAGGTAATTTTGGAGAAACCAGCTCGAGTGCGCTAGAATTTGAAAATACACAACCGGAAGAAATCTGTCACTTCCTTACAGAGCCCCTCCTCCAACACACACGAACGCGCACATGACCAATGAGGGCACGAGATAAGTTTGTGCACAGATGGAAGGCTGACAGGCAGGTAGGCCATCCAGTTATTTTAGCCGGGCCGGCTCAAATGATTGGTCGTGCTTTTTACAGTACTACGGCTTCCACAGATGACATTTTTTATGGATTTTTTGTCAAAGCACTTCAGATATTCATTGCTATCGGGATGTTAAGAGCATTCCATGTAATATAACAACAAGTGTATCTCGAGCCGGTTTCTCAAACTTACCTACCCCACCTTTAATTATGGTAACCCATATGTTGAAATATGTTTTATTTAAAAAAGGGATGTTAATATATGATAATTATAACAACACGTACGTCGTCCACGTTCCCCGTGGTGCGGTCCTTCCAGCAGAAGTGGATGAGCGAGTCGTCCGTCTGCTGGATGTAAACCTGACCCTTCCTCTTGTCCGGAGTCACCGTGCTGCTCTTCATCGTCATCTTCCCCGCTCTGAACTCCACCAGGTACTTACTGGAAGAACCTCGAGAGCCAGAGACCATGGAGGGGAACAGAGCACCTGACGCCATGCTGAGGAAGAGGAGGAGGGGGGAGGGGGGGGGTGGAGGAGGAGGAGGAGGAGATAGAGGGAGAGGAAATTATTATATTGTATACATACTTTAATATGATTTATTTCCTACTTTTTTAACATATTTATTTGTTTTATTGTATTGTTTTCTTTGTATACGTTTTTTGTCTATTTTGTTGTTGTTGTTATTGTTATTGTTGTTATTGTTAGGCGAGGGCTGTTGTGTAATTAACATATTAACATATACAGCCAATACAAATACATGCAAAACACTGCAAAAGCCAAAAGAAATATAGAAAAATGACAATAAAATACAATAGCAATGTCTACATAGCTATATGATTGGCTTCCAGGGAGTGGGTACGCTCTTAATAAATAACAAATAAAGCAGAGCCTATAATAAAAGCACACGGCTCCTATAATGAATTATTTACTAAATTATAATATAGAACAAAGAAAAATAGAATACTAAAAGAAAGAAACATATTAAATATGTACAGGTAATCATATGTTATTTTCTCACGCGCTACTCAGGGTTTATTAGTCTGTATTAAACAGAGACCATAATAAGGGCAGGTTGTAGCGCACCACGCTCCATGATAAACAGATGACTCTGCATCCTGTCGAGATGAACCTCTCTCCGGCTCCACGAGCTCACAGAGCCTCGTTTTAACCTCACACACACCTGGATTAAACACACACCTGTTCAATATGTTAATAATGAAGAACATGAATCAAAAATAAAGATATTTATACATACATTTACTGAGTGAGATGTCGTTCCGCCGCAGAACAAGCTAACCCGCTGAGGATGATTGTGATTGGCTGACTGGCTCCGGGGCTTCACTGTGATTGGTCGAGCCGTGTGTCAATCGGGAGGGGTTTAAATGCTCCACGAGCTCACACAGAGCCTCGTTTTAACCTCACACACACCTGGATTAAACACACACCTGGTCAATATGTTAATAAGGATAAACATGAACCAGAAATAAAGATATTAATACTTACATTTACTGAGTGAGATGCCGTTCCGCCGGAGAACAAGCTAACCCGCGGAGGATGATTGTGATTGGCTGACTGGCTCCGGTGCTTGACTGTGATTGGTCGAACCGTGTGTCAATCGGGAGGGGTTTAAATGTCCATGAGTATGTTCGGTAGAGATGACACAGCAGGTTTATTCTACTGAATGCATTTTTTTTATTTCAGCAGGCTCTGTTTTTCATACATTTTGAAACAGTTATACCAATACAATTAAATGTAATTGTAATTATATATTATATATTTGTTACATATTTGTTTTATGATTAAGGTCATTTTTTTAAATAGTTTTAGTTATGGTAAATGTTATGACAACATTAATAAATATTATTTATATTTAATATTTCTCTTGCTTTTTAGTACAAACCTATTTCTATTATATGTAATTCAATTATATATTTGCTTCAATATTTCAGATTTATTTTAATGATTATTAATTAAAAATATACTACTTTTCTATTTTATGTGATCAGTCATATAGGTTATTGTACATTAATGTTTACAAGCTAAATAGATTAGGAAACAGTCAAAATGTGGTATTATAACGAGGGTCTTTCTTCCAGCTTTTGCTTCTCATTCAAATTAGGATAAAATCATGAGGTGGCAAAGCAGGAGACATTTTAAAGCTCATATCATGTCAGAGGACATTGTGATTTAATGGTGTATATTCCCAAATCAGAGAATATTAGAGTGGTGCAGTGACGAGTCCTAAAACCCGGAAGTGAGTCAGCATTTCCCCACTTCCTGTTCCCTCGTCTCAGAGCCAATCTCTCCATAGGATTTCTGAAAATATCTGAAAATAAGGTCTGTGGTTGAGACACATTGAAGAGACGGATCACGTTTTGTTCTACGACATTAAATCCATCAGCAGTGACCCCACTGGTGATTTCTGAAGAGTTGACGTGTCTGAAAAACGATGGTTGTTACCAAGTGGCTGAATAGGACTACAGAAGTCGTGGAGGCCGTTGTACGTCATTACGCCGAACACGTAAACACTCCTCTAAGGTTGTTTGCCCTGTTCTGCTTGAAAGCAAGTACCTGCCTCCTGCAAACTGTTCAAACAAACGCTTCAACTCGTACCATTTAGAATCTGTGTGTTTGAATATGGATCTGAAGTTGGCGTGACGCTGAAGTCGTGCTGCTGGACTCGGCTGTAGTTCCTTTATAGCATAACATTAGAATTTTTTCTGTTCATTAGATTTATGATTCGAACATTATAAAAGTAGGGTAGACATGTGGAGATTATCCGGCTGAACAAAACGTGCATTTATCAAACAGGTTCGTTTCCCACAGACCTTATTTTGAGCTATTTTCCAAAATCCTCTGGAGAAATGCCGTTGCTTTTTAGTCGAGGGAACCAGCAGCTTACTTCGGGGTAAATACGTCCTCCCTGCACCTCTCTATTGAGGTCCAAAGAGGTAAAAGGTCCCCAGTTTTCACAAGAGATAAAATAAGATTATAGAAGGAGAATGTGGGGTTGTTTTCTACTCTTTAAGCACCACCATGTGAAAAGGCTGTTAAAAGGGTTCTATTATACCATTTGCATATCCCAGAGAAACTCCCTCTGGAGGATCACAGGGATTTTAGCCTCTGCAGACCGTTTACATGCACTAACACCAAACATAACACGCCACAGGAGAGAGGGGGAAAACCCCCCCAAAAAGCAGAATAATCGGGCTCTTAAAGAGTTAAAAGAGATTCTTCAAACAACGACAGGGCTGGTTCTTTTCAATAGTCCATAATTTATTTCTCAAATATGGCACGTATGTTTGTACGTTGATAACAGAATGAGGAGAGAACAAATAAACAACAACAACAAGAGGTCAGATCAGCGAACAAACATGTAAACATTTGAGATGCTAAACACGAGGGGAGAGAGGGTGAAGTCAGAGCAGGAGGTGCTTTGAGTACAAACACAACGGAGGGTTCATATCGATCTACAGGTGTCAATCAATCAATCAATCAATCAATCAATCAAGATGTGGACTAATTGAACGTGGTTAAAACACACCTTTTTACGCCGTCTAACGAGCGTCTTATCTTCAGCGCAGGTGAGTCTGCAGCACAAACAGGATACAGACTACGCTTCACATTTCAGGAGAGGATGATAAAACCACATCTGGTGATCCATTTCAGAAATCTGATCCAAAGAGTTTGCTCTCCTGTGTTTAGGAATTCAATAAAACTAGCATATTCGTCACAAGAGGCTCCATGTTTTAAATATTAAACAAGATTCATGTTATCTCCATGATCTCTAAACACAAGATGCAAGCTTTCTTTCAGCTAGAAATCTATTTGTAATCGAGTGTCATCCGCGTCTTTTAGTCTCATTTTGAACATGGCGTAGTGGTGGACCAAGTGGCGATCCTAGAGTCGGTGGGGGCCCTAGGCAAACATTCACTGGGGGCCCCTCGAACCAGCTTTTCATCACCACGCACAGCCGACAGCTGGACCCAAAAGTACACGCATACAAAATGGATCACCAGAATTATTTTCACTATTTTCCTCTCCTGTTTTTCTTTTAATGGACGGATCATTTGCATAGTTCAGAGTCCTGGGTTTTGATGATTTTTGGACGGATGAGAAATGAGTTAAATGAGTTGCTCACTATGTGTGAAAACAATCACCCTCTTGATCCAGAGTCAGTAGCAAACACAGACTTCTCTTTAACCCATGTGTACCCAAAACGTTCCTTAAAGAGGAAAGGAATCTGCATCATTTCCCAAAAATGAATTAAAAAGATTCTCTCTTTTTTTCCCGGAAAATCTCAGAATTCTGACTTTAATTTCAGAACTAAACAAAAAAAAATCACTTTCTGTCAGATGTAATATATTCACATGTTGCTCTACACCTCTTCTGTATTTCTCACACATTTTTTATTTTAAATGCAACACCTTCAAAAAAGCGTTTTCCCTTAATGGTGTTTTTTGTACTGAACTGTAATGTAAAGAAAAATGTACAGTTAAATATTTGCCTCGAGTATTTCCGTACCAGATTTAAAGACTTTTTAAACCACGTTTTTGATGATCATACTTAAAGGTGGGGTAGGTAAGTTTGAGAAACCGGCTCGAGATACACTTTTTGTTATATTAACATCCTGATAGCAATGAATATCTGAAGTGCTTTGACAAAAAATCCATAAAAAAGTGTCATCTGTGGAAGCCGTAGTACTGTAAAAAGCACGACCAATCATCTGAGCCGGCCCGGCTAAAATAACTGGATGGCCTACCTGCCTGTCAGCCTTCCATCTGTGCACAAACTTATCTCGTGCCCTCATTGGTCATGTGCGCGTTCGTGTGTGTTGGAGGAGGGGCTCTGTAAGGAAGTGGCAGATTTTCTCCGGTTGTGTATTTTCAAATTCTAGCGATCTCGAGCTGGTTTCTCCAAAATGACCTACCCCACCTTTAATGAAGTATTTGGGCACAAAAGGGTTAAATAAGAAGTTATCTAAATGTGCATCAGCATTGGGCCTCTGGATCCCTCAAAAAAGCCAAAATCAAATTAAATATATATATTTTGTATATAAATTACGCTTAAAGTAAAAAGACCCTCCTTATAAACGTTGCCTGAGAATCATCATGTTTTCCACTTCTCTCGAGTATAAAAGTCACTCAGTGAAAGATATCTGCAGATGTTTACGCGTACAATGCAAACACGAAGGGAATTCGGCAACCTATAACGGAGTACATTTGCCAAAATAAGCAAATAAACGTTAAAATAACACATCCTAAGTGTCTTCCTGGGAGTATTATACTTCCTGTTTACAGTTAGTGTGTTTTCGAGATAGACAAAGAATAATAATAGGAGTTATAAAATGCTTTAATATTGTTAATATATTCATTATTATTTAGACTGTATGGCTCAGAGTGTCGCATCAATATTCTCATAGTGTTAGAAAAACACAAAATGCTCCTGTGTTTACAGATTTATATTTAGTGCAGAAAATATGGCTTTAAATAATCCTCTTCATGCATGCACCAAATATCATTATTATTATACAGTATCTATGTAACAGTGGAGAATACGGTGTTTACTGTGTCGGTAAACATGATTATTATTATTATTATTATTATAAGCAGCTTTCATCCCTACGTCTCCATTCAGAGAAAGGGTGAAAATACACATCTAATATTCAAATTGTTGTTGTTTATATATCTATACAAGAAGCAGATGTGTTTAAACGACCCCTGAAATCTGAACGCTAACGGGTGAGAAGTGTTTGGAAAGACGACGAACCCGAACCAAAAAGGATTGACAGTCAAGAGCTTTGTGTTCTGCAGCAGCATGGTCACCACACACACTCTCTCTCTCATATACACACACACATGTCCACACACACACGTCCACACACACACACACACACGTCCACACACACACACACACAGGTGACTGTTTAAAAACCCCTCGTTTGTGAGTAACTAAATATAACGTGTCTCCCGTGGTTCACAGTCGGTCGATTTGAAATCAGGACACGCACACAGAACCGTGAGCGTCTGGACGTCACACACACGTTCACACACACGTTCACATACACACACACAGACACACACACAACCGAGAGTCTCTGGACGTCACACACACACACACACGTTCACACACACGTTCACGTACACACACACAGACACACACACAACCGAGAGTGTCTGGACGTCACACACACACACACGTACACACACACGCGTTCACACACACACACAGAACCGTGAGCGTCTGGACGTCACACACACACGTTCACACACACGTTCACGTACACATACACACACACACACACAACCGAGTGTCTGGACGTCACACACACACACGCGTTCACGTACACACACAGACACACACACACACACACACACACACACACAGGTGACTGTTTAAAAACCCCTCGTTTGTGAGTGACACACATGTGGACTATTATCATTATTAAAGATGTCATGTACAGTAAGTAAACTAAATGTAACGTTTCTCCCGTGGTTCACAGTCGGTCGATTTGAAATCAGGACACACACAGAACCGTGAGCGTCTGGACGTCACACACACACACACACACACACACACATTAGATCTGCGGAGGAGGAGGTGTGTGTCAATAAATGTTGGGAGAGTCCGAGTAGTTTCGGTCAAAGTATCCACCTGAGTAGAGCCAATCCTCCGCTCCCGTGTGAGGGTTCGTTCCCAACTGGAACCACCTGAGGAGGAAACACACACACACTGGGTTCTGAGATGTTCAGAGAAGACATTTGGGATTAAAGTCAGAATCCAGACCTTATTATATATCAGGGTTTTTTTCTCGATGATATAGTACGAGTACTGTGGCGCTGATCTTGTTCATAAGATATATCAATTCTGCCGAGAACATGACGCTCGTAAACAAGATGTCTCCTAACGTAAACAACAACAACACGGCGGAGCTCTCACCATCTTCATATTTTAATTATACAGTTTTTAACGAACAGAAATATTGTTTTCTGGCAGCACATTTTACAGGGGAAATCTGCATTTTGGTTTGAGAGCGCAGCAGTGGCGGTTCCAGACCAATTGGACTGGGGGGGCCAGGCTGGGACCAGTTGTTTTCTGAGGGGGGCACAATCAATGCAGGACGAATAAGACAAAGACAGTATGAAGTAATTGCGCATAAGAAAACAATGCAATACAGTTATTGCTATTTGTTTCAGTACACATATTTATTTCAGATACTTATAGTTTTACGCTCTAATGGGTCCGACTAGAATAACAAATAGCGTTAGTTCCACCTATTCCGTCAGCCAAGAAATCGTCAATCATAAACTTTTTTTTTGCCCTCCCCAAATATTATTTAATTCTTAGAAAGTAGGAATCCTGACATGTGTGTAGTAACGTGTGTTGTTTGCATTTTATTGTTCTCTTTTATCCTTTCGCCTCTATCTACTTGTCTTTCATTCTTTCTCTTTAACTAACTGTTGATGTTTTGTGATTTTAAAAAGGTGTTTATTATCATCTGGGCCGGGGACAACAGCTGGAAATTAGCAATGTTGGCTAAGACCCCATTTACACGCAAACGCAAACGCAAACGAACCGAATACGATATCAAAAAAGTAATCCTTTACAGAAAGCGCTGGAGACGCTGTAGTACATATGCCGGGCCTGTAAGTGGCGCTGTACTTCCGCCACTAAATACACCAAAAGCAGCGAAGAAGACCCCCCGAGTATGGTTGCCATGGCTACCCTTCTGTTTATGCCCCGCGGTGGATTTAGCAACATGTAGTTCATGTAGTTCTCCATGTCCACTTGTTGCTGATGGTTGTGGTAGAGGAGCTGTAGATGTTGCACTAACATCTGTAGCATGGTCAGTAGCAGTAGCACTAGCAGTAGCTAATGACAGTAGCTACTGACCATGCTACAGCAGTGAGCAGCAGAGGTGGGGAGAGGCGGGGCTATGGCTTCATCGTTATCAGGATATGATCTTATAGGCAGGGCTCTCAACTAACTTTTTTCACCATCCTCCCGGAACCGTCCCGAAATTAATGTGGACCGTCCCGAATTTAAAATATTTGTTTTTCTACATTATCATTAGTTAAAATCATTCAAAGTGACCTTTAACATAAATAAAACATCATACAAATCATTAGATGATAATTCATCAACCTTTTTATTTGAGTAAATCAGTCAAACACATAAACAAAGGCCAAATATATTAAAAAAAAACACACAAGCGAGAAAGTTGCTCTAATATTGAATCCAATCAAGTCCCATCCGATTAACAACAAAATCCAACACTCTGTCCTGAAGACAGAACCCAGAAGTAACCACTAACCAGGATGACAGTCTGTAACACAGTCAGGAGACCTTTACAAACTGCACCACCCCCTCGCACACAGACGGGCGAAACTAAAACTGCAATATAATGTTCATGTAGCAGTAATACATATGACATATGTTTTAAATGTCTCCAGTACCGATAAAAAGACCACTGTTGGTACCACTGTCTTTAATAATTCCGGCCGGGGCCCGTTTAATACCGGGGCTCGGTACCCATCCCTACATGGGGAGAGGCGCAGCATATTGCTAAGGACTAAATGCGATGGAGAGTTCTCATCTCAGCTGCAATGACATGTCTGGAAACCCCCTCTCGGGTGCCCTATGCATAGCGCGCCGTCAAAAGCTGCTTCATAAGTTAAGTTTCGTTTCTCCGCACCACTCCGGGGTAAAAAAATGGTAGTTACATCACAGCTGTGCGGCTGGCTGACAGCTGTAGCTAAGTACTGTGTGTGTGTGTATTTCGCGGGTTGCTAAATGCTTTGTGTGTGTTTATGTTGACAAGGAGGTTTAATAACTGTGTGCTACACAAAACGTGCAGTCAGTTTCATTTTCATCGCCGTTCGTAGTAGAGTTAGCAGGGTATTTTTATTTTAACTCTCGTCCCAAATTCGTCCCAAAATTCATTTGTATCCTCCCCGACCCGATTCTTTTCGGCCCCGGGACGACGGGACGTCCTTAAGCTCGAGCCCTGCTTATAGGGAGTACAAACGGAGCCCCCCCCCCCCCAGAGCGTTCCGTTTGCAGATCTATCCACCTTGGGACCCGTTATCGTTTGAGGGGTCCGTTTCCGCGGTTCCGTTACGGCCTCGTGTGAACGAACGGGCTATACGAAAGAGAAAAGTAGCAGATACCACCGTTTGCGTTCTCGTGTAAACAGCACCTAAAGCTAATGCCCCATTTACAGTTTTTTGTGACAAGGGGGTTCAAGGTTCTTTATTAGTCATACCACCATAGCTACAGAGTAGTTATGTCGATGAAATTCTTAAGTCACAGGCTTCTCCAGCAATGCAACACAATATTACAGACAGTTGATTAATGGGGACTGTCCACGAGGTCTCAAAATAACAGTCACACGGGCTCTTATCCTCTTCCAGAGTTTACAGATTGTTGACACCACACATTCATTTCATATAAGAATCAATCTCTCACCTGGTGCACCACTCCTCCTCCTCCACGGAGCGATCTCTGCGCGACGTCCTTTGTTTGTCCTCTAGCCGCTCTTTCTCTGAATTCGATAATTCTATGAAATGATATGTTGATATGAGACGACACGTTATAGTCTGTGTAGTACTGTTTTGTCTTGCATCACAGCAGCTCCATTTGCAACATTAACAAAAGACAAATATTAAGACAGGGTAACAGACATTAAACACAACGTACATTTGTAAGAATTCATATTCAGAGACAATGCAACCCATTTGTTTTGTATTTAAATGCTGCTTGTATGCCCTATCATTTGAGATATCATTAAACCACCTTTATTTTAAGAACAACAGGTTTTCGTGTTGCTTCGTACACTTACAAGTGTGTAAGGAGTGTCTGTCTGAGTGTCTGAGTGTCTGAGTGTCTGAGTGAGTGAGTGAGTGAGTGAGTGAGTGAGTGAGTGAGTGAGTGAGTGAGTGAGTGAGTGAGTGAGTGTGTGTGTGTGTGTGTGTGTGTGTGTGTGTCTGCAAGGAGGGTTCTGCTCAGCATGAAGCAGTCTGAGATCAAGCAGCACTGGTGTGGACTCAGATTACAGGGAAAGCTAGCCTGTTTGGGGTTTGCTGACCACTCAGTCTCACACTCAGTGTTTAAGAACGCCGCTGTTGGTGAGGATGTTCTGACATTTACCATCAAAGCAAGACTGCAGGTATTACCCACTAAGTACAATCTGTCCACCTGGTACCCTCACATTCACACTCCATTCTGTTTAAACCACCAGGATTCACAACAACACCGAGAATCCATTGCACACATAACAAATGGATGTCATGCATACAAACGCCTGTACATAGCCCGTCTTGACCGCATTGTGGACATTGTGTCTGATGCGGTACAAAACATCTTACCATCTAGTGCAGCAATGTACAAGCACACTAGAGTGTTACCAGAATGGTTTGGTTTTACCAATGATGTCTTTGCTAACATCCCAAATACACCTGATGTTGTTTTTGTTGACACCAACCACAGGGAGGTGCTAATATTAGAAGTAGGCTGTGCCTTTGACCTGTACATGGACCAGGCTTTCCAGGACAAGTATATCAAATACCAACCACTGCTCCATGTCATAACCAGCTTTGGGTACAAGTGTAGATATAGCATACTCATATTCGGAAGTCTTGGCCATGTATATAAATACACCATGATTGGTCTGAGAATTGCTGGAATGTCAAAGAGAAAAGCCAAACAAATTGCCAAATATTGCTCTGTTTCAGCTATTATTGGCAGCTTAGCCGTGTGGAGAAGGAGATGCTATGTGTTCCCTTAAGTGTTCTGTGCTGCTTAGCCCCGATATATTTGATTCCCTGTCTTATGTAATATAATTTGTGGAACCAAATAAAGTATTCAAATGTGTTACCCATGTCTCCGTTCTCCATGGCTCTGATATCCGGTCTCAGCCGGCAGTCGGTCGGCGGCAGCAGCGTCTCCGGCTCCATCTCGTTCAGAGTCATGGCGAAGCTCGTGAAGTTATACATCTACACAGAAACAAGATGGAGGATCAGAAGGTGAACGAGCAGGAGGGAGAATCAACCGATCCAAATAACGGTGATATTTTTAACTCTCTTTTTGACATGAAAGGTCACCTATTATGTAAAATCCACTTGTTCACGTCTTTTCTACATCAACATGTGTCCCCTCTGTCTGTCTGTCTGTCTGTCTGTCTGTCTGTCTGTCTGTCTGTCTGTCTGTCTGTCTGTCTGTCTGTCTGTCTGTCTGTCTGTCTGTCTGTCTGTCTGTCTGTCTGTCTGTCTGTCTGTCTGTCTGTCTGTGTGTGTGTGTGTGTGTGTGTGTGTGTTGGATACTGACCTGTGCAGAGTCAGCAGGTCTCGGTGATATCCTCCACAGTAAGGCACTTCCTGGTATCACAGTCACAGTTTCTTGGACGTCCGGCATCTCGTCCGCCTCCTCAGCTTCACAACTACGTCCCTACACACACACACACACACACACACACACACACACACACACACACACACCAGACACACACACACACACACACACACACACACAATGAGTCTAACGGCCTAACGATGTGTGTCTCACAGTATGTGCAGAACTACAACTTTGCCACAGACTCAACACAGTGCGAGTCATTGCAGGACGGCTGAGTGCAATGCTCTACACTAACAGCACTGATAACAACACACACACACACACACACACACACACACACACACTAAACTGCACCTTATCTTCCACTAATGCACTGCATGTTATCGTGGAAGGAAAACCATTTGAGAGAAAGGATTTAGAGCCACACATTGACTTCATGAGGACAGATAAACACATCAGAGACATGGTCAGCTGGACTCAGGAAAAACCCCCAAGTATATTTCAAAAGTTTGCTTAAAAAACATCCTCTTATCATAAAGCATAATTAAAATGTGTCTGTGGGAATATGTATTATTGATGTGTGACTGTGTGTGTGCGGACCCCAGGAAGAATAGCTCATGCTAACAGGGATCCTAAAGACTGAGCAGCTTTATCTCAGAGCGTCTCTCACCTTTTTCAGCTTCTTCGAGTCTGCCGCCGTTTTCTTTTCAGACTTTTTGTGAGCGTCGTACACTTTGGGGTCGATGCTGTACATGCACTCTGTCCACTTCCCGTACAGAACTCGCCTCTTCTTCTTACTGCAGAGAGCAACATCAGTTAGGAGGTAATTCATCTCAACCATTGGCTATGAATTACAAATGCACTGATTGTGTCCGCAGCTGATATTGCACTGATTTATGGTATAAATATCAACTTTTGGTAAAAAAAAGATTTTAATTGATCGTTTTTTTACCATAAGTGAATGCTGACTCCTCAGTCTTTTCTCCTTAAAGGTGGGGTAGGTCATTTTGGAGAAACCGGCTCGAGATCGCTAGAATTTGAAAATACACAACCGGAGAAAATCTGCCACTTCCTTACAGAGCCCCTCCTCCAACACACACGAGCGCGCACATGACCAATGAGGGCACGAGATAAGTTTGTGCACAGATGGAAGGCTGACAGGCAGGTAGGCCATCCAGTTATTTTAGCCGGGCCGGCTCAGATGATTGGTCGTGCTTTTTACAGTACTACGGCTTCCACTGATGATATTTCTTTATGGATTTATTGTCAAAGCATTTAATATATTCATTGCTATCGGGATGTTAAGAGCATTCCATGGAATATAACAAAAAGTGTTTCTGAAGTGAATTACCCACCCCACCTTTAAGTGATCAACACATGCTTTCTGTAGGAAAACATATTTCTGGCAATTAACTAAACTAATATCAAGCAAACCTATTCAGTTGCAGGCTAATTGCCTTTGTTGTTGCTCAAAAAAACGGACATCAATAGATACGCTTGGTTTCAATTCAAACTGGAACTTCTAAATCAACTGTGCACTTACTTGATTTGATTTTAAGCTCACCTTTGCCATGTTTCGTTTGAAATGGCACATCATTGACAACATGCAAGCGGCAAGTACATTTGCATCAACATGTGAATTATTAGGTTAAAGTGGACCTATCATGCTATATTTGAATAATATAGTGTAGGACCATACCTATATAAGGCATATTTATATATATATTTTTTTCAAAATACCAAACAGATCATGCATTTTAGCCATGCCTCATTTTGCTCAATTTGACAATTTTTAGCTCTGTTTTAGCAAGGGTTGATTCAGTGAGAACAGCACCACCTACAGGCCTGGCATATGTACTACAGCGTCTCCAGCGCTTTCGAACGGCAATGGCCGTGGCTGATTGGTGGAGTTGGCCCAATAGCCGTAGCGCCACCGTCCTGACGTCAGGACAGTGTTCAAATCTGGATCAGTTTTTATCAGATCCGTTGCAGCCCCTTTTTTAGAGATTTGGGTATGGAGGAAAATAGAGAGGGTTGTGTTTTCTGACACTTGGTGAGTTCCCTGGAACACCGGGGACACATATTCATGTAGAAAAGACGTACAAAAGTGCATTTTGCATGATAGGTCCCCTTTAAGTAGTTGCTGTCAACCTTCTATGAATTGGTATTTAACTTGTGATTTTTATGTTTTATAAACTTCATCTCCTCTGCAGACCAGCTCAGTGAATTGATATCTTTCAGATCTACATGAAATCTTTTCCATTTGTTCAGAATGTCTTGAGATGCTTAGCACTGTGTGTGAGTCGCTTCGACCTTTATTGTTTTCTGTCTGCATCGCTGTGCGTTTGACGTTAAGAGTTGTGCAGATCATGTGTTGTTGTGCCGTTACCTTTTGTCCTGGATGTGACCCTCCACTCTGTGCAGCTCTTTCCCAAACATGCCCACCGGTTTGAAGTTCAACACACACTTATCTCCCGTGCTGATGAAGTACAAAATGAAAATATGTCATGTAAACAACCAATAATCGGACCAGTGTGTGATTCTGCATTTATCTTTGCTCACCTGTGGTTGATTATCTCCACGGTTCCGTACTGCTCGATCCAGAGTTTTCCCAGGATGATGTTGTGCACGCAGCACATCGGGTTCGTCCACGTGTACGCTTCTTTATGTCTGCAGGAAATACATACCGTTAGAGCCAGTATTTTGTTTTTATAAGAAAGGCCACCTAATCGTGACGTCTGTAGTCAACCAGAGTATAAAAGACTACAATTCCCACGCCACCTCCTCTGAAGTGACAGATGGCAAACCTGTCTGTTCTTACATTTTGAACACAAATACCTGTACTTTCTACTTCTTACATTTTGAACCCAAATACCTGTACTTTCTACTTCTTACATTTTGAACCCAAATACCTGTACTTTCTACTTCTCTCATTTTCCAAACAGGCTGGTTCCTTTAGTTTGAATGTGTGTTTGGTGGCGTGATCATTATTATTTAGAGTCATTGCGTGCCTATTGATTTGAACACGATCCGTGTATCCATCATTTCCTGGTCTTCTCTAAAGAAGAGGGACCAATGAAAACGTTGTCATGTTGCCGTTGTTCAGCATGGAAACATTCATTAGCTAACAATGACATTATTGTTCTATTAATATAAAGGGAGGTCAGGTACTCTTTAAAACAGCTGCTAGTTATGGGTACTTTTTACTGAAGTACATTTCAAAGCCCTCTTTACTTTTACTTGAGTAAAGAAGTTTAGTCAGTACTTCTACTTTCACCAGAGTATTTTTAAGTATCTGTACTTCTACTTGAGTAAAGGATGCGTGTACTTTTCACTCACTTGAGCAGCTCCAGGGTCATGGTGCCTTTGGGCTCGGCCTCCACACTTTTTCCCCAGAACTTGAGTTTGGGGTCGATGGATCCGTGAAACTCGAACTCGTGCTTCAGAGACTGAGCGTGGAAAGCACTGACGGGGGGGGTGGTGGCTCACCTGCTCCGAGATCAACTTGTAGCCCTCCTCCTCCCTGTGAAAAACACAAGTGTTATTATTATATTACCTTTTCACAGAAATAATGCCCCCACTGGACTATAACTCCCCACACACTCAGACACTCAATTCCAGCACCAGACACTTTTTTCTACGCTGCTATGGACAATCTTGCACTAACGTACATTCCCAAAGATATGGAAGTGACTGTTATTTTGTATATATTGATTGTTGTGTTTTCATCTTAATGTGTGCATATGTGTCTGTTGATTGTATATATATATATATAGGATATTAGGGGTGGGGGAAATAATCGATACAGCATAGTATCGCGATACTTTGCGTGGCGATATTGTATCGATATTTTATTATATAAACTGTAGCATATCCCTCCGAAAGATGGTTAAACATAAACATAACACATTTACATAAACTATTCATATTGCAAATACATTTTTTAACCAGGAAGGGAAGACTGACATGGATATGAGCCATGTGATTTGCAATATCGCAATATATTGTATCGCAATACTTAGCATATCGTAGAATCGCAATACCATCGTAGCATGGCTTAAGTATCGCGATAGTATCGTATTGTGGCTTAAGAATCGCAATACTATTGAATCGTGGCTTAAGAATCGCAATACTATTGTATCGTGGCTTAAGTATTGCAATACTATTGTATCGTGGCTTAAGTATCGCGATAATATCGTATTGTGGCTTAAGTATTGCGATAGTATCGTATTGTGGCTTAAGAATCGCAATACTATTGAATCGTGGCTTAAGAATCGCAATACTATTGTATCGTGGCTTAAGTATCGCAATACTATTGTATCATGGCTTAAGTATCGCGATAATATCGTATTGTGGCTTAAGTATTGCGATAGTATCATATTGTGGCTTAAGAATCGCAATACTATTGAATCGTGGCTTAAGAATCGCAATACTATTGTATCATGGCTTAAGTATCGCAATACTATTGTATCGTGGCTTAAGTATCGCGATAGTATTGTATTGTGGCTTAAGTATCGCGATACTATTGTATCGTGGCTTAAGTATCGCGATAGTATTGTATTGTGGCTTAATTATCGCGATAGTATCGTATTGTGACTTAAGAATCGCAATACTATTGTATTGTGGCTTAAGTATCGCAATACTATTGTAGTGTGGCTTAAGTATCGCGATACTATTGTATTGTGGCTTAAGTATCGCGATACTATTGTATCGTGGCTTAAGTATCGCGATAGTATCGTATCGTGGCTTAAGAATCGCAATACTATTGTATCGTGGCCGATAGTATCGTATCGTGGCTTAAGAATCGCAATACTATTGTATCGTGGCTTAAGAATCGCAATACTATTGTAGCGTGGCTTAAGTATCGCGATAGTATTGTATCGTGGCTTAAGAATCGCAATACTATTGTATCTTGGCTTAAGTATCGCAATACTATCGTATCGTGGGGAGCCTGGTGATTCCCACCCCTATAGGATATACATATTTTATACATATTTTATACATATTTGTATATTTGTATAATTGAATTTTTGTATTCGGGATTGTTGGAAACTTTATTTCGATCTCTCTGTCTGTACACACAAACTGAAAGATTGACATTAAAGTTGACTTTGACATATAATTCACAAAGTGCTTCACAAGTAAGAACAAAAGTTAAAATTAAGACCAGAAGGTTAACATAAAAACAAAACACAGACCACGTGGATTCCCGAAAGGAACAAACATAAGAGCAGAACACATCACACACATCTCAAGTAGTAACAGAAGCCAATGAGATAATGTTCTATAAAGTGTTAAGAAGTGCTCTCGGATACCTCATGAGTTCGTACGTTTCCCCCAGTAAAGGATTAAATGGTTTTCCAGTCCGTTCCGATTGAGATGCTACTGCCGACACAGCAAACGCAGCAACAACCTGTCACACAGTCATCAAGAGATAACATTAATAATCGTTTTCATGGACCCTGAAATACCAAAGATGTCCTTCTTGTATCTTATCAATTTTTTCGGCACCACTTTACACTAAGCCCCTTATAAAGGGTTTACGAATAGTTAGTAATTCATTTATTAATTAGGTTGTGAACACTTTATAAATCATTAATAAGCTTTTATAAGACATGAGATAAACAGGGCGACTGTGACCGGTTGCTTGCCAAATAGTGAGCCCACATTTATCTGTACTGCTAAGCCTTATATTGGCTACCTAGCTTACTTCGTCTCCTTCATCAGCAAGCATCCTTGGTGTCTGTTGTCCACTAAGTTGATTCCCCCCCCATCCATCTTGATGTTTCTTGACATCTCTTATGACCATTTATGAATGAGTTACTAACATTTATAACGACTGAAAGGGTGCGTTGTTTTTAAGTTTAATACACATGTCCATTTATGAATGAGTTATAACATTCACGCTTACCTAATACACATTTTTCACATGAAATGCAAAGTAAGATGCAACAGAACCAAGCAAAACATTTTAAGTAGCCAATATAAGGCTTAGTCATCTTGCCAAATAGTGAGCCCACATTTATCTGTACTGCCAAGCCTTATATTGGCTACCTAGCTTACTTCGTCTTCTTCATCAGCCAGCATCCTTGGTGTCTGTTGCTCACTGAGTTGATTCTCGCTAAGTAGCCAATATAAGGCTTAGTCATCTTGCCAAATAGTGAACCCACATTTATCTGTACTGCTAAGCCTTATATTGGCTACCTAGCTACTTCGTCATCAGCCAGCATCCTTGGTATCTGTTGCTCACTGAGTTGATTCTCGCTAAGTAGCCAATATAAGGCTTAGTCATCTTGCCAAATAGTGAGCCTGTGTTGATGTATGAAAACTATGTTAGAAGTGGTTCATAAATGGTTCTTAATGATCAATAAAGTGTTTACAACCTAATTAATAACCTAATTATAAACCCTTTATTAGGGTAGTCTTATTGTAAAGTGGTACCCTTTTTTCTAATGTAAAAGCAGGCTATTTGAACTTGGTTTATAGAAAGGTTATGCTTCATTTTGTTTTACTTCTGAGCTTTTAACGACCAGTTACTCCATAAAGAATTATTATTATTATTATCTGTTAAATTAATAGTTGGTTATCGGCTTACTAGTTTCAAGTTTTCCTCATGCATTTGATCTACTCTTTGCACTTTCTGGCAAACTGCCTTTCGTTGTGCAATGTACTTAAAGTTGAATCTAATCCAATCTAATCTAATAATCACAGACTAATCAATAAATTAAATGTATTTTTCATGAGAAAATGTGAAAAGAATGCCGCTTAAAACCTCTTAAATATAAAGATTTCCTGTTTCTGTGTGTTTTGAATCATACTAAAGTGAATATCTTTGGGTTTTGAACTGACAAAAAATGACTTCTGAAGACATTACCTTGGACTTTGAGAAACTGGGAGGTTAGATTTCACTATTTTTGGACATTTTATCCACAAAACCTAGAAAATATATGTATCTTTAGCCATGAAATCAATGCAAGCTGCCCAGGTGAGTTATAACAAGGCAGTTTGAGATATATATGAAATGTTCTTACTTCTCAAATGGGATGATTTGCAGATTTACTGAATATATTTAGATTCTGAACTTGGTTGAATATGTCCCGCTCAGTTTATAGGAGACTTTATGTTTAATGATCACAATTTTCTACCAATTTAAGAACCAATTAATCAATAAAGAAGATAATTGTTAGCTGAGGAGCTGCTGCAACACGTTGACTTATAATTAGTTGCTTGAGAGATAGTCATTTCCAATCTTTCCATCTTTAAAATCGATTATTTGGTCTTTTTTTATATAAAAATACTTCAGCTATTTAGATTTGTGTCTTTTCTCTGTTTAATATAATTTTAAATTACATTTCTTTGGGTTTTGAACTGACAAAAAGTGACTTCTGAAGACATTACCTAGGACTTAGAGAAACTGGGAGGTTAGATTTCACTATTTTTGGACATTTTATCCACAAAACCTAGAAAATATATGTATCTTTAGCCATGAAATCAATGCAAGCTGCCCAGGTGTGTTATAACAAGGCAGTTTGAGATATCCATTCAGAGTCCTACCTGCATGCGGTCCATGGAGTCCGACAGGCTGCAGGCCTGGTGGATGAGCTGCGTGTGCTCCATGTATTCTGAGATTCTCTGCAGGAAACTCAGCGGCTCGTTAAACACCACCGGCATCGCGATTTTAGAAAGCTCCTGCGAGAGCACAGGGGAACAAACACAGAGAAGAACGGACACATATATCTCAATATCAGATTTAAAGTGTGACAATGTTGGACAAAATACAAAACAAATATTCTCTGCCTTTCAGCTGTAAGACAAGTGTTTCAGATAAACGTAAGTGTCATGTTTGAGTAGGGGTGGTTACCGAGCCCCGGTATTAAACGGGCCCCGGGGCTGAATTATTAAAGACAGTGGTACCGTTAAGCTCTGACGTTATCGGTCTTTTTATCGGTACTGGAGACATTTCAAATATATGTCATATGTATTATTGCTACACAAACATTATATTGCAGTTTTAGTGTCGCCAACTCCGTTTCTAATACGCAAAATGTAGGGGCAGTTTACACGCACACACGCACGCACGCACGCACGTCTTCAAAAGAACCGATAAGAGTACCGTTAAAGGACCGGATCGATAAGCGGTATCGATATAAGTAGTAGTACCGTTAAAACCTTAACGATACCCATCCCTATGTTTATGTAAGCTATTTTCTTTCAGATGACAAAGAAAATGCAATCTAATAATAGCCAGCATCGCAGAGAGAAGAACTGACTCATCTTGTCTCAGCTCGATGAAAGCTTAGGCACTTATTTAATTATAAAACAACTGGACCCAGAATCAGACCTCAGCGTGTTGGTGGGAGATATGAAGATTGTCATTCAGATGAAATTAGACGCAGGTATCATCACTCACCATGCCGATGCATTTCTTCAGTATGCTCCACACACTGAAGTTGTTTCTGGAGATCATCTCAGCAGGCAGGGTTTTCCTGGAGAGAGATTAAAAAATAATGTGAAATAAGATCAAACGTTTCATTATTACTCCATTAGAAAGTGGCAGAGTATCATCACAGAGCACAGAGCCGCATCAAAGTCCAGATGTTTCTAAAGCTGAATCAAAGTCCTGACTAGCTTCACAAATGCTCTGCGGAGGCAGTGCACAGAGATGTGTTCGCTCTGCTCCCACGTGTTAGTACAGGCACAATAACCCCCTGAAGCCCCTCACCCTAAAGCATGATGCTATAAAACTATCCAAATGATGTTCAAAGCTGCAAATCAACGATTACCTCATAATGTCCAGGGACTTTTCACACGGAGAGAAAACATACACGTGTTGAGAGGAAACTGCATTTCTTTTAAAAACCACCCATACGAACAAATTCCAAACTTCATTGCATCTCATCAAAAGGTGTTGATGAGTAACTGAACCGATGAGCTGACATACTGTGCAACTTTATCTAAACTAAAACTATTATTTAAAAACCAAATCCTGAATGGTTATGAGCAGGGAATCCTTTGCCCTGCATGTCCTCCTCCTTCGCCCTCTGACGCAGATGCCCTAACCCTTGAGCAGCCGCTATCTCCCATAAGGAGGGGCTGCCCTAGCATTTTGTTGATGTTACCAGTTTGTGACCGGGCAGCTCTCGGTCAGAGATAGTTATTGTTGTGGGACACCTGGAACACATCCTTCTCGGGGTGTAGATGACCCCGAGCCATAAGAGACAACAAATGTGATTCAGTGTCCTCAGCTGTTTAGTCTCTATTGAAGAATGTTGATTATTACACTCTGAACTAGTGATGGCAGTTTGACACTGAAGCTTTGAACGGAGCTTCAACCCTGGACTTCTTATTCCATAGAAGCAGTGCTTCGAAGCTTGCTTCAAATCACGTGACATATGACGTCCGAACCAGCAACTGCTTCAAATCACGTGACATGTGACGTCCGAACCAGCAACTGCTTCAAATCACGTGACATATGACGTCCGAACCAGCAACTGCTTCAAATCACGTGACATGTGACGTCCGAACCAGCAACTGCTTCATTTCCTGAATGAATCACTTGACTGGTTCGCGGTCCAATCAGGCGATTCAATGCACTGCCTCGTCTCTATTCTGACAGGTGACAGGTTGAAACAGTTTAGAATTTGAGCGCTTCAACACTTTATAACCGCTCTAAACAATGCGCAATGTGTGGGTTGTTTGCGTTGTTGCTGTTGAGTTGTTGTTGGTATTGCATTTTAATTGGATCATTAGAGAGCAAGCCAGGAAGAAAGATAGGTCGTTCTGGCTCGGGAAACACTTCGAAATGTGGAGAACTTGTGAACAAAAAGACAGTTAACACTAATATAAAAAACATGTAAATAACTTAAGGTATAGATAGCCCAGTGGATAGAGCCGGCGGCCCGAAGCGGCGATGTCCTCCGCGCAGCTGGTTCAAAGCCCGGAACAGATGAACTTTTAATCATTCCTTTTCAACTTTAATACTTTAATAACTGATAAAAGGCCCTCTCCGCCCAAAAAAAAAAATGTCCAGCACTCTCTAGTCTCTTCTCAATAACCCAATACACACAATTATCAATCTTTAATTGCAAATAGAACATGATATTCAGTCTTGTGTGTGTGCATCGAATATTTTTCAAGGCAAAGATACGTTAAACCCACTGCAGCCTTGCACTTCGCCAGGAGAGGTCGCTGTAACTGAAGCTTCGAGAAATGAACCTATTTCCGACTCAATTGTCCAAGTGGTTCGATGCTTCATTCAAAGCTTCATTTTTCCATCACTACTCTGAACTAGTTCAAACCTGGAGCTACAGGGGGGTTCTTGAGGATTGATTGTGGCATCTCTACCGTGTGGTCAGACCTCTGGCCCGTGACATGTCTTGTGTAAACCCTCAATGTTTGACGTCAAAGCTCCAGCTCTCCTCGTGTCTCTCTGAGTCTCCATTGCTTCAGAAGTTTCCCCCACAGTTATGAGCAGGAGCGGTGAACTCATGCTTGCTATTTCTTGTCATTGTAAAAGTTATTTATTTTTGGTTGTTTTGTACCAAAGAAAGTATTTGTTACTTTAAACCCATAAGGACCCACAGGTGTCACATGACCTTTCAATGTTCTGGAAAGTTCCTTCTACAGCTTTAGTCTTTATTTTATCTCATGAAGTCCCAACACACTGAACAGTCAGCTGGGTCCTGGTCCAGGTCATGTGACTTTGTGTTCCCATGACAACATGTCCAAGATGTCCATGTGCGATGCTAACACATGTGACCGAACGAGCAACATTTCAAAAGCTTTTTTTTGTTGCTAAAGGTCAAATTCAAGCTATTTAATAATTAAAATGCTTACATAACATGTCCTTTATCACATTGAACCTGTTGTGGAAACATTTATTGATCAAATTGATATGAAACAAATGAGACAAACATCGCTGTGACACTGATCGGGACTTTCACAGTAAACCCAAAGTGACATATATGCACAATTAGAAATATGATTACGATCTGTTAATTTAGCTGATTCAATTATATTTAGTTAATATATTCTTTATTCTTCAATTCAAAAATCATTAATGAAGTTATAAATAAGAGTTATTTTACCATGGTTTTCTCAAAATGAGTTTTTTCTCCTATTCGGAGTGAGACATTTCCACTTCAGTAGCAGTTACATACACCAAACCTTCCAGTTATATTCCTATCAATATTCTGAAGGTTTTTACTGAAGGGTTTGTTCATATATCGTTCATAGCCTGAATTATATAACATTTTATACCTAAAAACATGGCGAAAATAGATATTTTAGGGCTGTTGACAGTATTTTCTGATTTATGGAGTGATACAAAGAGATATCCAAAATCCCTTCTGTAAAAACTGTAGATTCTATTATGACTACAAAATGAAACAAGAATTTTAAACCTGGCTTTATCAAATGTTCAGATTTGTGTTCCTGAAATGTATTAAAATATGCGCATATTTAATGAGATTATGGCTCATTTGCATATTTAAACATGCTATTTCAGAAAACTTGTAATACAAAAAACAATTGTCTTAGGCCCCGCTCACACGGGACCGTTTGCGTTTCTGCACAGTATGCGTATTCAAAAAAGTCTTCCGTTCACATGCATTTGTTTCATTTAACGTGTCTGTTTAAACGAGGCTGCTGGAAACGCTGTAGTACATATGCTGGGACTGTAAGTGGCGCTGTAACTTCCGCCAAAATACACCAAAAGCCGCGAAGAAGAGCAGCCTGGAGCAGCCCCGCAGCAATGTTGCCATGGCTACCCTTCTGTTTAAGCCCTGAAACTGAAACTGAAAGAAACCGAATCTGTTGTTGCTGATGGTTGTGGTAGAGGAGCTGTATATTTTTGCACTAATATCTGTAGCATGGTCAGTAGCAGTAGCACTAGCAGTAGCTACTGACAGGAGGAAGTCAGTGTGTGTGGCGATTGCTGGTATTCAGCGGGATATAGTCATTTCCTCAGCATATGGATAAATGCAACGGGGAAGTTAACTGAAAGAAACCAAGAAGCACGTCTCTGTGGATATTGCATCGAGAGGACGGCTCAGAAAGAGAGATATTCTCTACAAACACCGGGTGAGATGCACCTTTGTCAATATAATGGATCAATGCATGAAATCTGACTCTGTTTATTTTGTTTAAGGAGTATATTGGGCGTTAACAATTCTGGTTTGCCTTTTATAATATTATTTCATTCAAGAATCCCTTGTGCGTTTAATTAACACAGCTATTTTTGATAGTTGCTACAGCAGTGAGCAGGAGAGGCGGGGCTATCCTATTTTTCGAGGAAATATTCGTATAGAGGTGATTACACGGACTCGGTTGACCCCCCAGAGCGTTTCGTTTGCAAATCTATCCACCTTGGGACCCGTTATTGTTTGTGGGGTCAGTTTCTATCGGCCTCGTGTAAATAATAGGGCTATACGCACGCGAAACTATGCAGATACAAGCAGTTTTCTCCTCGTGTAAACGGCGCCTTAATGTAAGTAATTAACTGGAAACATTTCTAGCTGATATCTTTAAGTTACAAAAATGACCCTATTCACCTGTAGTGTCTCGCCTTAAAGCCCAATGGGACATATACGTCACTTTTCAGATATTTGACCCTAGGGGGGGTTACTTGTCAGAAATGTGTTGTACGTGGTCTATTTAGTCTAAATTAAGTTCCTCTTAATTTCCCAAAAAGTAGAAATGGGTCCGGCTTCTTATGGGTTAAGACAATGAAGCCAATATCACGGATGACGATGACCTAATCTTTTATTTTCAAGAAAAATGTACGCTAGAGGGAGGACCAGCAAAGCTTCTTCTTCTTGCTCCTTTTGAACATGACGGAACATTTATTTAAAACCGCTTTACAGAGATAGTGAAAAGAAAAGAAACAACAAATAAATATAGTTAAAGTCAAATTAAAATCAAGCGATACAACAACCACACGTTAGAAGCCAGACTGAAGAGGTGAGTTTGTGCACGTTTCCTCACCTGCGCTCCCAAACTCCATTCTCCTGTTCGCCGTCCGTCACCTGCTTGTTTTCGAACACCAGGGCGTCTTTAAAACTGACCTCACAGGAATCATCGGACTCCAGCCCTGACGGAGAAAACAAGATACGTTTTACTGGAACAGGTTGACTTGTAATTAGTTCTTTGAGAGACACATTATTTGGTCATTTTTTATATATAAAAAGGCCTTGAAATGCTGTTTTCACCTTCAGATATTAAGATTTGTTGCTTTTCTCTGTTAAATATCATTTTTAATGACATTTCTTTGGGTTTTGAACTGACAAAAAGTGACTTCTGAAGACATTACCTTGGACTTTGAGAAACTGGGAGGTTAGATTTCACTATTTTTCGATATTTTATACACAAAACCTGGAAATATAAAAATGTTTTGTTTGTTTAAGTTTCACTGTCCTACTTAGGGTTACAACGAAAGCTAAAAAATGACAATAGGATGTCGGTATGTCTTTAATCTAAATATATATAAAGCCCTACATACATATATTTATAAAAGCACTGTGTGTAAAAGAAAGTGAAAAAGCATTATCATTAATTAAATATTACCTACATAGATAGAAAAGAAGGATGACTCAATGCAACAGACCCGTACACACTACGGGATAAAGTGGTGAGATAATTTACTCGTAAAATTACAACAGTGTCAGAAGCAGAGGTAGGAAGTAACTAAGTACATTTACTCAAGTACTGTACTTAATATAAGTACAATGTTGAGATACTTGTACTTTACTTGAGTATGTCCATGTTATGCTACTTTGTTCTTCTACTCCACTACAATTCAGAGGTACATGTTGTACTTTTCCTCCACTACATGTATTTAATCCCTTTAGTTACTTCACAGATGTGGATGAATGATGTGAAATATAATCAAGTGTTAAATCAGACTTTAGTTCCACCTGGAGTAAATCCACAAGCTACCCTGCAGTATACAAAGTCATTCAAACTAGCTGCACCTTTACCAGCTTTGAGAACACTTTCATGATCAATCATTATAAAACATATCATATATATTATTCTGAAATGGACCAATCTGCACAATGACTACTTTTACTGTCGCTACTTTAACTATATTTTGATGAGAATACTTTTCTACTTTTACTTGAGGAACATTTTGAATGCAGGACTTTTACTGAAACAGAGTATTCCTACACTCTGGTACTTCTACTTTTACTCAAGTACAAGATCTGAGTACTTGTACTTTTACTCAAGTACAAGATCTGAGTACTTTTTCCACCTCTGTTAAAGTAAGTATCTCAAAATTGTACTTAAGTACAGTACTTGAGTACATGTATTCAGTTACTTTAAACCACTGTAATTTAAAGTACCTAGTTACTCAGTTTCCACCAGTGATACAATATGAAGCGGGAGTGTGAATAAAAGAAAGGAAAGACACCACAGGCACAAGGATGTGATTATGTTCCTGAATGCAGACGCCTCTCACCTGTCTCAGCATCGTAAAACTCCTCCTCGCTGTTCATCCTGACAGTAAATCAGTCACCTGTTTCTGCAGCACCGAGCATCACATCCGGCCAGAAACACCTGCAACAGCAGCGACCCGTTACACACAAGCAGGGGCAGCAAAACACCAGCAAATGCATGTTAAAAAACTAACAAAAAGCAGCTGTTTGGCTCCCTGTCAGCAGCTTTGCTAACCAAAACAAAACCAGCTAGCTGCTAGCTCGGATTAGCTAACCAGCCGTTAGCATAGCTGCTTCTAAGCTAAATTAAACATTTAGCTGGAGGAAGTGCTGCAAACAAAGCTAACAATATACACATAGATACTGTAGAGAAGATTTGAACATCGTTTGATTTAATATACCTGTGAATAAAGGTCAAATTATTGCTCAATCGAAGAGTAAACTCAATCGAAGAGTAAACTGTGTCTAACAGAGCGGAAGTGGGCGGGAAGGACACCGTGATTGACAGATCCAGCAGCCAATCAGCGCGTCCTCTCCGCCCACTTCCGGCCTGTCTTGTTCTCCATTGTTTATGTCACTGAATCAAATGAAAAAAAGTTCTAAAAATAGATGTTTTTTAATCAGATTCAATAATATGACCTTAAATCAGATATACAAACAATAGTTAAATACAGGCTGAGGATTCCTGACAAAAGAGTGTATTATTAGTTGTTATTGTGTGTTCTTCTTATGTCTACACTATGTTTGTTTATTATAATAAAGAAGCTTTGGGATCAGTTTTCTGTCCTATAAACTAGCATCTGCTTCATTGCATGGTCTTGCACACTAAATGTGAATAATATCCCACTTTTATATTGTGTTGGCTCTAATTTAACCGTCTATAGAGTTTTATTCGTCAGATAATTTACATATTTTTACTTTTAGTTGTTTTATTTTTTCTATTTTGAGATGTGTATAATTGTTTATGTTCTACTCTTGCTACTAACTGCAGTATTTTTGACTTGTTTTGAACATTTTAATTATCCAGAATGTTTATAGAGAGGCGAAGTCCCTCCCTTTCCGATGGACCACCATGTGACCTTATTTCGGAAAAATTATGTATTGAAGTCTGGAGAGAGAAAGATTATCTTTCGATCCCGTTTGAATTGTGCCATGAATTACACATATGATGTTTGTCAATTTAAAAAATAATTTCCATGTCAAAAAAGTCACAGTTTGTCGTAAAACTGTTGAAATATAAGACTATGAAAAATACGCAACTAGAAAGACTACAAATCCCAGAATCCCAGTCCTGCATGCTGGCTCTTAGGAACCGACTAACTCCCCTTGTGTGTATGTACAGCTCTCAACATGCCCAGACTTGGAGTGATTTTCACCTCTTTTAATACTTTTCGCCTCATTCTGAAAGAAAGAAGTGAAATGTGCCAACGTGACGGCCGTCTTGGTGTGTGGTGCGAGACGGGAGATGTAGTTCATTGAGCGGATTCACACACAAAAAAGTGTTACTTCACAGTTTTACGACACATTTTAATTTTTTTGACTTGTAAAATTATCTTTTAAATTGACAAACATCATATGTGTGATTCGTGGCACAATTCAAACGGGATCGTTTCACCCCATTGACTTCAATACATACTTTTTCTGAAATAAGGTCCCATGGAGGTCCCCGGGAAAGGGAGGGACTTCGCCTCTCTATACTGTTGTTAATATTTGATATAATCTTTTTCATTTTATTTGTACTTTTAATTTGTTGTTATTAATTCTCTGTTCCACTTTTTAACTATTTTTTATTTTATGTCTGAACACACTGATGTAACAAATGTAGGCAGTGGCTCATTCAGTAGGGGCTTGGACTGTGAGCCGTAGGGTCGCCGGTTCAAGTCCCCCGACCAGACCTAAATATGGGGTGTTTCTCAATCGCGAGTACGCTTGCTTGGTAGCACATGTCTGCCGAGCATCTTGCTTCAGAAGCGAGTCAAGAATACTTCCTGACATTCGGAAAACAAAGAGAGGAACACGCTAGCAAGTGTGCAGGTGTGCCTTACATCTTCCGTCACAGATTTGGGGAAATTGGTCCGTGCGCAAAGCATTGTGGGGATTTTAAGACCGCGAAGTCTACTCATGTGCACACACTCGATATTTCTCCAAACGGAGTACGCCGGGCTCGGTAGATTTCCAAGTATACTGGAGATTGGAACAGTACTTCGGCGGCACTCGATGACGTAGTATGCTTGAAATAGTGGCTCTGAAGCAGCTTTACTCGCGATTTACTAGACTCCTGGTACTAGGATGGGTTAAATGCAGAGAACACATGTCACTGTGTGCTGGGTGCTCTGCATGTGTGACCATTACAGAGGGTTTTGTATTTAGCTGTAGTTCCATTATGAATCCACAAGGTGGCAGCTTTGGACCTTTTAACAATTACCCCTTACTTACACGAGTCAATATTTAGGGATTAAGTTGTAACATTATAAAGATGCTTGGCAAATATAGAAAACATTATACTATAGGATTCCATTTTAAGTTACCATAGATGTCAACAATCAACCTGTTGGTTTCTGTTCAAATTGGTCCAGTTCTAGAAAACGAAATGAAAATAATTTGTTGTTTTCTTCTTATTATCTTATAAAATAAACAGTTTGGAAAAAGAAGAATAGTGCGGGAAATGTGGTTTAATGTGAAAACAATAAAGAAGTTAGACAGCGTCATCCAGAGTGAATGACAGAGTTTTATTTTGGAATTGGGGACCGGAAGTCATTAAAAAGCCAGGTTACTCCCACACTGCCGGTGACTCTCTGCGCATTTTGGGAAAGTTTTAGTCTTCGGGATGGAGAGCAACCAGTCGGATGTCTCTCAGTCACGCTTAAGCTTCTGATTCAACACCTTTTATAGAGCTGTGGAACCATAATGATCATTTTTTAACTAAAGTAACTGAATAACTTAAAAGAAGAAGTAGGAACAAGTCGTGATGTCTGCGCTCCGGAGTCAGAAACAACCCAAGGCGCAGCAGCCGGTTTACGCGCAGAGGAAGAAGAAAGATTATTCCAGAGAAGCTCACAGTGGCTCTCAGGAGGGGAAAGAGGGGAAAGCACCGGGGAAAGGACCAGGGAAAGGACCAGGGAAAGAGGGGAAAGAGTCCTCCGGTTGCCCCGCAGAGAGGAAGCTGTCCGACGCCTCCAACACCTCGGAGGATCTGAGCAAAGACTCCGGCTGTGCGTCCGGGAAACTCTCCTCCTCCTCGGACAGCAGCTCTGAGATCTCGGATTCTTCCCCCTCGGAGGGAAACAGTAAAGAGTCTCCGAGCAGAGATTTAAGCTGGATCGACAGAGGAGCTTATCTGTGGAGGAGTGATGGGAACCCGTGCGTAAAGGGAGACTCCCAGCCGCTCAGCATGCTCCAGTCTCCGGGGGGTTTTATGGATCTCATGATGGGGGAGACCACCGAGGATCTGGTGCGCGAGGTGGAGGATTTGAGATCAGAGAACGAGTATTTGAAGGTGAGTTTGATTTAAGGTGTTTATTCTGTTTGCGTAAATATAAGTGGGAGAAGTATTTAGAGTTTTGACTTAAATTAACGAGTACAATGATTCTGTTAAAAAGATGAAGTATGTATATTTGTCTCTGACACCATCAGCAGGGTTAAAGGACATGAGCAACCAAGGTTACCAAATAAAATACATAGAATCAAATGCAAAATCAGTCAGAAAGGGATGCAAAATGACCCTAACCCAAAACAAGTCACACAACTGATGGACACAAAACAAAACTCACAAAGACTAGAAAGAGGTGAGAAATCTGTTCAATATTTAATATTTAATATTAATATTCCTTCTGTCATATATTTATGTATATATATATTTGTATATATAATACCATTCAACATATATATTTTGTACTTTCTTGATTATTTCTTTGAAGTGTTATTGTATTGTACATTGCCTTGTCTTCTTATGCTGCTGTAACACAAAAATGTCCCAAATTGGGATCAATAAAGTACCATCTTATCTTATCTTATCTTAAAATGAGCCTTAAAGGTAGGGTAGGTCATTTTGGAGAAACCGGCTCGAGATCGCTAGAATTTGAAAATACACAGCCGGAGAAAATCTGCCACTTCCTTACAGAGCCCCTCCTCCAACACACACGAACGCGCACATGACCAATGAGGGCACGAGATAAGTTTGTGCACAGATGGAAGGCTGACAGGCAGGTAGGCCATCCAGTTACTTTAGCCGGGCCGGCTCAGATGATTGGTCGTGCTTTTTACAGTACTACAGCTTCCACAGATGACATTTTTTATGGATTTATTGTCAAAGCACTTCAGATATTCATTGCTATCGGGATGTTAAGAGCATTCCATGGAATATAACAAAAAGTGTATCTCGAGCCGGTTTCTCAAACTTACCTACCCCACCTTTAAGGTAAGAAGAAAATTAAACTATAAACTCCCACCAAAATTAGATCTAATTTCCAAAAGGGACGCGAAATGAGACACAAAAACCCGCCAATTGGGAGGCTAAATTAGATACAGAACAGGACATACAATGGGCTGCAAAAAAGAAAACAAATGGCCAAACAAATGAGACGAGAATTCAGAAGAAAATGAGGCAAACTACCACATAGCAAAACAATAAGCAAGCAACCCAGTCTCACGGTATTTCATGTATTAGTCACGAAATTAATTTAATCTATTGATTCGTGTTCACCAACACGATTTTCACATTTTTTTCGTGTCACACAGAAAGATTTTAAATGCAATGTATTTCTATTGGTAGTATGTTTCGTGCCTGCAACACGTCTTTTTGTCCGGTCGGGTCTTGGAAGACCAGAAGCTGTGTGGTTCATAAAAACATGTTCTTACTCAATATCTTACCCTAAGCCTAACCCTATCCCTTTTATTTTAAATTGTATAATGTCTGAGTTTTGTTGCCGTCAGTGAGGAAAAGAAATGGCTCAGAGCCTCAGAATACTGACATCTGTATTTTATGTCATCTTTTTTAGATTCTAATTTGTTATTATTTGATGCAGGCACGAAACATACTACCAATATAAATACATTGCTTCTAAAATCGTTCTGTGTCAGAATACTTAAATCTGTATTTTTTTGTATCTGTTTTTCCTTCTAATTTGTTATTATTTACATTGCTTTTAAAATCGTTCTGTGTGACACGAAAAAAATGGCGAAATCGTGTTGGTGGACACGAATCAATAGATTAATTTCGTGACTATAACACGAAATGCCGCGAGACTGTGTTGAAGCAAGGTAAGCAACATTTGACTCAAAACAAGACACCAGACAATTAGAAATTAGCATAAATGGACGCAAAATGAGACAATCACCCAAATGGGATGCCAAATGAGATACAAAAGAAAAGAGGACACAAAATGGGCTGCAAAACCAGATGAGAATTGAGAAGACAATTAGACAAACTACCACCAAGGGAAGGTAAGCAACATTTGACACAAAAGGAGATACCAAACAAATTCAAAACAGACTCAAAGAAAGTAGATCAAATTTCGAAAGAGGGATGCAAAATGAGACGCAAAAAATAACCACAAAGAAGCAAAACTTCCTTTATTTTGAGTCCAATTGGTCGCATTATTTATCTAATATATCATATTCCAATTACTTGTATATAGACTCTCCTTGCTCTATTGTATCTGTTTTATTGCGTTGCACTGTTGGAGGAGGAGCCTGTGACCTCAGATTGTCATTGCTATATCTGTAGCTATGATCACATGACAATAAAAGCCTTGAATCTTGAATCTTCCTCTTTCTCCCTCAGGTCTTGTGTGCAGTAATGAAAGTTGTTGTTGTGTTGCAGGATGAGGTGGAGGAGCTGCGCTGTGAGATGCTGGAGATGCGCGACCTGTTCCAGGAGGAGGAGGTTTACCAGCTGCAGAGCCTGAAGCTGCAGCTGGACCAAACTAGCAAGACCTGCCGCGTCCTGCAGTACCGGCTCCGCAAGGCCGAGCGCCGCAGCCTCCGAGTGGCCCAGAGCGGGGGGGCGGACGGGGAGCTGGTGCGCAGCCTGGAGCACGACAACAAGGTCAGAGGTCATTAGTTTATCCTCTGCAAAGGACTTAATACAAACAAACAGAGATGGTAGAAGTACACACATCCTTTACTGAAGTAGAAGTACAGATACTCGTGTTTAAAAATACTCTGGTGAAAGTAGAAGTACTGACTAAACTTCTTTACTCAAGTCAAAGTAAAGAGGGCTTTGAAATGTACTTCAGTAAAAAGTACCCATAACTAGCAGCTGTTTTAAAGAGTACCTGACCTCCCTTTATATTAATAGAACAATCATGTCATTGTTAGCTAATGAATGTTTCCATGCTGAACAACGGCAACATGACAACGTTTTCATTGGTCCCTCTTCTTTAGAGAAGACCAGGAAATGATGGATACACGGATCGTGTTCAAATCAATAGGCACGCAATGACTCTAAATAATAATGATCACGCCACCAAACACACATTCAAACTAAAGGAACCAGCCTGTTTGGGAAATGTAAGAAGTAGAAAGTACAGGTATTTGGGTTCAACATGTAAGAAGTAGAAAGTACAGGTATTTGGGTTCAACATGTAAGAAGTAGAAAGTACAGGTATTTGTGTTCAACATGTAAGAAGTAGAAAGTACAGGTATTTGTGTTCAACATGTAAGAAGTAGAAAGTACAGGTATTTGTGTTCAACATGTAAGAAGTAGAAAGTACAGGTATTTGTGTTCAAAGAAAAGTTGACACAAAATATCTAGAAAAAAGGCGCAAAAATGTGACTCAGATGAGAATAAAAAACAAGTTGCAAACTGACTTGAAAAGGGACGCAAACTAGTTGAAAAATGGTCTAGAAATAAGTAGAAAATATTATGCAACACCTCTAGAAAAAAAACGCAAAACGGGGACTCAAATGAGACAAAAGCAAAATGAGACGCAAAACTCAAAAACCTAAACTCCAACACAAGATGCAAAACCACCAGAAAGGGAGGCAAATGAGAAGCTTCTAGATCTAGAAGAATGGGCAAAACTAAGCTCACATGAGACTGAAGAACAAAATGCAAAAGGACTGAAAAAGAGACGCAAATCAAGTAACAAATCGTTTAGAAGAAGGTAGCAAAACGAGTACAAACGGATGCGAAATGAAGCGATCGAGCAAGAGGCGGAAAATTAGAGGCCAAATGGCCACGAAGGGTTAATGTCTGGCTTTGGACTGAATGACTGCGATTCCCGTCGGACTGTATTTATTCGACAGCAGCCTGACTCACTGAGCTGTAAAACACTTCCCGCTGGCCACAGAAGCGCCATTAGTTCAAAGTGTCTTCATCACGCAAGCTGCTTTTATTTTAGTCGTACTCTGGTGTAATTATGTGGTGAGCTTTCTCCCTCAGCAGGAAACTAAAATGGAAAGAGAAATCTGAATCACGGCAGCTCTGAGGTGGCAGCCGGACTCAGGGTGTGTGTGTGTGTGTGTGTGTGTGTGTGTGTGTGTGTGTGTGTGTGTGTGTGTGTGTGTGTGTGTGTGTGTGTGTGTGTGTGTGTGTGTGTGTGTGTGTGTGTGTGTGTGTGTGTGTGTGTGTGTGTGTGTGTGTGGTGTGTGTGTGTGTGTGTGTGTGTGTGTGTGTGTGTGTGTGTGTGTGTGTGTGTGTGTGTGGTGTAGGATTCCCAACAGCCTCACCCTCTCACACACTCATATGGTGAATTCCTGTCACAGGCTTGTCCTTGTAAAGCCTTGTGCTGATGTTTTTGCCTGATTGGAGCCAGAGATCAGGAGTGTGTGTGTGTGTGTGTGTGTGTGTGTGTGTGTGTTTGAAGTGAGTGTTAACATCTCTATAGGAAATTAGATCAAACAACTACTTAAGAGGCATCAAAGAACTTCAGTGAGGAGATATACAACCAGTGATAAAAGGCCACGAACAAACACAGTTCAGCTGCAAAGCGATGCAAATAGAGACGGAGAAAGCAAGATACAAAAAAGGGGCAAAACGACTAAAAAATGAGGCCAGAAAGAAGGTATGAAGAGGTACAAAATGAGAAGCAAAACTAGTCACAAAGGAAAACAAAAGAGATGGTTTAGAACGAGGCGGCAAACCAGACGTAAGAAACAGAAAACATCGTAAAGGATATACAAAACGAGAGGCCAAACCAGGAGCAAAAGGCCACAAAAGAAACAAAGAACAGGTCTGACGGGGTGCAATCTGAGAAGCAAAACGAGACAAAGAGACACCATGCAAAACGACTAAAAAGGGATGCATAATAGCTAGAAATGGCAACGTGAGACAAAAAGAGACTCAAAAGGAGCTGCAAAACGACACTAGACATAAAACAAGAGACCAAACATTACAAAGAAACATTAAGCATTACAAAAAGGCTAAATAAGACTCAAAATGAAACTCCAATAAGATACAAAACATCAGTCAGACATCAAAGACTAGAGATTCAAAACTTCCTCAAAAAGACTAAAAAATAAGTTATTCTGTTTCGAGGGCTGTTAGAAAAATCTCCCTCGTCCCCGGCTTGAGCTTCAACCTCAGGATCCATGTATTTGTGATCCTCTCCAGAATGGAAGTAGTCATCACATACAGAGCATCAACTAGTTCCTGAACAGTGTCCTTCACATGCTGATATCCAAGAGAGGGAGTTACACAGTCACAAGATGGAGGAATAGAAAGCAGTATTCAATGTTTACTTCAGATTAGCTCCACGTCAGAAATGATCATGCTTGTCATATGTCTATCTCCATAGAGGCTAAATCATCATGTTAATCACATAGCTATCATGTGCCTCAAACAGTCCTGATGCTCTTCTAGGTAATCATACATCCTGTCATGAACACAGCTACAGTTGGGATACCTTTGTTATCATGTTACTCTCACATTGGAAGAGGCCGTTCAGTATGTTCCCAACAAGGTGCTCGTAGTCTCATAATCTCCACTGTCTGCTGGTTTTGTTGTCAGGTTGCAAAGAGCGTGTCTCTGCGGCTGTACAGCGAGCTGGAGGCGCTGCAGAAGAAGGAGGCGGCGCTGCAGTGGGAGAACGAGGCGCTGAGGGAGAAAACTCAAGAGCTGGAGGTCGCTAAACAAGTGCTGCAAGCCGAGGTGGACAAAACCAGAGAGGTAAATACACTTTGGTTTATTCCCATTTCACCCCTTTCCCATTTCGCCCCCTGTCCCATGCAGCCCCAACAACAGCCTCTGATTCGTCAACAGACTTCCTGCAATGCTTCATGGGATGCATCATTAGATCTATAAACTCTAACCGTAACCCTAACCCGAAGACCCACGACCAAGCAAAACAAGTATCATTTCTTATCTGGCCTAATGTAAAAAAGGGGCGAAATGGAAAGGGGCGAAATGGGAAGACACCATACACTTTAATGTGCTTCATTGTAATGAAGAATGATGAGGGTTTTTGTACGGGGTGATAAGTCAATCTGTTTATTGATTCAGAAATTCAAAACGTGACCCAAGCTAGACACAAAACAAGATGTAAAATGAGTTGAAAGTAAGTACTACAAAAACTCGAAATCTTACAAAGTACATTTGTCTAATATCTAGTCAGAATATGTCTCTACACTTGCTATAACGGAACGTCCACACGGCTCCGTCGCGTTGAAGCTTGCCGGTGGGCGTGTCTGCCGTGCGACCAACAACCAATCACATTAATCTCCCGCCCCGGACACACAAGCACACGGTTTGATTGGCTAGAGCTTGTCCTGGCATATGATTTGATTGGCTGACGCTTCCGTCGACGCTTGAAAAATTGAACTTTTCTCAACTTTCGAAGCGAGCAACGGAGGAGGCAAAGTGACGCGACGGAACCACAATGCAGTTCGGCAAAGCTTGACGTCACCCCATTCAAAGTGAATGGGAAGCGTCTCCGTTGAAGCACGTGACGGAGCCGTGTGGACGTACCGTAAGACATCATAACTTCAGAAGTAACACTGCAGTGAGATATCAGGTCTTGTTTTTAGACAATGCATCATCTTGTTAAGTCAAAAAAATCTTATTTTGAGTCGTATCTCACATGAAACACATATTTACTAACGTATTTATTAGAAAATCATCAACTAACATCAGAACACAGAAACACCTTTGAGCATTAGCGGCTTATTTTATAACACAACAATTCCTGATTCTGGTGAAATATAGTTCAGAATGAGTTCTCCAGCTGATTACAAGATGTGATTTATCTAAATATCCCTTCTTATTTCAAGAAATCTTACCAAGCAAACTTTCACTTGTTCTATTGGCAGATTTTTTTACTTATTTCAAGTGAAAACACCTTGTTTTTATTATTGTTTAACTTGTTTTTGGAGCAGCATTTTTTTCCAGTGAGGTGAAATACACTTTATTACATACAGAAAGGAAAGCAAAAAGAGACGCAAAACAAGATATATATGTATATATAATGTCCTACATGTATATTTTCAAAAAGAAATTATTGTGATTTCTAGTCTTTTAATTTGTATTGTACAATTCCATGTCTTTGTATGCTGCTGCAATGCAAACATTTCCCAAATTGGGATCAATAAAGTACTTTTACTTATCTTCTTATCTTATCTTATCTTGAATAACACAAGAATAAGATGCCAAGGGACAGAAACCAAATCACAAAACGAGACCCCACAAACTCAAACTGAAATGAGACACACCCAAAGATGCTTCACAAAGAGCTGCTGACCCACAGCTGCAGCCAGCTGTCGCCTCAGAGACACATGACCCGGGTCAAATATTAGGGGGTTGGGGGGGGCAGCTGACATCCTCAGAGAAACAGAGAATCTTAAATAGACTTTCTGCTCTTATTAAGCTAAAGGCTAAATCTGGATCATTGCGTATTGTGTAGGGGTGGAGGAAGTACTCAGATATTTCTATAAGTAAAAGGGTTCATGTGACCGTGCTGTAGTTCCTTTATAGCCCAACATTAGCCGCCTTTAGCTTAGCGGTGGTGACGTGAAGTCATGTGACCGTGCTGTAGTTCCTTTATAGCCCAACATTAGCCGCCTTTAGCTTAGCGGTGGTAACGTGAAGTCATGTGACCGTGCTGTAGTTCCTTTATAGCCCAACATTAGCCGCCTTTAGCTTAGCGGTGGTGACGTGAAGTCATGTGACCGTGCTGTAGTTCCTTTATAGCCCAACATTAGCCGCCTTTAGCTTAGCGGTGGTGAAGTGAAGTCATGTGATCGTGCTGTAGTTCCTTTATAGCCCAACATTAGCCGCCTTTAGCTTAGCGGTGGTGACGTGAAGTCATGTGACCGTGCTGTAGTTCCTTTATGGCCCAACATTAGCCGCCTTTAGCTTAGCGGTGGTGAAGTGAAGTCATGTGATCGTGCTGTAGTTCCTTTATAGCCCAACATTAGCCGCCTTTAGCTTAGCGGTGGTGACGTGAAGTCATGTGACCGTGCTGTAGTTCCTTTACAGCCCAACATTAGCCACCTTTAGCTTAGCGGTGGCTACGTGAAGTCATGTGACCGTGCTCTAGTTCCTTTATAGCCCAACATTAGCCACCTTTAGCTTAGCGGTAGTGAAGTGATGTCATGTGACCGTGCTGTAGTTCCTTTATAGCCCAACATTAGCCACCTTTAGCTTAGCGGTGGTTACGTGAAGTCATGTGACCGTACTGTAGTTCCTTTACAGCCCAACATTAGCCTCCTTTAGCTTAGCGGAGGTGACGTGAAGTCATGTGACCATGCTGTAGTTCCTTTACAGCCCAACATTAGCCTCCTTTAGCTTAGCGGTGGTGACGTGAAGTCATGTGACCATGCTGTAGTTCCTTTATAGCCCAACATTAGCCTCCTTTAGCTTAGCGGTGGTGACGTGAAGTCATGTGACCGTGCTGTAGTTCCTTTACAGCCCAACATTAGCCTCCTTTAGCTTAGCGGTGGTGACGTGAAGTCATGTGACCATGCTGTAGTTCCTTTATAGCCCAACATTAGCCTCCTTTAGCTTAGCGGTGGTGACGTGAAGTCATGTGACCGTGCTGTAGTTCCTTTATAGCCCAACATTAGCCTCCTTTAGCTTAGCGGTGGTGACGTGAAGTCATGTGACCCCTGCTGTAGTTTTGTTTATAGCCTAACGTCAGCTTTTTACTTCAGAATTAATAAAGTGGTGTTAATATGTGAAGATAATTTATAACACAAATATAAATGAACTTAGTGACATTACATCACTGGCATTCAAAGTGTTTTTTATGCTCAGACACACTGACCCACGGCCGTCCTTTGCTTTGATGAAACTACCAAACCCCAGCAGTGAATGTCAGCCACTCTCGCGCCCCCTCCTCTCTGCACTCTGTGACTCGGTTTAATCCAGGATTCGCTGCCTGCCTTGGCGTGAGCTCAGACTTCGGCTCAGCTGCTCGTCCCTTTGATCCCAGTGAGGAAATCCACTTAGATTGACTAATCTAGAGCTAGAAAACACACGTCTGATGGATGTGGAGAGGGAGGGACGCTTCAGAAACTGAAACATGTCCGTCTGTGACTGTCTGTGACCTGCAGATTCATGAATAATCAGAAACCTATCAAATAAGACTCAAACCGCACTTTTATTTTGATAATCCACACAATTTATGGACATTTTAGTTCGAGAAAGGCCGATATGGAGTTCTTTCTCTTACTTTTATCACATCTAAGGTCACAAGATAGTAACTATACAGCCTGCAGGCTCACTGACCTTTCATTTAGAAAACACTGTTGGCACTTTTTGTGTTTGTCACTTTAAAAAGAGACGAAAATTGGCCACAAAAAGGCACAAGATACAAAAATATTTAAAAGAGACGTAAGAATTACCTTAAAGAGACGGCAAAAGAACTACAAAAAGACACAAGCCAACTAAAGAGAGGAATAATGACTACAAAGAGATATAAAATGACGGAAGACAACTACCAAGAGACGCAAAATGAGCATAGAGAGACATCAAACATCCACAAAAAAGTAAAAAACCTCTTAAGAAAGTCAGAAAATCAACCACTAGGAGACCCAGATTGACCACAGTGAAGCCCACTGACCTTGAATTGAAAACCCATGACTAGAATTTGACCGTGCACTCTTTACGTTTCCCACCTCTCGTCTGGAGGAGATATTATTAACGCTGTGACATCCTGTCTGGACACAAAGCTGCAGATAGAAACTCACATTCCTCTCATGCTCAGACCAGAAGGGCTCGGATGTTAGGAAACGTTAGGACTGTTTTGGGTATTTTAAGCATCTCTGAAAGCACCAGGGCATGATGATCAGCTCAAAATATATTAATTTAAAGGAATCGTTTGATAATTTGGGAAATACACTTTTGCGTGTAGTGAGAAAGCCAGCTGTCCGTTAGCTTAGCTTAGCATAAGGACTGGGAAACAGCTAGTCTTTGCACCTCTGAAGCTCAACAATAAAACACATTCTTAATTTGTTTTAGGTGTACTTAAAGGTCCCATGTCATGCTTTTCTGGTTATTACCCGTCCCCTTGTGTTATGTAGCTTTTTCTGCATGTAAACGGTCTGCAGAGTCTCAAACCCTCAAAGTACACCCTGTAGCGAGTACAACTCTAACACAGAAAATACCGGTCTATGCTGCCTCAGAACGCCTCGTTGGAGATTTCTCTTTTTCCATTGTTTTCTTCCTGGGTACAGTGACGTGCCCATACCCAAATGGACCAATCCGTGGAGCCGTTACATTACGTCCGCAGAGCCGTTAAGACTTCCTCACACACACACACACTCAATCTTTTCTCAGCTGCATCTCCGCCGATTTCTCCTCCCTGAGACGGCGGGACGCGGCGAGGCTGTGAGTCGGTGTGTGTGTTCGGGCTGGGTTTTGCTGTGTCTCGCTGTGTCTCGCTGTCTCGCAGACGGCCACTGGGCTCATAGGGAGGGGGGGGGAGCTCCAACAAGCCGTTTAGGACAGAGAGTGAATACACATACTATACAGAGATGCTGTATGAGAATCCAATGTGAGTTTGGAACATTTAACAATATAAATCTATTCTAGTATACCTCAACAATGGAATTATGATCAGTGGAAATGGCCATGACACGGGACCTTTAATATGCTTCTACTATATGTATATATATTAAAGGACATACTAGTGGAAACCCCCCAAAGAAGAGCCGAGTCTAGTAGAGCTGATCCATGAAGTCTTCTTGACTTAATTGTACTCCAGTATACTTTTTGGGCATAATGGATGACCTTGGGATCTGTGTTGTTAGTTTTTAGGATTCTTTATAAATAATTGAATATGTTTTGATCCCTCAGAGCACTCTGAAGAGGAAGAGCCTCCGATCTTCATCCAGCCGAGCAGAGAAGAGGCTCTCTCAGCAGATCGAGGTTTGATACGTTTCTTATTTCAATCTGATTGCAAATCTTGTGGCAAAGCAGTTTGAATCTATTTTGTTGTTGTTGTTGTTGTTGTTGTTGTTGGAACACTATTGTCCTTTTAAGATAAGATGATAAGATGTACTTTACTGATCACAAGTTGGGACATTTTTGATGTACAAGTAAGTATAAATATGGAAAATAAATTAAAGCTGCATGTTGCGTTGGGTTGTCACAATCTGAAACCAGAGCCCAGTCTGCTCTGATTGGTTAGCTGGCCGGCTCTGTTGGGATTGGTCAACCGCTTAGACAGATGTCCCGCCCCTTAGCCAATCACGTACAATGTGACAAATTTGTATCCTAGCCAATAGAAGCTGTAGAGAAACTCCATCTTGAGGAAACACAGGGATTTTAGCCTTTACAGACCATTTACATGCACTAACATCTATAGAACAGGAGAGGGAACACGCTAAGAAAGCATAATAGGGCCTCTTTGACGCATATTAAAGTAATTGCTAAACCCTTAATGTTGCAGTAAATGTATTTATCCTGATATCTTTTATTGTTAAACCCTTAAAGGTAGGGTAGGTAAGAATGGAGAAACCAGCTCGAGTGCGCTAGAATTTGAAAGTACGTAGCCGAAAAGAATCTGCCCCTTCCTTCAGACTTCCTTATAGAGCCCCTCCTCCAACACACACGAACGCGCACATGACCAATGAGGGCACGAGATAAGTTTGTGCACAGATGGAAGGCTGACAGGCAGGTAGGCCATCCAGTTATTTTAGCCGGGCCGGCTCAGATGATTGGTCGTGCTTTTTACAGTACCACGGCTTCCACAGATGATATTTTTTAATGGATTTATTGTCAAAGCATTTAAGATATTCATTGCTATCGGGATGTTAAGAGCATTCCATGGAATATAACAACAAGTGTTTCTGAAGTGAATTACCTACCCCACCTTTAAAGTTGCAGTAAATGTACTTATCCTCCTCGTCTGACTCATATATCCTTTATTGTTTCGCTGCAGGACGACAGCGCTGATCTCCGCTGCCAGCTACACTTTGCCAAAGAGGAATTATCTCTGATGTGCAAGAAGCTCTCCAAGCTGGTGTCGGAGAGCGAGATCCTTCGGGAGGAGCTCTGCAGATATCAATCACCAGAGGGCCGACAAACCTCCGCTCACAGCAGGGAGGCCGAGGTCAAAGTTCACCTGAGGCTGGTGGAGGAGGAGGCCACGCTGCTGAGCCGACGCATCGTGGAGCTGGAGGTGGAGAACCGAGGACTGAGGGCGGAGATGAGCGACATGAGGGAGAAAACAGGAAGAGGGGGCGAGGAAGAGGAGGAAATGGCGTGGAAGGAAAGAGAGGAAAGTTTGAAGCAGGTAGAGGAAGGTAGAAGCGATGAGGAGAATATTCAGATTACACGAGAGGGTCCTGTGGGAGGGGAGTGGGACCCGGCAGACGCTCAGGAAAACGAGAAAAACCCCGACAGACGAGGGGTGATAGTGAAGGAATATGAAACTCTTCTCGCTCTCAGGGATCATTCCTCCATGTTGGGCTCGGCCATCCTGCTCATGACGCCAAAGAACAGCCACCGATCGCCTACCTTTATTTCTCAGACGGAGGATTTCGACATGAAGAGTTTTTACGATGCGTTGGAGCTTCTGCAGGCCATGCTGTCGGCTTTCATCGGACACGTGGAGACGCTTCTGTCAGCAGAAGATTTGGGGAAAAAGGATGCTTGGGATTCCCAGACGTTATCCTTTCTCTGTGGAGATTTTGACATCCAAGAGTCTCAAAGTAAGCAGGAGTTCGTAGAAGATCTCCGCACCTCGGAGGTTAAGGAGAGGGAAAAACAAACGAGACAATCGACTTGTTTCCAGTTGGATCTGATGCAAAGCTGCAGGGACCCGAAGATGCGACTGTCCCTTCAGATTCTGAGGATCCTCCATCAGTGGTGCCAAGTCAAAGGACTGGAGGAGGGGAACGAGGTAATTCTTCTCTCCTTTTGCAGAAGTATTCAACATGTGTGTCAAATGCAAATATACTCTCCTTTTAAAATAGGCTGGTACAAAGACAAGAATTATTTTTATGTGTTATGTCGGGAAACAGCAATCTGGAAAGCAATTAAAGAACAGAATAGCTAGAATGACTTCCCCCAAACCCAATGATGCATCCATGTGATGGTTTCTATGATCGGAGTACGCATTGTAAACATCAATATTGCAAACCATTGTTTATACTTAACTGAGGTAAGCTAAAAGCATGTTCAATTACTCGTGCAACTCTTTCAAAAGGCAATGCATAATGAAAATCCAACCAATGGTGCATTCAGGTACTCCTCTAATGGCGCATTTCCACTGCAGGGCCTCGCTCGGCTTAGTACGGTATGGCTAGGCCTCGTTAGGCCTTGTTAGGCCAGGCTCACTTTATGCTGCGTTTCCATTACAGTTTAGTAGCTGGGGCAGTAACTATAGTAACGCAGTGTAGGCGGAGCCGTGACGTCATCTTCAATGAGCACCACAAAACCAACATCAGCCGTTAGCTGTTAGCACTCAGAGCTCACAGCTCCTCATATCTGTTCAGAAACTAGACAAAAGTTAAACAAGTACAAACCACAGACTGCCTGTGTCATGGTGAATACAGTCGCTGCTTTATTTATGTCTGTATAGGCCGTTGTTGTGAGTGTGGACGGTCGGAGCATATACAACGTTAGCTTAGCCGATCTCCATTCAGAAAACACGCATTTTAAAAGGTGTTTCTCCTGCCGTCTGTCTGCAGACTTGTCAAAGCATTAATTCATGGTTTTTACTAACCGGTATCAGTATGTTGTTACTTCGGCATCATTTTGAAACGTGTATTACAATTAAATCACGGTCAAATATGTTCATTTAGTTGTAGTTGCCAGCGATTCTCTCACTAGTTTAGCATACTCAGCCCGGTTGTTGGCCCGGAAAGAACCACGATTTTGGAGAGCCAGAAAACTGTGAAAAAGTACCCGCTAGCCGGAACTACGCCTAGTGGAAATGCAACCAAAAACGGGCACGGCACGGAACGGCACGGAACGGCACGCTTAAACTGCGCTCTGCGCTGTAGTGGAAATGCGCCATAATAGTCCCATTTCCAGAGTTGGGAAGTCTTTTTTCTGAGTTGGTGTGTTCCTGAGCTTTAATGTGGAAACAACGAGGCGCTATAAAGAAGATGTGTTGTATTTCATTGCTTAGATTATTGATCTGTTTCCTTACATTTCCAAGTCCAGTTTCTGAGTCTTGTGAATGCACTAGAGTCCCATCTGTTCCCCCTGATGATAAAGAAAGCTAAACTTAGTTGACATTTCCCCACCGTAATTTGGATCCGCTCCAAATTGTTGTGGGTTCTTTGTTTGCATAAGATATACCCATCCACCAAGTTTTATGAAAATCGGGACAATAGTTTTTATGTAATCTTTTGACAAACCGACAGACGAAACATGAGGAGGTTCAACTGCATGCTATATTGTGTCTCAAATTTTCGAAACAAACTAAATAAATAAGTTTCTTTGCGAGATTTAACTTCTTCCACAATACCTGAACAAAGTGTTCTTGATGCATTTGAGAAAGACCTTGACAAGTGCATTGGACTTTCTTTGAAAATACTTTTTGGAAGGGGTTGAGTTACATTTTGGTTCTTAAAGCTCACCTATTCTGCAAAATCCTCTTCTTCATGTCTCTTCTACATCAACATGTGTCCCCTCTTCTTCATGTCTCTTCTACATCAACATGTGTCCCCTCTTCTTCATGTCTCTTCTACATCAACATGTGTCCCCTCTTCTTCATGTCTCTTCTACATCAACATGTGTCCCCTCTTCTTCATGTCTCTTCTACATCAACATGTGTCCCCTCTTCTTCATGTCTCTTCTTCATCAACATGTGTCCCCTCTTCTTCATGTCTCTTCTACATCAACATGTGTCCCCTCTTCTTCATGTCTCTTCTTCATCAACATGTGTCCCCTCTTCTTCATGTCTCTTCTTCATCAACATGTTTCCCCTCTTCTTCATGTCTCTTCTACATCAACATGTGTCCCCTCTTCTTCATGTCTCTTCTACATCAACATGTGTCCCCTCTTCTTCATGTCTCTTCTACATCAACATGTGTCCCCTCTTCTTCATGTCTCTTCTTCATCAACATGTGTCCCCTCTTCTTCATGTCTCTTCTACATCAACATGTGTCCCCTCTTCTTCATGTCTCTTCTTCATCAACATGTGTCCCCTCTTCTTCATGTCTCTTCTACATCAACATGTGTCCCCCTCTTCTTCATGTCTCTTCTACATCAACATGTGTCCCCTCTTCTTCATGTCTCTTCTACATCAACATGTGTCCCCTCTTCTTCATGTCTCTTCTTCATCAACATGTGTCCCCTCTTCTTCATGTCTCTTCTACATCAACATGTGTCCCCTCTTCTTCATGTCTCTTCTTACATCAACATGTGTCCCCTCTTCTTCATGTCTCTTCTTCATCAACATGTGTCCCCTCTTCTTCATGTCTCTTCTACATCAACATGTGTCCCCTCTTCTTCATGTCTCTTCTTCATCAACATGTGTCCCCTCTTCTTCATGTCTCTTCTACATCAACATGTGTCCCCTCTTCTTCATGTCTCTTCTACATCAACATGTGTCCCCTCTTCTTCATGTCTCTTCTTCATCAACATGTGTCCCCTCTTCTTCATGTCTCTTCTACATCAACATGTGTCCCCTCTTCTTCATGTCTCTTCTACATCAACATGTGTCCCCTCTTCTTCATGTCTCTTCTTCATCAACATGTGTCCCCTCTTCTTCATGTCTCTTCTTCATCAGCATGTGTCCCCTCTGTGGAAAGAGACTCTGAAAGTTTCAGGAACAAAGATTCTCTCTCTTTTTGATCCATTTATATAAAAACCTGTCAGAAAACGAGCTGATCAGATTTTGGCCACTTGATGATGTCATAACGATGTTTTGTCTTGTGTAACCATTAGCCAATCAGCAACCAAGGTAACCCCCCCCCCCCCCCCTTTATCACCTGGATCTCCTCCTAGAGCACCATTGTGTTCTTTGTAACCAAATGTCTCTCAGAGGGGCGTGGGGAGGGGCTCCTTATTTTCATCTAAAGTAACAGACAGAGAATCAGCACTTTGGAAACAGGGCTGAAACAGAGGGGATTATGGGTAATGCTGCAATGATCTGTTTGGTGTTTCAGCCAATCAGAGACAGGCTCTGTATATATCTGAGACCTGTGAGATATTGATGAGAAACAGTATAATAGGGGACCTTTAAATCAGCACACCGTCTCTAAATATATCTGTTTTTCTTTACAGGGTGCAGACAGAACCAGGTTTGTGCTGCAGGGTCTTCTTCAGGACCTCGCTGCAGAGCTTCAGGACGAGCTGATTGATCTGGACGGCGAGGCGAAAGCGACACACAGCAGGGCAGCCGAGGTAAACACACTGTTGACTCGGCAGGAGTGTGTTTCTCCTGCAGGGATCTGTAGAGCTCTCACGATGATCCGTCTCCCTGGCCTCGTCTCACTCGGGCATCATGAAACAGACTCAGGACGGAGTATTTAGGCTAATCTCTCGTCGGGGCTGCAGCCAAACGGGTCAGGCGTGATCAGATCTGCTGCAGGAAAACACTCTCTGCATCGCACCGTGCGGGAGAAGTGAGAACAGTGTGTCAAGCTGTAAATGCAAAAGTTCAAATGCACGACAAAAAGTCAATTTAATCTCATATTTGAGATGTCAGCACTGTCAAGTTTTTAGTCTTTTTCTTTCTTTGCACAGCATGATCAGATCAGGGCCGGATTTATTTCTTTAATGTGTGTTTTTCCTCCTTATTCCACTGACTGTAATCCGTCTTGAGGCACATTTAATATGCCAGGAGTCTTCAGTCTGTACAAATGGTGGGTGGCTTTTCCATCAAAGGTCTGCAATCAGAGCTAGAAATGAACCTGTTCAAGTACAACAAGTCGTAAAAAATGTTTGCAATGTAAGTGGATAACAACGCATAACGCACCGTAGAAACATGTCCATAGATAGTGGGACAGAGATGTTGAAATGACTGATATAATTGTAAACAAAGTAGTCAGAAGTGCTAATAAATAGTTTGTAACTACAGCTTTCACACTGGGCACCCATTCTGGATTATGAGGTCGGGGTTGGTGAAGATCTCCCGGACGTCCGGCGTTCCCGTTTAAATGTTGTTTTTGTGATTATTTCCCTGTAGATCGGCTTATCTTTTAGTTTGCATATTACAGGGTGTAGCCTTGATATCAACATCCATCTAAAATATTTCTCATAAATCTCCGATAAATCAAAGTTGGCACTCTAATGATACAGAACAGCCAAAAAAAACTAAAATAATCGTCAATGTAATGCTGGGTTTCTGGGTAAAGTGTTAGGATGTTTACAATGAAATGTAGTCGTAAAAAGGTCTTAAATTTGATAATATAATATAATATAATTCTGCATTATACTTGTTACTGGACATTTGTATTTCCACATGTATATATATATTTTTTAACTTTGTAATGCTATTTCATTTCTATATCAGAAATATGTTGGACTCTCTTATGTACATTGCCTTGTCAACCTGCCTGTCTACCTGTCTACCTGTCTACCTACCTGTCTACCTGTCTACCTACCTACCTACCTACCTACCTACCTACCTAACATGTGTTCTGTCTTTCCTCAGGGTGGCATCTCTCACCATGAAGCTATCAGGTGAGTGTTTATCAAGCGTTCACATCTCTTTAGTCCCTAAAGTCCTCCAGTTCTGATCCATTCGTGTTTTTCACAGAACCTGCATCTCTAAAAGACTCAGGCGTCCGTTTTCTCCACGCGGCTGCAAGAAGAAGAAGAACTGGTGTTATCTGAGTGCGGATGCCGAGCAGCTGGACCGTGAAAACCCCGTGAAGACTTGGGATCACCTCATCATGCCGCGTAGCTTCCCAGACTTTGACCTCGAGAAGATATCTGCGGGGAGAAGCCACACCGCCCCGGAAAAGTCGACTCAACGCATCTACTTCAGCCCGCCGTCGGCACGAAGGGTCCATCAGTCTCAGCTAAAGCACAACCCCGAGTCCGTGACCTCCATCTCGCCCTGGTGCTCGAACCTCAGCGACGACATGAAGGAGATGACGGCAGGTTGGAGGTCGGATAGGAAGGTTCAGTATCAGGATGTCGATGTTGCTTGTTCCGGCACTCAGACGACCAAGAAGCCGAAGATGGTGAGCGTCGCTCTGCAAACGGAGGGTGTGGTTAGCGTTAGGAGTCCGACTCGAGGCCTGAGCTCCTCTCTGGTCTCCAACAGATCGAACCACATCTCCACCTCGTTGGATGGAGTCCCGGGAAGAATCAGATCCACCGTATCGTCCTCTTCACCAAAACTCTACCGGAGACACTCTACATCCGGAGTGTCTTCTTCCGCCAACTCCTCGTGTACTTCGTCCAGAGATCGAGGCCTGTGGAGCCCGAACTCGCAAAGCAACACCAGCCTCACGTGGACCAGACAAAAACCCGCATCAGGAAATAACCCCGGGGCCAAGCCTCCCACTAAACCTGCAGCTGGTAACAGGTACGCAGAGATGGCAAAAGTACACACATCCTTTACTCAAGTAGAAGTACAGATGCTCATTTTCATTGGTCCCTCTTCTTTAGAGAAGACCAGGAAATGATGGATACACGGATCGTGTTCAAATCAATAGGCACGCAATTACTCTAAATGATAATGATCACGCCACCAAACACACATTCAAACTAAAGGAACCAGCCTGTTTGGAAAATGCAAGAAAAATGTGCTTAAGTACAGTAACGAAATATTTGTACTCCACTTCTTCCCACCTCTGCAGGTACGGCATGGTGACAGAGTTCCTGCGCAGGGTGAGTGGCCGGGTGGAGAAACCGGTGCCAGGGTTAGCACAGAAGACGAAGACCGGGTTGAAAAACCTGGAGAGGATCCCAACGAGGCCTCCAGCCGCCGCCTCGCTGCACAGGAACGACAGCGTGACCCGGATCGTCAACCAGAGGTTCATGACGCAGCGAGAAGAGAAAAGTGGTGGGATAAACCACGGCGTCCGACAGAGTCCGAGTACCGGGACATCAGAGGTGAGCAAGACAGTCATTTTCAGTGCTGTAGTTCCTTTATAACCCAACATTAGCCGCCTTTAGCTTAGTGGTGGTGACGTGAAGTCATGTGACCGTGCTGTAGTTCCTTTATAGCCCAACATTAGCCTCCTTTAGCTTAGCGGTGGTGACGTGAAGTCATGTGACCGTGCTGTAGTTACTTTATAACTCAACATTAGCCACCTTTAGCTTAGCGGTGGAGACGTGAAGTCATGTGACCGTGCTGTAGTTCCTTTATAACCCAACATTAGCCGCCTTTAGCTTAGCGGTGGTGACGTGAAGTCATGTGACCGTGCTGTAGTTCCTTTATAACCCAACATTAGCCGCCTTTAGCTTAGCGGTGGAGACGTGAAGTCATGTGACCGTGCTGTAGTTCCTTTATAACCCAACATTAGCCGCCTTTAGCTTAACGGTGGTGACGTGAAGTCATGTGACCGTGCTGTAGTTCCTTTATAGCCCAACATTAGCCGCCTTTAGCTTAGCGGTGGTGACGTGAAGTCATGTGACCGTGCTGTAGTTCCTTTATAGCCCAACATTAGCTGCCTTTAGCTTAGCATTGGGGACAATGTTTGTGAACATCAAAAATGTATGAAAACATTTGTTTAATATATTTCTTTCTGACCAGGAGGGAAACTACGACTGCAGCTCCGGCGGCTCGTTGACCTTCTGCTTCGCTCGTCCGTCCCGCTCGTCTCAGAAACAAACGTTGACTCAGAACAAACTGCAGAGACAGAGATTCTCCCCGCCATCGAGCGTCGCTGCAGACTGAATGAGAAACACGGAAACTTCTGGAAAACTGAGAGCGGGAAGGAAATTTAAATATAAATATAATATCCAAATGTAAACCTGCTTTTCTCAGGATGGTGGAACTGTGTGGGATGTTTTAGGAATTATATCTCAGTATTTATGTTTTGGTGCAATTTATACTTTTATCTCTTTACAAATGGACAAATCTTCAATGGCAATGCATAACACAGTGTTTCAACTTTTTCTAAAACTGCTTTTGCACTTATATTGTAAACTGCAAATGTACTTTATATTATCCTTGTAGTATTTCATAGAGAGTAACCTCATGTATTTATTGAATAAACATTTAACATCTGATTAACAAAATGAACTGTGATGTTATTCATCTTCATCGTGGATGGATAAAGAAATGTCAGGGACCCTCTGGCCTTCACCTTCAAAATGTCACTAAAAAAGACACATGCGAACCTAAAAGACACTCCAAATGCATTCAAAATGATTTAAATGACAGCAAAACAACAACAAAAATAGACAAACTTACCACAAGGAGACTCAAAATGACCAGAAAGAGACAGAATAGGACTATTAAGGGTCATACAATTACCATAAAAACACACAAACCCAACTCTCAAAAAAACCATCTAGAAAGAGACTAAAAATTACCAGAAAAAGACACACATTTTTTTACCAAAACGTTCAAAACGAGGGCAAAGTGACTCAAAATGACTAGAAAAAGACACAAATCAACTACAAGGAGACTCCAAATGACCAGAAAGAGACACAATATGACTAGAAAAGATTCATAAAATGACAGAAGAGACACAAAACGACTACCACGTCACACAAAATAACTACAAAGAGACTCAAAATTACCACAAAATTACTAAAGACTCACATAAGAACTATAGAGCGATACAGAATGTGTGTGTGTGTGTGTGTGTGTGTGTGTGTGTGTGTGTGTGTGTGTGTGTGTGTGTGTGTGTGTGGGCCCTTTGTCTCTTAAGCTAATCTGCAGAGCCTTGTTTACCGTGCAGAGATCAGCTGTTACGTCAAACGCTCAAAAAAGAAGAGTGAGGGCTGAGTCGATAATGAGATGAGATTTCCTCTCCTGTCAGATCCTCTCTGAGATCACGAGCCTCTCCACTTTCTCTCAAAACATATATAAATAAACCTGAAGTAGTTTCCTGACTTTGTGATTTTAAATGTGAGATGGTAAAGATTTTTCTTTGAGTGCTGCTGAAATATCTTTTGGTGGCGCCTGGCAGCAGCTGTCTGTCACACAATAACACAGTGTCAAGTTTCTGCCACACACACGCACACAGAGAAACACACACACACACACACACACACACACACGCACACGCACAGAGAAACACACACACACACACACACACACACACACAAGAAACACACACAGAGAAATGCACACACACACATACACAGAGAAACACAGACACACACACATACACAAAGAAACACACACATACACAGAGAAACACACACACACAGACAAACACACACACATACACAGAGAAATGCACACACACACATACACAGAGAAACACACACACAGACACACACACATACACAAAGAAACACACACACAGACACACACACATACAGAGAAACACACACATACACAGAGAAACACACACACACAGACAAACACAGACACACACACATACACAGAGACACACACACACACATACACACAGAAACACACACATACAGACACACACACATACACAGAGAAACACACACACACAGACACACACACATACACAGAGAAACAGACACACACACACACACACACACACACACACACACACACACACACACACACACACACACACACACACACACACACACACACACACACACACACACACACACACACACACACACACACACACACACACACACACACACATATATTTTTAGCATTATGATCTTGCACATTGATCTGAAAAAACATTATGTATATTGTTATCATTATTTATGGACTCCTTTTTTGTGTATACTCAATTATATACAATAGATGTTTTTAATTAAAAATGGTAAAAAGGAGAGCAGAAAGGGGGAAATGTTTGCTTTCTTTTATATAACTGGTTTCCCTGTTTAATTTAGTGCAATTTGCAAACTGAAAACCAATAATTAAACTATTAAAGAACAACTTAAATTGCACAACCTCTGAGAAATACTACTTGTATTTAAAGAATAATGGATGTGCAAAAGTTACCAACAATGGCTGACAATATTCACTGTTTTTTAACATGCAAACTTCATTATGAGTCCTGAAACTAAAAGAGAACATATTTCAATTTTTGTGTGTGTTTTTAAATATATTCCACGATTAAGAAATAAAATGTTTAAACGACATTTATTTTTTTAATTAAAATACAGGGTGTGATTACCCTCCCGTCCGGCAGGGGGCGCTGCATACTTTTCTCTCCGCTGATTTTCCTGCTTTAACACGTTTGTTAGAGCGGAATAACAACAGAGCCAGGCTGCTGCACACAGACACCGGATTCTGATGAAACATTATCACATAAATTGAAGTAATTCACAGATGAAATGGAGCCGGTTTTCCTGAGGTTTCACTCGTTTGACTTTGAGTCTGATCAGAGGTTTCAGGAGGGACTGAAGGATTTAAATAAAACCTGCAGAGAGGAGAAACTGCTGCAGCTGAAACTCTTCTTCTACAACAGGTAGGACACACCTGGGAGGAAACACCTGCAAGTACTCTCTTTAAGTACACATGCACTGTATCTACTTTACTGCATGTTTCTGACAGCTGCTGCTACTTTATACATTCAGAATGATGCAGAAAAATACTTTCTACTTGCAAGGAATCTATTGGCTGAAATGTATTTAAATCCTTCATCTACCTTGGTGTTTGTTGCATAACATACATATACAAATAGAACTTAACTATAGAGAAGAAAACTACAATAACAATGAAAACTGCAGAGAGGAGAAGCTCTTCTGCACCTGAGAGGAAATACCTGCATTTACTAAAGTACTGCCAATAAGTACACATGTATAGTTCTGTCTTAATTACTCTACTGCATGTATCTGACAGCTTCAGTTACTTTATACATTCAGATGTCTTCACTTGCAAATAATCTACCTTGGTGTTTAGTGCTTAACAATATATATATATATATACAAATATAACAAATAAGAGGCGAGGTAATGCAACATTTAAGGACATAACTATAGAGAAAAAAGACTAGATGAACATTAGAGTTTGATGCAAATACTGTTTTTTTTCTTTATACAACTCAAATTGGACACACACACACACACACACACACACACACACACACACACACACACACACACACACACACACACACACACACACACACGGTGCAGTACCTGACTAAATGTGATGCTTGTCTGCAGGTTTGTGGAGCCCATCGACCGGACGAGATACAGAGAGTGGAGGAAACACCAGGACTCTGAGAACAGCGAGGAGCAGAGAGGAGGAACATCTGCAGGAACATCTACTGGAACATCAGGAGAAACATCTGGAGAACCTACAGGAACATCTACTACAGGAACATCTACTACAGGAACATCCACAGGAACTTCTACAGGAACACCTGGAGAACCTAGAGAAACATATACAGGAACATCTGCAGAACTAAGAGAAAGGTCCACAGGAACATCTGCAGAACTAAGAGAAAGGTCCACAGGAACATCTGCAGAACTAAGAGAAAGGTCCACAGGAACATCTGCAGAACTAAGAGAAAGGTCCACAGGAACATCTGCAGAACTAAGAGAAAGATCCACAGGAACATCTGGAGAACCAAGAGAAAGATCCACAGGAACATCTGGAGAACCAGGAGAAAGATCCACAGAAACATCTGGACCGAAGGAGGAGAAGCAGCTCTCCTTTGCCGAGGTGATGCGATTCGTTCAGGCGGGACAGGAAGTGCCCGGAGCCGCCAACCTGGAAATAAAACCAACGAACAAGAGTCCCACTGCCTCTCAGATGGAGAGGAGGCTCAAACCCTGGGAGACGTAAACAGTTTGAGTGACTTTGAACTTTAAAATCAGTATTTTTGTTATGAAGCGTGAACTTCTCCGACTCAATGACATGTAAATAGAGATCAGTAACCAGGTAAATGTCACCTCAGAATAATTATTTACTGACTAATAATTGAGCTTCTACTTTCCATTTGTATTTTACACGAGTGTGTCTGTCTCATGCAACCTTATATTTCTACATTGAAGAGAAAATAAAGCAAATAAACTGACAAAGGCACAGAAAATGACTAGAAAATAACACAAAATGACTATTCAGAGACCAAATGACCCGTTAGACGCTTCAAACAAACGCGTTTCCCTTCAATCATGCTTCCATCTTAAACACTTGCAGGTGTGACTCATGGATGTTTAATAAGAACTGGATACAACGTCAGAGGCGGGGTCTCGTTCTTGCCTATGAGAGCTGCTCATTGGCGCATGAAGGCACTTTTGAGAGAGCGAAACGTCACAGATTACCCATCATGCCTAGCTGTCAGAGCAGAAGAACCCGTATGTGCGCTCACAGAGCATGCGCCCCTTAAGCCCCGCCCCCCGAGCTCCCACTCTCGGCTCAGTGGAATGAATGGAGACAGAAAATAAATCTAGATTCGGCTTTTAGTGCATTTTACAACTTTAAGGACCGAATGATTCTAATAAGGGATATAAAATAGTTCATACTGGGTAATTTATTTAGTTAAAAAAAAAAGTATCCGCTGATTTACAGACGTCTCTTTCCCAATGTTAGTAAATGGGCAAAAGTCTTTCTGGGCCCAGTGACGTCAAATTGTAGTACCGCCGTTTGGACACTACGAATATTTTCATCAGAGTCCGGCGCACTTCCTGGGGGCTTGGTGTGACTCGGGGTGTTTCTCAATGTCGAGGACGCTTGCTTGGTAGCACATGTCTTCCGAGCAGTGGCGAGCCGTGAGCTTTATACCTAGGCCCTCTGACCCCCACCAATTCCCTCGAAAAAAAGAAGAAAAAAATAGTTATTACGTCACAGCGTATACTTCAGCGAAATATCAAAACAACGGCCCAGGGTGCAAAACGCATCAACGACAGCGACCCTCTACCACACAAAACAACACCTGTGAACCCAATTTGTGTTCTTTGACATTGAAAATGATATTGCATTGTGTTTGTTACTTTCGTTGCAGTTGTATGTCTTAAGTGTAATTTGGCATGCTTTTATTTTGAAGGCGAGTTCACGCTGTTGACAGGAAGTTGTTGTTGCTATGGAAACAAGAAAAGTTTCACAGCGGGCGGAACTAGTCATAAAGTCCGCGATAATAAAACCCACCCATTTAGAGGGAAGATATGATTGGTCAATTGTACTGTCATTTGACATTACTCTCTCGTTCAGTTACTATAGCGGGCCCTCTGTGAATCGCAGAGAGGGCCAGACGAGCTTCTTTCATGTCTTCACATTCAACAGAGACTGAACAGGCAGATTCGAAGGATTTATTTCTTTGGAAATGTTATTTTAAATACAATTAAATCAAGTTTTTTTTCGGTAAAACTAATGAAAAATATAACAAAAATAATATTAAAAAAATATATATTTAAAAAAAATATATATTTTTAAAATGTTTTTAAATATTATTTTTTAGAATATCTTAGGCCCTCACAGAGGGCCTAGAGGGCCCTGACGGCTCGCCACTGCTTCCGAGTCACTTGCTTCAGAAGCGAGGCAAGAATCCTTCCTAGCCTCGGAAAACAAAGAATGGTGGAACAGGCTAGCAGGTGTGCGTCATATGCGAGGCCCCGCCTTGAATGGAGCGCGATTTCCGCCAAAGATTTGGAAATTGGTCCGTGCGCAAAGCATTGTGGGGATTTTAAGACCGCAGAGTCTACACATTTGCAGCCTCAAAATTTCTCGCTACGAAGTACGCCGGCCTCGGTAGAATTCCAAGTATGCTGGACATTGGAACAGTCCTTCGGCGGGACTCGATGACGTAGTATGCTTGCAGTGGCGTTTTTATATGTACAAAAGTGGTGGGGCACAAAAAACTTAGATGTCTATATATAAGCTTCTGCAGTGACGTGCAGTGAGGTTCATGGCTGGTGAGGCACTGGCACTGACTCTTCAGGTTTACAAATATTATATTTTGACCTAAACCAAAATATAATATTATTTTCAAAAGCTTTTTTTGTCTGATGCTTCGATTAATTTTAAACAGACAGTTCAACAAAAGGATACCCAAAAAATGTAATTTTATCATTTAAATATTGAATTGTTCTCTCTTAGTAAGATCCCATTTTCAATAAAATGGCGGTCTTACCTTGACTTGAAGATGAAGTCCATTTTCCTATCCTTCTGGACAAACATTTCTATTACTTTTTTGTAAAAGTCCTCCTTATCTTCTTGTAGTTTCAAAAGTCTATCATAAATCTAATCCATAGATTTATGATAAAAAAATTATAAAAGTAGGGTAGACATGTGGATGTTATCCGGCTAATCAAAACGTGCATTTATCTAACAGGTACGTTTCCCACAGATCTTATTTTGAGCTATTTTCTAAAATCCTCTGGAGAAATCTCATTGCTTTTTTGTGCTTACTTCCTGGTTTTAGGACGCGTCACTGCAGCTCTCTCGTCTCCTCTTCACACAGCACACTTTTCGCGGCACACGTACTTACAGCCAATCAGCTCTGAATGATTTGAGATGACGTATGGTGGGGATGGTAGCTCCATGCCCCTCTGGTCATTATTTTTTTGCCACACACATTACATTACAAAATACTCTGAGCATGCGCAGTGTAGTTTTTACAGTCACGTTGACTTCACAGCGAGAGGAAGGGGCATAATCAGGTTTTGTCCCACATGGCTCTAAACAGCTCAATAGGCACACACTGTGACTGTAGACACTAATTAGAAGAACACAGACTAAAACAGCAATGTACAGACGAATCAGATGATTAAACATGATCTTAAAATATATTTTATATATTTTTTTTTTTTTTTTTTTGCATTTTTGTAATCATTATTTGTAATACTTTCTGCTGACACTAGGTGGGGCTGTGCCCCACCTGCCCCTAATGACCAGTCGCCACTGTATGCTTGAAATAGTGGCTCTGGAGCAGCCTTCCTCGACATTGAGAAACACCCCGGATCCACACGATCTACCGGAAGATGACACAATGATATACTGCAGCACAACGGCGCCCTCTTGTGGTGGAATCATGACATTGCACTTGATACATAAATTAACTCCATGAACAATATGATAAAGAGAAATAAGAAAAAACATCTGGGGGAACTCCATCTTGCATGTATGTGTTTAATTAGTCACAGTAAAAACAATAAAGTCCTGAACAGGAAACAGATCCCATGAAAATCCCTCTTGCACTTTTAATCATCAATTTGTTTACATCACACTAATATTTACTGATATCACTTTATCATTTCATAAAAAACAAACAATCAACACACAGAAAAACAACAACAAACTACAAGAAATTCATTTTGAGCTGCGGCCCATTAAAAAACAAACTGTACATGCAAGCTTAGCACCGTTAGCTTAGCGCCGTTAGCTTAGCACCATCAGGAATTAAAACACCCAAAAGAATGAGGTAAAAAGAGACTCAGAAATTTGACTCCAGTTAAAATGTTGAAAACACTGCAGGGGAAATCCCAGATTCACACTGAAGGCAGCGCAAATATCTTAATATAACGACAAAAACACAAGTGACATTAAAACCCTAAATCAGGCACAGATGAGCAGCACTGTTGATGATTTAAGAGTTAATTTTAAGGCTAAAATAAGACTTTTAGTTAGTTAAAACACACATGTTGTATTTCTCACAGACCATATCAGTGTTTGTTTTTGCTAAATAAACGTTATTACGGGTTTAAACAAAGATTAAGGCTTTGGATGTCACATTCAAAGCTTCTATAAAGGACTGTCATCATATCAAAATCCTTAATTTTGAATGAAAGGCATTCAGGGGATCCAATTAAGTCTTTTTTTGCATTTAAAGGTAAGTTTGAGAAACCGGCTCGAGATACACTTTTTGTTATATTCCATGGAATGCTCTTAACATCCCGATAGCAACGAATATCTGAAGTGCTTTGACAAAAAAATCCATAAAAAAATGTCATCTGTGGAAGCTGTAGTACTGTAAAAAGCACGACCAATCATTTTAGCCGGCCCGGCTCTGAAAGGAAGTGGCAGATTTTTTCCGGCTGTGTATTTTCAAATTCTAGCGATCTCGAGCTGGTTTCTCCAAACTTACCTACCCCACCTTTAAATCAACATTCAATTGTGATTCTCAGTGCGAATAAGGCCACGGCCCTTAAGAAGCTCCTACTTTGTTTGTATCAAAGCTGCAAATAGTCAAAGTATTTTGGGGATTTTACTTTAATAACAAATGTGCATCAGATGTCTTCATGCTGTCCAACGAGCATAGACATATTTGAGCCGTATCTTTTGTAGTTTTACACATTATTGGTTAATTTAACGCCAGAAATGACTGAAAACTGAACGTAAAGAGGTCAAGTTAAATGCGTTAATTGTTATTTCAATTATTTCTTCAGATTATTTACCTTGTACTTTTATTACAGTAGCTGCTGGTGTTTCTCTACTTCTAAAAATGAAACTAATATAATATTTTTTTACGAGATTTTTAGCATTTTATTCATTATTTTTCCTCATTTTTATTTCCTTTCTTTTTCATATTGTGTTTTTTTTTAATTAATTTTTTTACATTTCACCCTCTTTATCTAAAACAAAATCAATCGTGCCAAATGGCTTCAAAAAAACAAAAAGAGACACATGACTGTATTAGTTGGTATCTTCCAGTAGAAATGGTTTGTTCCTGAGGTGGAACCGAGCTGGTCTTTAATATTCACTTTAATAAAAAAGCTCTTTAACACGCCTTGGTTTGTTCTCCATGATTAGACAGAACATATTTTTGGTATTAAAAGCAGACATTATAATAGAATAATGGAGGATAATAAGAGTTTAGCACCAACCAGTGAGTGATTCTGTAAAGAACCAGAGAGATGAATGTCATTTGCATAAAACGTATACAAAAATCAGCTGATAATGAACATGTTTGGATCAAAACCTGGTCAAATATTACGGTAAAAATACAGAAATACTGACTGATGGATGTTGAGGTAGAGCCTGAAGCACAGAGCGAGATCAACGGGATAAAACATGATGCTGAATACCAGATAATCACTAAATATATATTATATGTATTCAACGTGATCGGCTTGAGAATGAAATAGGGAGTCGTAGAAATGAGGGCTGTACTGAATGTCTTTTAGTTTTCACATTCAAATGATTCTTTGAAAGGTTTTTCTCAAATTAAATGTATTTAAAGAAAATGTTGTTTTAAAAAGGCTAAATGTCAACAAATAATACTAGTGTAGTCTTATCTACATTAAGCACATTTAATAGACATTTGCAGCATTTAAATGTTAATTTATAATCCAAATATCCAGCTATGAATGGTTACACAAGTTCCTACTTTAACATTACAAGCTTTAAAAAAACAAATTATTTAACGAAAATGTTGTTTTTTAGGGTTTTAGGCAGGGTGTCCGCGGGGTCTTAACAAGCATTAAAAGTTTAAAATGAAGGCTATTAAAAAGTATTAAACGAAATTTTCCAAGGTATTACATTTTGTAGCTTGTTTTCAATAAGTATATAAATTGTCCAAAGAGGTTGTATTCTACAGTTTGCCTGTAAACAACATCGTTATGGGGAAATGCAAGTTTGCGTCCAAATGGTTGGAAGATAAGGAGGAAAGACAATCAATACTGTATATAGTAAATGTGAGGTAAAGTGTGTCGCCAAGGTAACCGGTTAAAACTCAAAGTGGCGATGAGGTCTTAAAAAAAGGCCGTTTCCGTTAGTCGGACGACGAAGCGTGCCCTGTCGCCCAAACTCAATTTGGTGTGTCCCGCACCGTCGGCCGTGACACGCCTTATTTGGCCTTTCATGGCCGACGCACGGCCGATTCAACACGTTGAATCGGCCGTGGCAGGCAGTCGGACAAAGAAATCACTCTGATTGGCTGTTCAGCTAGCGAATCAGTGCATGAGAAGCGAAACGGTTGCTTGAGAATGTCTTCCACAAGCAACACTCCAATGGCTGATAGCTCCAGTACCGCACGAAACATGTTTTCGATGGACGAGAGTGAAAATGGAACGCACACGCTATTTGTTGTTTGTATATATCACGCAGTCTGTTCTTCTTCTCTGTCTTCCGGTTGTTGCCTATTTTGAATGACGAATACACACTACCGCCGCCTGCTGGTAAGGAGAGTTATTGCCACTCACGCATGCGCAGTTCGTACGTGCTCGGCTGAAGTCTTTGCGGTGTGTTCCAGTGCGACACATGGCCAAGACGCATAAGTATTACTAAGGCTTTTTTCTAATGATGATCCAACAATAATGGATAGAAGTAAAGCTCTGCCTCAATTAACCTGATTATTTATTATAATGGTAGGCAAAAACATTTCTTAACTGCTTCGTTAAAAACCGAGTGATTCCTGTAGGAATTGTGACTTTTTACACCTGAGCTGATCGGTCAGGAAAAGTTTTTTTTAACCATCTTTGTGACAACAGATAACCTGAGATTAGCCCAAAAGAAAGATAGTTAACCCCTCGTTAATCTCGCCTTGTGGTTCAGGAGTAGATTATAGTTTGATCAACGCACCGAGAGGAGGTAAGTAAAACCGGAAATGTCGGTGCCTGCTGGTGAGAGCGGATAAAAACGATGATAAAAACACGTCTAAAAGTCAAACAGTGAATCAGGACAGATTAAATACTGTGGTGTTTGTAAGGCAGGATCAGCTGTTCACAGTTGTTGTTGTTCACAGTTGTTGTTGTTTACAGTTGTTGTTCACAGTTGTTGTTCACATTCAAAGTAGTCCTTCAGCGGGGCGAACAGGTGTCGGATCACCGGGACGCTCCAGGATCTCCCGAGCACTCGCTGCCTCTGAGCTCGACCCATGTTGTTCACATCGGTGTAGTGTTTGGGGAAGCCGAAGATCCTGGAGGAGGAAGAAGAAATACAGAGTGAGTGAGAGGCAGGTTTAATTAGACAGCACGTTTCAACACAAGGCAATTCAAAGTGCTTTACAACAATGAAAGACATTAAGAGCACATTAGAAACATCATAATTGAGCCGTCCCTTATAGATACGATCTCTTTACGTATTAGTGATGGGAATCTTTCGGCTCCTAAAGAGCTCTTCATGTTACCACAGTTTACCACGGAGCCTCAGTTTCGCCGCTGCGAGGCTCCGACGTTCACGCGCGTGCTCCACTTGCACCCCCCGCCAAGGCTCGCCGGCAGTACACTTTCCGTCACAGGAACACGCTTTGCTGGCGGCGAAAAGCATCCCACCAGACTCCTTTGCTCCAACAGAGGGATGTCCTTGTCCTTTTTCCTTTTCGTCATTACAAGCGATAAAAACTCTCGATCTTCTCTCGAATTTTTTTTTGGACGCCCTCGGCTCGAGTTCAGGGCGTTCCGAGCTGAATAAGGGCGTCAAATGACGGCAAGACGCCCCCCTGGCGGAAACGCTGACCCCTAGTCTTCCTGTGAAATTATAGTTCTTCTGACACTTTTCTAACCTCTTTATATTCCTTTCATCCTTCTTTTTCAATCATGTTGCATCCCCAGACAACACATGTTCCTGTTTTACTGTTACCTGAACCCATCTTTGATCTTTAAACACACTTTTCTTTTCAATTCCCACAATTAGGATATTTGAACCCGTGGTGCAGGAATAGCCGCCGTATTTAGTCCCGGCACTTATGACCCCAGGGTGCTTAGTACAGATCGCGTTCACACCGGAGTACTTTTCCCTGAGGGAAGATTACACAAATGAGCCGCTGACGTCACTTCGTCTTCTTCTGCTTTGGGTTTACTGGCAGGCAGCAAACAACTTCACGGCGTATACTGCCACCCGGAGTCCCCGGCCGGAAGTCCCCGGAGTTGGGGACTGGCTTCAGTAGAAGCTGCTGGGACTCCCAGCAGCTTCTACTGAAGCCTTCCGAGTAAATCGCCAGAACGCCGACACCTCCTCATCTCCACTGCTCCCATGTTTTATTTTGTGTTGCCATAAGTTAGTCTCTCTGCGTTTCTGCGCTGGGCGAATGCTAATGCTAATAATGCTAATGCGAGCATAATAAAATGGCGGCTCTTCAAAACATTTCAGAGTTGTACGGGCGTGGTTTGCAATTCGCCCAGCCAATCAGAACTGGGGCACTTTTCTCCCCCAGGAAAGTACCATCTCTCAGCAGGCACTAAAAATGGGGGTAAAAGTTCCCGGCTTGAAGTGCTCTTTTTGGAGTGAACGCGACATAAGGGGTACTAACGGAACTAAACGCGAAAAGTACTCCGGTGTGAACGCGGCTAATGAGTCCTAAATGAGTCAGCTTTTTACCACTTCCCTTGGTCAGGAACTTGTGGTGTAAAGTCGGATTGGTTAGTCGTAGAAATTAGGGCTGTACCAAATGTATTTTTGTGGTTTCAAAAAACTAAAGTAACCAGCCTGTTTTGAAAATGTAAGAAGTAGAAAGTAAAAAGTGGTCCAAAAAATAAGTAGTGGAGTAAAGTACTGATACCAGAACAATGTGCTTAAGTATAGTAACAAAGTATTTGTACTCCACTACTTCCCACTTCTGGGTATAAGGACTAGACCCAGGATAAAAACATCTTCAGAATATCTTACTGTTCCATCTCCGTGCACCACAGGTAATCCTCTTTTCCGTTCATGGTGACGGGCAGCGGGCCCATCTTCCCCTGCCGGATCGAGTTGGACTTTGTTGTGATGGTGCGGACCTTTTCAAACTGCAGGAAGAAACGACAATCAGAATCAGGAAGCACCGAGTTTAACTGAGACGACTTGAAGGACATGAGAAGGACATTTAAATGCACAATATTACATTTTCTACAAATACGGGTCTCCTGCTCTCTCTGATATAAAAAGTTAGGATTAAGAGCGGTAGAGGACTCTTTAAAGTAGAGACACTACATACTGATATACACCTGAACATCAGCAGGAGAGGACTCTTTAAAGTAGAGACACTACATACTGATATACACCTGAACATCAGCAGGAGAGGACTCTTTAAAGTAGAGACACTACATACTGATATACACCTGAACATCAGCAGGAGAGGACTCTTTAAAGTAGAGACACTACATACTGATATACACCTGAACATCAGCAGGAGAGGACTCTTTAAAGTAGAGACACTACATACTGATATACACCTGAACATCAGCAGGAGAGGACTCTTTAAAGTAGAGACACTACATACTGATATACACCTGAACATCAGCAGGAGAGGACTCTTAGTAGAGACACTACATACTGATATACACCTGACATCAGCAGGAGAGGACTCTTTAAAGTAGAGACACTACATACTGATATACACCTGAACATCAGCAGGAGAGGACTCTTTAAAGTAGAGACACTACATACTGATATACACCTGAACATCAGCAGGAGAGGACTCTTTAAAGTAGAGACACTACATACTGATATACACCTGAACATCAGCAGGAGAGGACTCTTTAAAGTAGAGACACTACATACTGATATACACCTGAACATCAGCAGGAGAGGACTCTTTAAAGTAGAGACACTACATACTGATATACACCTGAACATCAGCAGGAGAGGACTCTTTAAAGTAGAGACACTACATACTGATATACACCTGAACATCAGCAGGAGAGGACTCTTTAAAGTAGAGACACTACATTCTGATATACACCTGAACATCAGCAGGAGAGGACTCTTTAAAGTAGAGACACTACATACTGATATACACCTGAACATCAGCAGGAGAGGACTCTTTAAAGTAGAGACACTACATACGGATATACACCTGAACATCAGCAGGAAGAGGACTCTTTAAAGTAGAGACACTACATACTGATATACAACTGAACATCAGCAGGAGAGGACGCTTTAAAGTAGAGACACTACATACTGATATACACCTGAACATCAGCAGGAGCAGGACTCTTTAAAGTAGAGTACCACACATACTGAATATACACTGAACATCCAGCAGGAAGAGGACTCTTTAAAGTAGAGACACTACATACTGATATACACCTGAACATCAGCAGGAGAGGACTCTTTAAAGTAGAGACACTACATACTGATATACACCTGAACATCGCAGAGGTAGAGGACTCTTTAAAGTAGAGACACTACATACTGATATACACCTGAACAATCAGCAGGAGAGGACTCTTTAAAGTAGAGGACACTACATACTGATATACACCTGAACATCAGCAGGAGAGGACTCTTAAAGTAGAGACACTACATACTGATATACACCTGAACATCAGCAGGAGAGGACTCTTTAAAGTAGAGACACTACATACTGATATACACCTGAACATCAGCAGGAGAGGACTCTTTAAAAGTAGAGACACTACATACTGATATACACTGAACACAGCAGGAGAGGACTCTTTAAAGTAGAGACACTACATACTGATATACACCTGAACATCAGCAGGAGAGACTCTTAAAGTAGAGACACTACATACTGATATACACCTGAACATCAGCAGGAGAGGACTCTTTAAAGTAGAGACACTACATACTGATATACACCTGAACATCAGCAGGAGAGGACTCTTTAAAGTAGAGACACTACATACTGATATACACCTGAACATCAGCAGGAGAGGACTCTTTAAAAGTAGAGACACATACATACTGATATACACCTGAACATCAGCAGGAGAGGACTCTTTAAAGTAGAGACACTACATACTGATATACACCTGAACATCAGCAGGAGAGGACTCTTTAAAGTAGAGACACTACATACTGATATACACCTGAACATCAGCAGGAGAGGACTCTTTAAAGTAGAGACACTACATACTGATATACACCTGAACATCAGCAGGAGAGGACTCTTTAAAGTAGAGACACTACATACTGATATACACCTGAACATCAGCAGGAGAGGACTCTTTAAAGTAGAGACACTACATACTGATATACACCTGAACATCAGCAGGAGAGGACTCTTTAAAGTAGAGACACTACATACTGATATACACCTGAACATCAGCAGGAGAGGACTCTTTAAAGTAGAGACACTACATACTGATATACACCTGAACATCAGCAGGAGAGGACTCTTTAAAGTAGAGACACTACATACTGATATACACCTGAACATCAGCAGAGAGAGGACTCTTTAAAGTAGAGACACTACATACTGATATACACCTGAACATCAGCAGGAGAGGACTCTTTAAAGTAGAGACACTACATACTGATATACACCTGAACATCAGCAGGAGAGGACTCTTTAAAGTAGAGACACTACATACTGATATACACCTGAACATCAGCAGGAGAGGACTCTTTAAAGTAGAGACACTACATACTGATATACACCTGAACATCAGCAGGAGAGGACTCTTTAAAGTAGAGACACTACATACTGATATACACCTGAAACATCAGCAGGAGAGGACTCTTTAAAGTAGAGACACTACATACTGATATACACCTGAACATCAGCAGGAGAGGACTCTTTAAAGTAGAGACACTACATACTGATATACACCTGAACATCAGCAGGAGAGGACTCTTTAAAGTAGAGACACTACATACTGATATACACCTGAACATCAGCAGGAGAGGACTCTTTAAAGTAGAGACACTACATACTGATATACACCTGAACATCAGCAGGAGAGGACTCTTTAAAGTAGAGACACTACATACTGATATACACCTGAACATCAGCAGGAGAGGACTCTTTAAGTAGAGACACTACATACTGATATACACCTGACATCAGCAGGAGAGGACTCTTAAAGTAGAGACACTACATACTGATATACACCTGAACATCAGCAGGAGAGGACTCTTTAAAGTAGAGACACTACATACTGATATACACCTGAACATCAGCAGGAGAGGACTCTTTAAAGTAGAGACACTACATACTGATATACACCTGAACATCAAGCAGGAGAGGACTCTTTAAAGTAGAGACACTACATACTGATATACACCTGAACATCAGCAGGAGAGGACTCTTTAAAGTAGAGACACTACATACTGATATACACCTGAACATCAGCAGGAGAGGACTCTTTAAAGTAGAGACACTACATACTGATATACACTGAACATCAGCAGGAGAGGACTCTTTAAAGTAGAGACACTACATACTGATATACACCTGAACATCAGCAGGAGAGGACTCTTTAAAGTAGAGACACTACATACTGATATACACCTGAACATCAGCAGGAGAGGACTCTTTAAAGTAGAGACACTACATACTGATATACACCTGAACATCAGCAGGAGAGGACTCTTTAAAGTAGAGACACTACATACTGATATACACCTGAACATCAGCAGGAGAGGACTCTTTAAAGTAGAGACACTACATACTGATATACACCTGAACATCAGCAGGAGAGGACTCTTTAAAGTAGAGACACTACATACTGATATACACCTGAACATCAGCAGGAGAGGACTCTTTAAAGTAGAGACACTACATACTGATATACACCTGAACATCAGCAGGAGAGGACTCTTTAAAGTAGAGACACTACATACTGATATACACCTGAACATCAGCAGGAGAGGACTCTTTAAAGTAGAGACACTACATACTGATATACACCTGAACATCAGCAGGAGAGGACTCTTTAAAGTAGAGACACTACATACTGATATACACCTGAACATCAGCAGGAGAGGACTCTTTAAAGTAGAGACACTACAGACTGATATACACCTGAACATCAGCAGGAGAGGACTCTTTAAAGTAGAGACACGACATACTGATATACACCTGAACATCAGCAGGAGAGGACTCTTTAAAGTAGAGACACTACATACTGATATACACCTGAACATCAGCAGGAGAGGACTCTTTAAAGTAGAGACACTACATACTGATATACACCTGAACATCAGCAGGAGAGGACTCTTTAAAGTAGAGACACTACATACTGATATACACCTGAACATCAGCAGGAGAGGACTCTTTAAAGTAGAGACACTACATACTGATATACACCTGAACATCAGCAGGAGAGGACTCTTTAAAGTAGAGGACACTACATACTGATATACACCTGAACATCAGCAGGAGAGGACTCTTTAAAGTAGAGACACTACATACTGATATACACCTGAACATCAGCAGGAGAGGACTCTTTAAGTAGAGACACTACATACTGATATACACCTGAACATCAGCAGAGAGGACTCTTTAAAGTAGAGCACTACATACTGATATACACCTGAACATCAGCAGGAGAGGATCTTAAAGTAGAGGACACTACATACTGATATACACCTGAACATCAGCAGGAAGAGGACTCTTTAAAGTAGAGACACTACATACTGATATACACCTGAACATCAGCAGGAGAGGACTCTTTAAAGTAGAGACACTACATACTGATATACACCTGAACATCAGCAGGAGAGGACTCTTTAAAGTAGAGACACTACATACTGATATACACCTGAACATCAGCAGGAGAGGACTCTTTAAAGTAGAGACACTACATACTGATATACACCTGAACATCAGCAGGAGAGGACTCTTTAAAGTAGAGACACTACATACTGATATACACCTGACATCAGCAGGAGAGACTCTTTAAGTAGAGACACTACATACTGATATACACCGAACATCAGCAGGAGAGGACTCTTAAAGTAGAGACACTACATACTGATATACACCTGAACATCAGCAGGAGATGGACTCTTTAAAGTAGAGACACTACATACTGATATACACCTGAAGCAGGAGGGACTCTTTAAAGTAGAGACACTACATACTATATACACCTGAACATCAGCAGGAGAGACTCTTTAAAGTAGAGACACTACATACTGATATACACCTGAACATCAGCAGGAGAGGACTCTTTAAAGTAGAGACACTACATACTGATATACACCTGAACATCAGCAGGAGAGGACTCTTTAAAGTAGAGACACTACATACTGATATACACCTGAACATCAGCAGGAGAGGACTCTTTAAAGTAGAGACACTACATACTGATATACACCTGAACATCAGCAGGAGAGGACTCTTTAAAGTAGAGACACTACATACTGATATACACCTGAACATCAGCAGGAGAGGACTCTTTAAAGTAGAGACACAACATACTGATATACACCTGAACATCAGCAGGAGAGGACTCTTTAAAGTAGAGACACTACATACTGATATACACCTGAACATCAGCAGGAGAGGACTATTTAAAGTAGAGACACTACATACTGATATACACCTGAACATCAGCAGGAGAGGACTCTTTAAAGTAGAGACACTACATACTGATATACACCTGAACATCAGCAGGAGAGGACTCTTTAAAGTAGAGACACTACATACTGATATACACCTGAACATCAGCAGGAGAGGACTCTTTAAAGTAGAGACACTACATACTGATATACACCTGAACATCAGCAGGAGAGGACTCTTTAAAGTAGAGACACTACATACTGATATACACCTGAACATCAGCAGGAGAGACTCTTTAAAGTAGAGACACTACATACTGATATACACCTGAACATCAGCAGGAGAGGACTCTTTAAAGTAGAGACACTACATACTGATATACACCTGAACATCAGCAGGAGAGGACTCTTTAAAGTAGAGACACTACATACTGATATACACCTGAACATCAGCAGGAGAGGACTCTTTAAAGTAGAGACACTACATACTGATATACACCTGAACATCAGCAGGAGAGGACTCTTTAAAGTAGAGACACTACATACTGATATACACCTAACATCAGCAGGAGAGGGACTCTTTAAAGTAGAGACACAACATACTGATATACACCTGAACATCAGCAGGAGAGGACTCTTTAAAGTAGAGACCACTACATACTGATATACACCTGAACATCAGCAGGAGAGGACTCTTAAAGTAGAGACACTACATACTGATATACACCTGAACATCAGCAGGAGAGGACTCTTTAAAGTAGAGACACTACATACTGATATACACCTGAACATCAGCAGGAGAGGACTCTTTAAAGTAGAGACAGTACATACTGATATACACCTGAACATCAGCAGGAGAGGACTCTTTAAAGTAGAGACACTACATACTGATATACACCTGAACATCAGCAGGAGAGGACCTTTAAAGTAGAGACACTACATACTGATATACACCTGAACATCAGCAGGAGAGGACTCTTTAAAGTAGAGACACTACATACTGATATACACCTGTACATCAGCAGGAGAGGACTCTTTAAAGTAGAGACACTACATACTGATATACACCTGACATCAGCAGGAGAGGACTCTTTAAAGTAGAGACACTACATACTGATATACACCTGAACATCAGCAGGAGAGGACTCTTTAAAGTAGAGACACTACATACTGATATACACCTGAACATCAGCAGGAGAGGACTCTTTAAAGTAGAGACACTACATACTGATATACACCTGAACATCAGCAGGAGAGAACTCTTTAAAGTAGAGACACTACATACTGATATACACCTGAACATCAGCAGGAGAGGACTCTTTAAAGTAGAGGCACTACATACTGATATACACCTGAACATCAGCAGGAGAGGACTCTTTAAAGTAGAGACACTACATACTGATATACACCTGAACATCAGCAGGAGAGGACTCTTTAAAGTAGAGACACTACATACTGATCAGGGATGCAAACTCATCAGGTATGAAAAAGGTGACAAGGATCCAAGCCCACCGACCCCACGGAATATCGGCTTTAAAATGAGGAATAACAGGATTATAGCAGTCAGAACAACTAAAGCAGTTAATAATAACAGAAACGCCAAAGAGTCACATCTAATAGAAATATATAAAAGCATTTATTTTAATTGTGTAGCAGTCAGTTTATAATTTTGGCAGCACTGTTGAGCATTTTGAAAATGTATTTTCATGCCTCTGTGCAAAGCTTAGTCTTTATATCTGTATAGCCAGTGGTGTAAAGTAACTAAGTTCATAAACTCAAGTACTATACTTGGGTACAATTTTGAGATACTTGTACTTTATTTATGCATTTCAATGTTTTGCTACTTTGTTCTTCTACTCCTCTACAGTTCAGAGGTACATGTTGTACTTCTACTCCACTACATGTATTTAATACCTTTAGTTACTTTACAGATGTGGATGAATGATGTGAAATATAATCAAGTGTTAAATCAGACTTTAGTTCCACCTGGAGTAAATCCACAAGCTACCCTGCAGTATACAAAGTCATTCAAACTAGCTGCACCTTTACCAGCTTTGAGAACACTTTCATGATCAATCATTATAAAACATATCATATATATTATTCTGAAATGGACCAATCTGCACAACGACTACTTTTACTGTCGCTACTTTCACTATATTTTGATGATAATACTTTTCTACTTTTACTTGAGGAACATTTTGAATGCAGGACTTTTACTGTAACAGAGTATTCCTACACTCTGGTACTTCTACTTTTACTCAAGTACAAGACCTGAGTACTTCTACTTTGACTCAAGTCCAAGATCTGAGTACTTCTACTTTGACTCAAGTCCAAGATCTGAGTACTTCTACTTTTACTCAAGTACAAGATCTGAGTACTTCTACTTTGACTCAAGTCCAAGATCTGAGTACTTCTACTTTTACTCAAGTACAAGATCTGAGTACTTCTACTTTTACTCAAGTACAAGATCTGAGTACTTCTACTTTTACTCAAGTACAAGATCTGAGTACTTCTACTTTTACTCAAGTACAAGATCTGAGTACTTCTACTTTTACTCAAGTACAAGATCTGAGTACTTCTACTTTTACTGTCGCTACTTTAACTATATTTTGATGATAATACTTTTGTACTTTTATTTGAGGAACATTTTGATTGCAGGATTGTTCCTACACTCTGGTACTTCTACTTTTACTCAAACCTGAGTACTTCTACTTTTAATCAAGTACAAGATCTGAGTGCTTCTACTTTTACTCAAGTACAAGATCTATACTTATACCACCTCTGTTTATAGCCTATGAAAAAAACTATTGGAAAACGAAGGCTAAAGCTAACGTTAGCAGATAGTGACAATGTATGCTAGTTAGCTAGCTCAACGATAATATTGCGACAGGAACACTTTTCAGTGCACATCACGCTCTGCCGCTCCGACAGGGAGCTCTGATCTGAACACCTGAACGGCCCGTTCTAACAGCTGTTCACCAGCGGTGCAGTCTGTGCCACAGTGACTCCGGACTGCACAGTTAATATTAACGAACGCACCCGTAGGTAATGTAGCTGCTGAAGCTAGACCATCATCACGGAGCAGCAGAGCCTTATTATACATCCATGAGCAGAGCCGACAGGCAGGAAGACTCGAGCACACAGCTCGCGCTTCATTATAATATATAAAAAAAGAACACCATGCGTGTCATGATGGCACATAACAGCTCGCGGCCGCAGATTACTCCGGGTCCCAGACCCCCCTCCCCCCCCCCCCCCATACCCCAAAAATATTTTTATTGCAGATCTACATGAATCACACAAACGACCTATTTTGGAATCAAAACGGCGAATTTCGCCGAAAGGTGACAAGTTTGCATCCCTGCTGATATACACCTGAACATCAGCAGGGGAGGACCCTTTAAAGTAGAGACTTTAAAGAGTCCTACAATATGGCCCCTTTAAGACATTTTAAATGCAAAAATGTTACCAAATATATCTATAGAGCACTATATCATATCCTCTTTCTCACACAGGAAACTTTAAGCTCCTACCATTGCCATGCGTCCGCGTTCCAAACAGTCCTGCAGGCCGACTTTATCATCCAGAGCCGAAGCCAGAGGTCTAAAGAGAAACACACACAGAGGCATTTAAACAAAAGAACTGTTTTTAAGGAGCATATACTGAAGAAAGGGAATATTGATTTGAATTATTTACCTGTTCATGCCGGGGAGGTTTCCCCAGAAGTATCGCGCTCTGTGAGCAGGACTGACCTTCACTGCATCGATGAGGATCGGATTACACTGAAGAAATGAAGATAATAATAAGAACAAACTCTGCCATTGAATTGAGAGGATTCTTACAACATGTAGGAGCCAAAAAGCGTATTTTGTCATTGCTTATTATTTATTTTATTATCATTATTTGTTTACATCCTATAGTCGTAATTGGTCACTTCTGGCACGTATCACATGGGTGTGACGAAGGTAATTTAATCCATACGATATTGTAAGAGCAAAGTTAAGCCTATAAGCAACTATTGGGAGTTTAGTTGCCACACACCCGTAAATAAATGTTGGGAAAATCCTGAACGTCCTCTTCCAATAGAGAGTAACATGATAACTAAGGTATCCCAACTGTAGCTGTGTACATGACAGGATGTATGATTACCTAGAAGAGCATCAGGACTGTTTGAGGCATATGATAGCTATGTGATTAACATGATGATTCAGCCTCTATGGAGATAGACATATGACAAGCATGCTCATTTCTGACGTGGAGCTAATCTGAAGTAAACATTGAATACTGCTTTCTATTCCTCCATCTTGTGACTGTGTAACTCCCTCTCTTGGATATCAGCATGTGAAGGACACTGTTCAGGAACTAGTTGATGCTCTGTATGTGATGACTACTTCCATTCTGGAGAGGATCACAAATACATGGATCCTGAGATTGAAGCTCAAGCCGGGAACGAGTGATTATTAACATTTTGAAGTATTCAGAAAAAGTCAGAATTTTGAGATTTTTGAGAAAAAGTCAGAATTTTGAGAAAAATTTAAATTTTTTGAGATTTTTGTGAAAAAGTCAAATCTTTTGAGATTTTTGAGAAAAAGTCATATTTTTTTAGAAAAGTCAGCATTTTTTTGATTTGTGTGTAAAAGTCAGATTTTTGAGATTTTGAGAAAAAGTCAGATCTTTTAGATTTTTTAGAAAAAGTCAGATTTTTTAGATTTTGACTACTTCCATTCTGGAGAGGATCACAAATACATGTATCCTGAGATTGGAGCTCAAGCCGGAGACCAGGGAGATTATCCTAACTATAATAAATAATATAATCACCTCCAGGAATCTGCAGATGTCGGATTTATCGTGGCCACTCATGAACACCACGTTCTCAAACAGCCAGAAGAACGGGCGGTCGTCGCCGTCCTTCGGCTTCATGAGCGTCAGCAGGCGGTAAAACTCAAAGAACAGACGTCCAGTTCCCTCTGCACCACAGAGAGAGAGAGAGGAACACAGAGAGGGTTATCACCAGGGAGAGATAATGTGTGAAGAGGATGCACTCAGCCGCTCTCAATGCCGGTGAACAGGAGGGGTTATATTCAGAAAATAAATAAAACAAAGACAAAACTAAGAATTCTCTGTACAAAAATGTACAATAATATATATTTGGCAATGGGGGAATACTCCTGATTTAGTCCCAGAATCACCATATTATCATAACTCTGCAGATTTTAATAAATGTCTCCTTGAATTGAAACTATTGAGACGAAAACAACAAACCAATTAACATTTTCTCCTAAAAATTACCTTTTTTTCATTCATTAGGGAATTCATAATCTTGGAGAATAATCAAATACTTTGATTGTAAAATGTTGTACGTTGTTTATTGTCTTACATCTACCACTTCGATCTCAGAATTTTGTCTATTTTCTTTAATGTTTTATCTGGGAATAATAATCTTACCCGGCTCTAATTACTTATTTTATTACCCACAAATGCCCTAAAAAGGCCAGATTTATAATAATTGTTCTCCAGTAACTCATCAGCAACCACTTGTTTCCTGTTCCACACGCACTGCTACCAACATGTCTGGAATAACATACCAAATAATCCTTTTCTCAGCGGGTTGACCATGGAGAGGTCGTTGCATGGACTGCCTCCGATCAGAAGGTCAAACGGACCCCACTCAGCCAGCTGCAACACACACACACACACACACACACACACACACACACACACACACACACACACACACACACACACACACACACACACACACACACACACACACACACACACACACACACACACACACACACACACACACACACACACACACACACACACACACACACACACACACACACACACACACACACACACACACACACACACACACACACACACACACACACACACACACACAATTATCTTCATGTTTCTGTGTTGTTTTGTTTTCCTCAGATTCACACTTTTAACTTAAAGTGGACCTATCATGCTATATTTAAATGATATATTGTAGGGCCATACCTATATAAGGTATATTTATACGTTTCTGTTTTCAAAATACCAAACAGATCATGCATTTTAGCCATGCCTCATTTCGCTCTATGTGCTGTTTGCTGTCTACGGGTCTGATTCTGCTGACCACGCCCCCCTGCAGTAGAGGGGAGCCATGCTCTGATCAGCTGCTGGGCTGTCAGAAGAGGGGGAGAAAAAGAGATCTCCGTCCTCCGTGTTTTATTATATAGAGTTGTTATTCATTTGTTTTAAAGCTCAATAAATAACAAAGAAGACATTTGACCGGCACTTTTCTAATTTTGTCCGGAAGATTTAAACTTTAACGGACATCTTGACCCGCGAAAGAAACTGAAACTAAAACTCTGCCGCACGGTCCCCTCGTTCCTTGGAAGAGGCGGAGAGGTGGGTGTTTGTCATCTGCTGGTGGACTAACCGGAGAGAATTACAGTGCTTGCCTCGACGGGGAGGGATTGCATTGAATTAAAGCAGCGGGAGCAAACGCTTGCCTCGGGGAGGGAGAAAGAAAGCCACAGCGGAGAATAAACAGAAGGGTAACCATGGTAACTATGGGCGGGAAGTCTTCTTCGCTGCTTTTGTGGCAGACTACAGCGCCACTTACAGGCCTGGCATATGTACTACAGCGTCTCCAGCGCTTTCGAGCGGCAATGGCCGTGGCTGTCTCCTCCTGATTGGTGGAGTTGGCCCAATAGCCGTAGCGCCACCGTCCTGACGTCAGTAACGTGTTCAAATCTGGATCAGTTTTTATCAGATCCGTTGCAGCCCCTTTTTTAGAGATTTGGGTATGGAGGAAAATAGAGAGGGTTGTGTTTTCTGACACTTGGTGAGTTCCCTGGAACACCGGGGACACATATTCATGTAGAAAAGACGTACACAAGTGCATTTTGCATGATAGGTCCCCTTTAAGCTATCAGCATACAGAGGAGAAGGGGAAGCCCTGTTTACTTTCTAAATATTCCTTTATCTGTAAACCGTAAGAACATATTGAAAAATGTCACATTCAGTTTCTGAAAGTCCAAGTATGTGTTTCAATGTCCAAAGATAGTCACTTTTATTAAGATATAAAGCAGTACATCTCCATATTTAAAAGACAAAACCTATTTTCCACCAGAATTAAAAAAAACATATTTTAGAAAACTCTTTTGTTAAGAACAAGCAATAAAAACAACTCTAGATAAGGTCAGGGTGAACTCACGTGTTTCCTGGTGATGGTTCGAACATCGTTGACGTATTCGATCTTTCCCTCGTGCTTTATCAGCCCCACAGCGATGGAGTCCTCACAGATCTCTGAGGCGATGTAGCGATCGATCTTAAAGCCCAGGTCTTTGAGCACCAGGTAGCCTGTGGGGAAGAATAAACGCATTACATGCACTGTAACTCAAATAAAAGTCTCATTTGTATTCAGACTGGAGCTCCCGGTTCCTCTTCAATAGTAAGTATAGACAAAAAAAGATAACCAACCTGTTGCGATGCCGTCAAAAAGCGAGAGCACTCTGATTGGTCGGCGCTGATCAGCGGGGATGGAGGGGTAAACTCTGTGAGGCTCCTGGGATTAAATAGAAAATACACAAGTTTCAGTAAAGACTGAGTGTTCAGCATTTTTGTGCAAGAGACAGTTGTTGTGAACCGACCGGAGGTTTGTTTCACTATTTAATGAGGGGATAAAAGTGTTAAGAATACTCTATTTCACATTAAGTTGTGCGTGTATTAACTGCAGCTGTGTACATGACAGGATGTATGATTACCTCGAAGAGCATCAGGACTGTTTGAAGCATATGATAGCTATGTGATTAACATGATGATTCAGCCTCTATGGAGATAGACATATGACAAGCATGCTCATTTCTGACGTGGAGCTAATCTGAAGTAAACATTGAATACTGCTTTCTATTCCTCCATCTTGTGACTGTGTAACTCCCTCTCTTGGATATCAGCATGTGAAGGACACTGTTCAGGAACTAGTTGATGCTCTGTATGCGATGACTACTTCCATTCTGGAGAGGATCACAGATACATGGATCCTGAGATTGAAGATCAAGCCGGGGACCAGGGATTATTGACATTTTTAAGTATTCAGAAAAAGTCAGAATTTTTAGATTTTTGAGAAAAGTGAGAATTTTGAGAAAAAGTCATATTTTGAGAAAAGAAAAGTCAGATTTTGGGGAAAAGTCAGTTATTTTGAGAAAAAGTCAGAATTTGTGAGAATAAGTAATATTTTTGAGATTTTTGAGAATAAGTAATATTTTTTTTATTTTTGAGAAGGTCCGAATCTTTTGAATTTTGAGAAAAAATTCAGAATTTTTGAGAAAGTCACATTTTTGAGAAAAAGTCATATTTTTGAGAAAAGAAAAGTCAGATTTTGGGGAAAAGTCAGACATTTTGAGAAAAAGTCAGAATTTGTGAGAATAAGTAATATCTTTTAGATTTTTGAGAATAAGTAATATTTTTTTGATTTTTGAGAAAGTCCGAATTTTTTGAATTTTGAGAAAAAATTCAGAATTTTTGAGAAAGTCACATTTTTGAGAAAAAGTCATATTTTTGAGATTTTTTGAGAAAAAGTCATATTTTTGAAAAAAAGTCAGAATTTAAAGAAAAAAAGTCAGATTTTGAGGGAAAAAGTCAGATTTTTGAGAAAAAGTCAGATATTTGAGAAAAAGTCCGATATTTGAGGAAAAAGTCAGGATTTTGAGATTTTGAGAAAAATACCAACGAATTCTCTTTTTTTGTTTTGACTACTTCCATTCTGGAGAGGATCAGAAACACATGGATCCTGAGATTGAAGCTCAAGCCGGGGACCAGGGAGATATTTCTAACACGTACGAAGGCCATGGCGCTGTTGTTGGCGAAGAAGTCCTGGACCTTGACGCTCCAGTCCGGCCTCAGTTTGAGGTTCCCGGCACACAGAGAGGGTTTACACATGAAGCAGCTCCACGGATCCATATCCTTCAGAATGTCGAAGGTCCCCAGACCCACCAGGATCTCCAGACAGCCCTTACAGAAACACCTGGAGGAGATAAGAAGATAAGATAAGAAGTACTTTATTGATCCCAATTAAACTGAATATATACATGTAAAGGGTGATTTTAAGTCCAAGAGAAGCTGTGGAGCAGAGAGTTCAGAGCGTAAAAGAAAATGCACTTTAGGTCAAATTATTCGAAAGTAAAGGTGACGTTTACCTGCAGCAGCTGGCGTTTCCACACAGAATGACTTCCTGTCCGGCGCAGCACACGGTGCAGTACGACTGGTATCCGTCTTCATCGTAACGGAACAGCGTCTCTGTGAAGTTCTCCTGCAGAAAGAGACGTGAAGGGGTGTTAGGAGCAGCTGAGTTTCAGATGGAGGTTAGACATTGGGAATTGGAAAATACATTAGCCGCTTTCACACCAAGTACTTTGCCGTACTTAGTGGCCAGCACTTAGTTCCCCCATGGCACTAAAGAGCAGATCGCGTTCACACCGGAATAAGTTCCCTGAGGGAGGATTAGGCAAATGAAGCCGCTGACGTCACTTCGTCTTCTTCTGCTTTGGGTTTACTGGCAGGCCGCAAACAACTTCACGGCGTATACTGCCACCCGAAGTCCCCGGCCGGAAGTCCCCGGAGTTGGGGAAGGCTTCAGTAGAAGCTGCTGGGACTCCCAGCAGCTTCTACTGAAGCCTTCCGAGTAAATCGCCAGAAGCGCCGACACCTCCTCATCTCCACCGCTCCCATGTTTTCTTTTGTGTTGCCATAAGTTATTCTCTCTCCATTGGTGCACGGGGCTAATGCTAATGCTAATAATGCTAATGCCAGCAAATACAATGGCGGCATCACAAAACTTGGGGGGGGGGTGTAGTAATCAGCAGCGAACCCCTTCAACACGTGTATTTCGGTTTATTCACAGCATTCATTTTGTTATTCTACAGTATTGTTGTTTTATAGTTATTTGTTAATGTAACCCAATTTGTGTTCTTTGAAATTGAAAAGGATATCGCATTGTGTTTGTTACTTTCGTTGCAGTTGTATACGTCTTAAGTGTAATTTGGCATGGCTTCCTATTTTGTATGGACATGCTTTTATTTTGAAGGAGAGTTAGCGCTGTTGACAGGAAGTTGTTGTTGCTATGGAAACAACGTGACGGAGATTAACGGAGAAAAAGTAATATCTACATATAAAGACGGAGAAAGTAAACGATAACGTTTATGGTTAAGTGTTAGCACCCCCCGAAGAGGCACAAGCTCTTACGTTGATATTGGAGATTTCAATAAATTCAATTTGAAAAAAAAAAACGGGAAGAAAACGAAAAAACAAACAAAACGAATATCCGAATAACGAAATTGAAACCCGAAATACTCCAACGAACGGATATTCGGATACAGCCCTAGAGGGAAGCAGACCAAATAACACGTCAAAAAGACGTATTTATCATTAAATTACCTTGCATCTGAGACAAAGACCACCTTCGAACAACGGGTGCTGCACCTGAAGCTCAGTGGATCCACAAGACAAACAGAAATCTGAAATAACAAACCATTAAGTTAAAATGAAGGATTGTTCGTTTATATAAAATCACACGTCTTCCACACACTCACACACAACTTACCTTCAATTGTTTTGCCCGCCTCTTTGACCTTTTCTCTTATCAATTCTGTAGAAAAGTAGAAAAACAAATCACACATAAGGAATGAAAAAGATTATACTCTGTGACCAAATCTAGTGAGGAACGTTTACTCTTGAAGACATGTGTTTTGGACTAAATGTGGTATATTGTGTACCTCGGTTATAGATGATGGCGGGTGTGATTGCCTTGTTTTTAAAAACATATTTCCTTTTTGGCGGAGGCTGGTAGTCGGACAGGGCCGAGTCAGAAGTTTCCTGAAGAGCGGCGGCATCTTGAAGAAGCAGGAAGAGACGAAATAAGGAGAAAATCAAGAAAAAGCTGGATATGTAACGACTAACAGAGCAAAGACAAAACATTATGGATCATCTTACTATCTTTATGCATATATTATGGGTCTTAGATATATACAAATATATTAAAAACATATCTATGATGTGTTTTGCTCAAAATACCAAACAGCATTTTAGAAATCCCTCATATCCCTCTGTTTCAGCCCTGTTACTAAAGTGCTGATTCTGGGTCTGCATTTTGTATGATAGGAGACCTTTAAACTCCTAATAAAGTGGTGCAGGAATGAGTCCTAAAACCCGGAAGTGAGTCAGCATGTTACCACTTCCTGTCCCCTCGTCTCAGAGTCAACGGGTTTTTTGAACTAGTTTTGTAAAATATCTGTAAATAAGGTCTGAGGTTGAGACACATTGAAGAGACGGGTCACGTTTTGTTCTAGGACATTAAATCCATCAGCAGTGACCCCACTGGTGATTTCTGAAGAGTTGACGTGTCTGAGAAACGATGGTTGTTACCAAGTGGCTGAATAGGACTACAGAAGTCGTGGAGGACGTTGTACGACATTACGCCGAACACGTAAACACTCCTCTAAGTTAGTTTGCCCTGTTCTGCTTGAAAGCAAGTACCTGCCTCCTGCTAACTGTTCAAACAAACGCTTCAACTCGTACCATTTAGAATCTGTGTGTTTGAATATGGATCTGAAGTTGGCGTGACGTTGAAGTCGTGCTGCTGTACTCGCCTGTAGTTCCTTTATAGCATGACGTTAGCATTTTGCTTCTGGAGATTCGATTTATGATTTGAAAATGATAAAAGTAGCGTAGACATGTGGAGATTATCCGGCTGAACAAAACGTGCAGGTTCGTTTTCCACAGATCTTATTTCGAGCTATTTTCCTAAATCCTCTGGAGAGATCCTGTTGCTTTTTGTCGAGGGAACCCATGAGCAGTTTAATTCCGGGTCGGCCTACAAAAATACGTCATCCCTGCACCGCTCTATAGGTAGAGAAATAAAGTAAATGTTGATAACAGTGCTCATACCAGGAGGCAGGAGTCCCTCAGGGCCGGAGGGCAGGAAACCCTCAGAGGCCCAGTCCAGCATCAGCTTCAGCTCCTTCTCCTTAGTTCCTCCTTTTCCAGAGAAAGACTTCCCACAGCGCTCACCAGCCAGCTGCACAACACAAACATTATCTGAGTCAACACAAACATTATCTGAGTCAACACAAACATTATCTGAGTCAACACCAGTGGCGTCGCCTGGCCTGGGCATTCAGGGCTTTAGCCCCGAATGTTTTTTATGTAGCCCCGGACAATTCTCCCTCCAATAATATAATACATTAACCGTGCTTTACGTGAACCTCATCACGACACAAGAGAGGACGGCAGCACTGTAATTTCCCGTGTTCAGTGAATGCAACAGAGGCATGACACCAGACCAATCAGAGAGTTGCATGGAAAATAAACGTGTGCTTGTGTCATTCAAGCTCGGCTCTGTGTGTGTGTGTGTGTGTGTGTGTGTGTGTGTGTGGCAATAGCGCATTTAGTGTGAGAGAGAGAGAGAGAGAGAGAGAGGAGGAGAGAGAGAGAGAGAGAGAGGAGAGAGAGAGAGAGAGAGAGAGAGAGAGAGAGAGAGAGAGAGAGAGAGAGAGGGACCGTGCCAGCATGGACCGTGTTGTTAGCATCTGGTTAGCTAGCTGCACTAACGGACATAAGGAGCTGTTTGTTCCACAAGAAGCTGGAGGAGAGTCCTCTCCTCTCAGACTGAGAGACTCAGGTGAGCTAAAGGACTCTCTGAGTGTTTAGATAGTTAACTTTAGTCTGAGTTATCTCAGTGGGTCTCAAACGGTTTGGTCACAAATTATTCAAAAGATTATTTCCGTGGCACACGTTCATATGATCATTATAGTTATTAAAAAATAAGAGAATAAAGGAAAAACAGTTATGAAATACTATATGGCAGTAAAACAAGAATAGAGTTTAAAAGGGGAGTGATTAGTAAAATATCCATAAAGAAAAAGTACATCTGTTTACAGTTCTGCTTCATATGGGTGTTGAGAGAGGTATCCATAGATCTCTTCATGTTGCTCTCAAAGTGCACCAGATTGATGCATTTAACTTCAATATTTAAAAACAAATCTGAGTCAACACAAACATTATCTGAGTCAACACAACACAGGTAGGTAGATTTAAACAGGAGAATAGTCCGAAAAAGCAGAAGGTATTGGTTACAGGTTAAGTAACAGACAAGAGTTACCAAGGGGAAGCGTACAAAGTAGTAATGACAATTGGTTCAAAATATCTGATTTAGTCGATTGCCCTCGGACGCTGTTTCTTGCAAGATGTTGCATTTTGCCCCCGCCCGCGGGGTTTAAGGCGAGACACTACAGGTGAATAGGGTACGTTTTTTAACTTAAAGATATCAGCAAGACATTTCTCCAGTTAATTACTTATATTAAGGCAATTGTTTTTTGTATTACAAGTATTCTGAAATAGCATGTTTAAATATGCAAATGAGCCATCCTCTCATTATATATGCGCATATTTTAATACATTTCAGGAACACAAATCTGAACATTGGATGAAGCCAGGTTCAAAATTCTTGTTTCATTTTGTAGTCATATTAGAAGCTAAAGTTTTTACAGAAGGGATTTTGGATATCTCTTTGTATCACTCCATAAATCAGAAAATACTGTCAACAATCCTAAAATATCTATTTTCGCCATGTTTTTAGGTATAAAATGTTATATAATTCAGACTATGAATGATATATAAACAAACCCTTCAGTAAAAACCTTCAGAATATTGATAGGAATATAACTGGAAGGTTTGGTGTATGTAATGGCGCGTTTCCACTACACGGCCTCGCTCGGCCCCGCTCGGTATGGCTGGGCCTCGTTAGGACTGGCTCACTTTATGGCGCATTTCCATTACAGTTTAGGAACTGGGGCAGTATCTATAGTAACGCAGTGTAGGCGGAGCCGTGACGTGATCTTCAGAGGACCCCAGAGAAACAACACAGCCGTTAGCTGTTAGCACTCAGAGCTCCTCATATCTGTTCAGAAACTAGACAAAAGTTAAACAAGTACACACCACAGACTGCCTGTGTCATGGTGAATACAGTCGCTGCTTTATTTATGTCTGTATAGGCCGTTGTTGTGAGTGTGGACGGTCGGAGCATATACAACGTTAGCTTAGCCGATCTCCATTTAGAAAACACGCATTTTAAAAGGTTTTTCGCCTGCCGTCTGTCTGCAGACTTGTCAAAGCATTAATTCATGGTTTTTACTAACCGGTATCAGTATGTTGTTACTTCGGCATCATTTTGAAACGTGTATTACAATTAAATCACGGTCAAATATGTCCATCTTGTTGTAGTTGTAGCCCCCTTGCCAGCGATGCTCTCTCTAGTTTAGCATACTCAGCCCGACTCAGCCTCGTTGTCTCTGGCCCTAGACCCGCGATTTTATGAGGCCAGAAAAACTGTGAATTAGGACCCGCCGGCCGGTACTAGGCCAAGTGGAAACGCAACCAAAGACGGGCCGCTGACGTCACAGCCCTCTTAAACCGGGCTGCGCGCTGTAGTGGAAACGCGCCATTAGTGCTACTGAAGTGGACATTTTGCTAACTTTTGGTGAACTTACAGACGCAAATAGACAATCTAGTCAAATAAACACCTAAATGTGTATTTTGTATGTTTTCCTTCCAAAAGCCTGAAAGAAAACATGTTATGGAATCAAAATCAACAGCCGTAGTAAGAAGGGAACATTTACAGATATCAAAATCAATCTTGAGTAACAGGATGTGATAGAAACAGATCATTCGACCTACTGTAAAGATGATAGCGACAGATATCATTTGGGGTCTTACCTCGATGATCTGGTAAATGGCTTCCTTGTAGACGGGCAGGCTGGCGTAGGAGTTTTTGCAGAAGCACTTATTGAAGGCACTGAAGACCATGAGACCCTCCGTGTAGCTCTGCAACAGGAAGCAAAGATGATGGGAAAATGCAATTCAACACATGTGGAGTTTTCTTCACATTTAGTGTTCAATCAATCAATCAATCAATCAAATGTTACACTGTGTGACATAGATAAGATAGCACTTTGTTGTCCAGGTACTCTTTAAAACAGATGGTAGTTATGGGTACTTTTTACTGAAGTACATTTCAAAGCCCTCTTTACTTTTACTTGAGTAAAGAAGTTTAGTCAGTACTTCTACTTTCACCAGAGTATTTTAAACACGAGTATCTGTACTTCTCCTTGAGTAAAGGATGTGTGTACTTTTGCCATCTCTGTTCATAGGTTTAAAAACCAAGAAAAGCGTTCTTCTTACCTCTGAGAACATCCCGTCTCCGAACCACTCGACCCTCCTCATCCCGGGAGGAGAGGATTTACTTTTCCAGGGGATCACCATCCCGGGCCACCAGGAGAAACCCTTCACTTTCCCCCAGATCAACTCTCCGCGCAGGAACCCCTTCCCATCCTGCAGGGGAAACGTGGATTATCATAAACGTTTTTTTGTTGGGAAAATACAGAATGTACTCTTCCAACATGAGAGTAGCATGATAACAAAGGTATCCCAACTGTAGCTGTGAACATGACAGGATGTATGATTACCTAGAAGAGCATCAGGACTGTTTGAGGCATATGATAGCTATGTGATTAACATGATGATTCAGCCTCTATGGAGATAGACATATGACAAGCATGCTCATTTCTGACGTGGAGCTAATCTGAAGTAAACATTGAATACTGCTTTCTATTCCTCCATCTTGTGACTGTGTAACTCCCTCTCTTGGATATCAGCATGTGAAGGACACTGTTCAGGAACTAGTTGATGCTCTGTATGTGATGACTACTTCCATTCTTGAGAGGATCAGAAACACATGGATCCTGAGATTGAAGCTCAAGCCGGGGACCAGGGATTATTGACATTTTGAAGTATTCAGAAAAAGTCAGAATTTTTTGATTTTTGAGAAGTCAGAATTTTGAGAAAAAGTCATATTTTGAGAAAAAAAGTCATATTTTGGGGAAAAGTCCGATATTTTGAGAAAAAGTCCGAATTTGTGAGAATAAGTCATATTTTTGAGAAAGTCCGAATTTTTAGAATTTTGAGAAAAAATTCAGAATTTTTGAGAAAGTCAATTTTTTGAGAAAAAGTCATATTTTTGAAAAAAAAGTCATATTTTTGAAAAAAAGTCATATTTTTGAAAAAAAGTCATATTTTTGAAAAAAAAGTCAGAATTTAGAGGAAAAAAAGTAAAAAAAGTGACTACTTCCATTCTGGAGAGGATCACAGACACATGGATCCAGAGATTGAAGCTCAAGCCGGGGACGAGGGATATTTTTCTAACAGTTTTCCTTCTTAATGTAATTTAAAAGACATGATTCTGTTTTATTCATTACCGTGTAGACGTGTTTCCGGCGATTTCTTGGAGTGGGTTTACTGACCGGAGATGTTTCTTCTGCCTGAGACTTTAAAACATTAAAATAAGTGTCAAACATTTCAGTCAAACATTTAAAAAAAGTAGTTTAGGTGAGGAGGATCTGCGTACTTACAAAATAAAAGCCATAACTGATGTTAGTTAGTTAGAAAATGCACCACAAATCACCAAAATCATTGTGTTACATATTACATTTCAGGTGTCATGGAGGAGAGAATTAGTTCAAAACAAGAGAGCCCTTTTTTCTTAAGATGTATCAATTCCCTCTGATCAACTAATCAAGCTGGAAATATCCAATAAAAACTAAACAGTAGAATCTATTTCCTGTGTTAAATTATCTCAATAGATTTTTAAATGTTGGGGTTGGCATACAGATGATAAGGTCCCTGTTGTGTTTTAGACGACAGATATACTGCTTGTATAGATTTTACGAATAATTCATTATTCTGACATCTGGAGAGAGTCTAGAGTTCTGCGATTTTCTGGAAAAAAAATAGGATTTTCAGAAAAGTGAGAATTTTTCCAATAAAGTGAGAATTCTGAGATTTTCTGGAAAAAGTGAGAATTCTGAGATTTATTAGAAATAAGGTGAGAATTTCCGAAAAAGTGAGCATTTTGGGATTTTCTGAAAAAAGTCAGAATTTTTAGTTTTTAAGTAAAAAGTCAGAATTTTTAGTTTTTAAGTAAAAAGTCATAATTCTGAGATTTCAGAAAAAAACTAAACAGTAGAATCTATTTCACTGTAGTTTTAATTTAAATTATCTAAATAGATTTTTAAATGTCAGGTTATCTTTTTACTTCAGAAATCATAAAGTGGTGTAAATACTATGTGGAGATTATCCTGCTAAACAAAACATGTCTGTATCATAAATATTTGTTTGTCAGAGATTATTTTCTTCAATAAATCAAATCACATGGAGAAATCTTATGCTAACAGAAAAACATCATAACTGCAGGGCTCTATTACGCTATCAGATATGTGTTGTTGTGCAAGGAGCTCACAAGTATCTGCTTTTAGCTAGTTATTTTGTAGTGTTTCAGAGGTCAGAGACATCAGTACACTTGAGTACACCTACCCCCTCTTCCTGGGACTCCAGACCCTTTCTGCTGTCCTGATCAACAGGTTGGGGGGCGGACCAGGTGCTAACACCCGCCTGAAACACTGCGCGGGCCTGAGGTTTCTGCCGCAAGCTGCTCTCCCAGCCATAACTTCCCCTAGTGGTCATCTGAGAGACAACACACTCCCATTACACACTCAAATATCATCACAACACACCGTCATAAAGGGAAAACGTAACCTTATCATGCAAGTGGTTATGATGGCCGTATCAATCATCACAACACACCGTCATAAAGGGAAAACGTAACCTTATCATGCAAGTGGTTATGATGGCCGTATCAATGAAAATATATGAGGTTAGTAAAGGGAAAAGTATGTCAGTAGATGAGGGAAACAACAAATATGATGCAGGAGAAACAATACTTTTTCTGAACAGTTCTGGTCTTTGTTTACTAGTTGAGTGTAAAGCTGAGAAAAGCATCTTGATTGTAGTTTTAAAAAAAATCAGAAGCACGGCAGCGGGATTTCATGAGAAAGAAACTCAAGAAAAACGTTGAAATTCTCAGATTCAAGAGGTAAGTGGTGGTCTAATGGATAGTGAGGTGGGCTGAAGATCGGAAGGTTGTGAGTTCAAATCCCGCCACCACCTCTAGTGTGCCCTTGAGTAAGGCACTTAGCCCTTAGTTACTCCAGGGAGAATGTCCCTCAGGGTTCATATACTTATTCACCAATGACTTTTCCATTACTTCTCCATGACCTTTACCTAATTTTCCATGACCAAAGAAATGACTCTTTCTCAGCGGTACCACTGAAAATGGTTTATTTTAACATGGAACAGGAAAATAAGGTCTGCATATGAAACATGTTGTGCCTATCTGAAAACAAATCAAATAGGCTTACTAGCTTCTACACGCTAAAGCAACTAAAATCTCTCACCAGCAAAACACCTCGTCAGTTAAATGCCATTTTACGTTTCATTACTATACGATACAGTATTTATTATCATTATAGTATTACTATTTTGGCGATTAGATCAAATATAAATTATATTTGATGCAACTTTAGTTAAATTTCCATGACTTTTCCAAAACTTTGGGGAAAATATTGTTTTCCATAACTTTTCCAGGGCCTGGAATTAGCATTTTGAATTTCCATGACTTTTCCAGGTTTTTAATGACCGTAAGAACCCTGGTCCCTGTAACGCGCTTTGGATAAAAGCGTCAGCTAAATGTAATGTAAATATACGGAAATATTTCACAAATTTAAAAGATAAATACTTGAAAATCCTCTGAGATTAAAGTGGTAAATATAGGGGGGGGGGGGGAATCATAAATGTATGAGAAAGAACAAATATTTTCAGAGATTAAAGTGGTAAAAAAAACGTAATTATTTGTGGAAAAAGTATTGGAGGAAAATCACAAATCTCCTAGAAAGTTCTCTGAGATTAAAGTGGTAAATGTACGGGAAAGCAATGTACTAAAAGCTGACAGTTTTCATGTTCAAATAATAAAAATTTTAACATTTTAGCTTTTTTCTCAAAATGTGTGAAGTACCTCTTTGCAATCGTCTCCATTCTCATCGTCTGTTGAAGAAAATATAAAGTAAGTTTGAGCGTTGAAATCTTCAGAAATATGATGGCCATCCTGAACCTGATACAGAAATGCTACGTACCGTTTATCTTTGTGAGGCGGACTTCACAATGCTTTACTTTGAGGCCATTCATTGCTGGAGAAAGAGAGGAACGTGTGATTAACATGTTTGGAGATTTGTCAGAAACAAAACTCAGAATTCTGAGATTTTCAGATTTATTTATCTTCAGACTCGAAAAAATAATGTTTTCATTTTCAGAATTTCCATAGAAAGTAAAAATTCTGCGATTTTCCGGAAAAAGTCATAATTCTGAAATTTCAGGAAAAAGTGAGAATTTCGAGATTTAACCTGTTAAGCTCTGAGCCTGTTTTTCAGGTCTCAGGCTCGAGAATGCCATTCCCAGAACAAATGACCATATCTTCCCTTCTAAAAGGGTTAAATTAATAATCTTTTTTCTCAAAGTAATGATAAACCTGTGAGTTGGATGTAGAAAAGTCAGAATCAATATAGATGTTTTTTATTTTAAAGAAAATTCAGATTTTACATAGTAAAAAACTGTAAATTATAGTGTCCGTCCAAATATTATTTTTTACTTATAGTGAAAACTACCCTTGAATGATGGTAAGGTAGACTAATGGCGCAGTTCCACTACAGCGCGGAGCTCGCTTTAAGCGTGCCGTGTCGTGCCGTGCCCGTTTTTGGTTGCGCTTCCACGAGGCCTAGTTACGGCCCGGCCCGGCCCGGGGCCACTTTTTCACGTCTTTTCTGGCCCGAGAAAATTGTGGTTCTATCGAGGCCAACAAACAGGGCTGAGTCGGGCTGAGTATGCTAAACGAGAGAGGAGCGCTGGCAAGGGGGGTACAACTACAACAAGATGGACATATTTGACCGTGATTTAATTGTAATACACGTTTCAAAATGATGCCGAAGTAACAACATACTGATACCGGTTAGTAAAAACCATGAATTAATGCTTTGTCAAGTCTGCAGACAGACGGCAGGCGAAAAACCTTTTAAAATGCGTGTTTTTCTAGATGGGGATTGGCTAAGCTAACGCAGTATATGCTCCGACCGTCCACACTCACAACAACGGCCTACAGACATAAATAAAGCAGCGACTGTATTCTGAGAATTTCAGAAATTCTTTTAGCATTTCCAGATCTCAAACACTTTTGCATAACATATACATCAAATGAATAATTACTATACCAGCGTGGTACAGTTATCAAATTAGATGCGTATTTATTATCTGGATCATAGGATTCCTCTCACCTTCAGAGTGGATTTGGGGGTCCTTGCAGCGGTTGTTATCAGAGAGAAATCCGTCGGACGTGAGCTCAGAATCACTTTCTGTCAAAGCTTCACTCTCAGAGAACAGCGTGGCCTCTTCAGTTCCCAGAGCCTGAGACACAGCAAGGGCACAATATTAACTAAAATAAACACAATCACAACATGGGCTGTATTACACAACGTCATCAAAACTAAGCTTTTTTCTATCTTAAAAATTAAGTCAGAATTTTGAGATTTCAGAAAAAAGTTGAGAATTTTGCGATTCTTTGATAAAAGTGAGAATTCTGAGATTTTCCACAAAAAAAGGGGAGAATTCTTATATTTTCAGAAAAAGTGAGAATTCTTTTTTTTTTTATAGATTTCTTAGATAAATCTGAATTTTGAGATTATTTGCTAAAAGTCAGAATTCTGAGATTTTTGATAAAAGTCGGAAATCTGAGATTGTCCTGAAAAAAGGTGATAATTTTTGATAAAAGTCAGAATTCTGAGATTTTCTGATAAATCAGAATTTTGAGATATTTGATAAAAGTCAGAAAATCTGAGATTTTCCTGAAAAAAAGTGACAATTTTGCGATTTTTGGATAAAAGTCAGATTTTTGAGATTTTTCTGAAAAAAAGTGAGAATCCTCAGATTTTGAGGTTGAGAGTTTCTGGAAAAAGGTTGAATTTCTTTTTTGAAACACAATGAATAAGCATGCAAAAAAGAACAGAAAAAGCTCCATCAACCAAATGTTAACATCCGAATGTCATGCTAAGAGTACAGCTTTGAAGTATTCATGAGACAACAACATATATTTTGACACGGCTCCTCTGTTCACTGACCTGGGTAAAAACCTGCTGAGCCTCCAGGGGCGGACAGGGCAGAGACAGCAGGGTCAGAACCAGCTTCCTGAACCCTGATCCGGGCTTGGTGTCTTTCAGTACGCTGGCCCAGTGCTCCTCCAGAGGAACCTAAGATCAGAAGATAAGAAGTACTTTTTATGATACCCATTTGGGACATTTTTGCAGTTGCAGCAGCAGCAGCATACAATCGAAATTAAGAGTACAATATCTCAATAGAAATAAAATAGCATTATGAAAAAAAAGTAGAAAATATACATGTTGAATTACACATTTTTATTTGTATTTACTTGCACTATTTTATTGATTTGATTTATTTCGAATGTGTAAAACAATAACACAAAAATCTAACATGAGAATTATTATACAATACAAAATCAATCAGTGTCAAATTGATATACAAAAATATGACTGATTCTAAATTATATATAAACAGATGATCTACTTAATTACACATCCGAGAAGGGGTGGGAAGAAGTTTACACTTATTTAATCCCACCCTTTCTCCCAAAAACTAAATTACTAACATATATATTTGTTTGTTTCTTAAAGGTAGGGTAGGTAAGAATGGAGAAACCAGCTCGAGTGCGCTAGAATTTGAAAGTATGCAGCCGAAAAAAATCTGCCCTGAGTTTTGTATACCTCGGGACTGTGGGAAACAGTATTTTGATCTTTCTGTGTGTCCAAACATATTTTGAGATTGACAATAAAAGCCTTGAACAATGAATTATATATACATAAGTATGTGTACCTCTGCAGAGTTCTCCCCCTCCTCAGCCTTCTGGTACTCCAGGAATTCAGCGATGAGTTTCTCCACCTCCTCCTCGGAGCTGCAGATTCCCAGCGAAGTCCCGAGTTCCCCGACTGATTTCCCCGTCACTTCCCGTCTGCTCCGAGGGTTCAGCAGCTGAGAGATGCTCCGGAGAGTCTCCTCACCGAGAGGAAGCTTCTCTGCAATGCAACCTGCAGGTAACAGGAACATTTATAATGTATAATAAGAGACGCCTCTACATAGTCTGTTCTTAAAACCCGCCTCTTCTCCTTAGCGTTCAACACTTTTTAGCTTTTAAATTGTATATTGCTTTTACTATCTGGCTGTTGTGGTTTTACTTATTTTACGGTACGTCCACACGGCAGCGTGCGTTGAAGCTTGCCGGTGGGCGTGCGACCAACAACCAATCACATTAATCTCCCGCCCCGGACACACAAGCATGCGGTTTGATTGGCTAGAGCTTGTACTGGCATATGATTTGATTGGCTGGCGCTTCCGTCGAAGCTTGAAAAGTTGAACTTTTCTCAGATTTCGAAGCGAGCAACGGAGGCAAAGCAACGCGACGGAACCACAACGCAGTTCGGCAAAGCCTGATGTCACCCCATTCAAAGTGAAGGGGAAGCGTCTCCGTTGAAGCACGTGACGCTGCCGTGTGGACGTACCGTTATGGTTTGTGAGCTGAGCTTTGTGATTTTTGTATTTTATTCTGTTGGTCTTATTTGTATTTTATATCTGTTGGTCTGGAGGTTTTAAAGTGCTTTACCAATAAAACTGTATAATGTCACAACTATGTAAAAGAAAAGAAATGCAACTCACAGTGTTAACCTGAAAATCATCAGAATACTGTTCTTTAAAGTGGACCTATCATGCTATATTTGAATAATATAGGGTAGGACCATACCTATATAAGGCATATTTATACTTTTTTTTTTTCAAAATACCAAACAGATCATGCATTTTAGCCATGCCTCATTTTGCTCAATTTGACATTTTTTAGATCTGTTTTAGCAAGGGCTGATTCTGTGAGAACAGCACCACCTACAGGCCTGGCATATGTACTACAGCGTCTCCAGCGCTTTCGAACGGCAATGGCCGTGGCTGTCTCCTCCTGATTGGTGGAGTTGGCCAAATAGCCGTAGCGCCACCGTCCTGACGCCAGGAAAGTGTTCAAATCTGGATCAGTTTTTATCAGATCCGTTGCAGCCCCTTTTTTAGAGATTTGGGTATGGAGGAAAATAGAGAGGGTTGTGTTTTCTGACACTTGGTGAGTTCCCTGGAACACCGGGGACACATATTCATGTATAAAAGACGTACAAAAGTGCATTTTGCATGATAGGTCCCCTTTAAACAAAACTACTGAAACCCACTGGTACCACTTTAACTTAGAAAGACATAATTATTTTTCTTGCAAACCACGCCAATCTGAATTTTCCAAACAAATTGTCTGTTTTTTAGTGGACATCCTTTTATGTGAAAAAAAAGCTACAATGGCCGTACTATATCAATTGTTTAATGCTCAAATAAAAGACAAGTCGGATTTGTAATCTTGAACATATTAATGATTATCTTTACAATAGAAAATGTGAAGTTTTGGTTGTTGCTGTGTTTTATATATTTTAAGTGTGTTGTTTTTGTGATTTTTAACATGTTAAGTGCCCGAAAAGCGCTCTGTAAATAAAACATATTATTATTACTTTATGGCGATCTGCAATAAGATAACAAATCATCTGATCCGTACCTGTGAGTGCGGCGTAGAAAGACAGCGCCTCCTCCTCGAACAGAGCCTCAGACTCCTTCAGGAAGTCTTCCACTGCTTTCCCTCCCAGATTGATCTCAGCACCAGACAGATGGAAACGCTTGTCTTTAAGGATTTGGGCGTCTCGTTCCTTGAGGAATCGATCAGCAGCTTCAGGACGGAGGAAGTATGAGGTGTAGGTGCTCAGCAGTTTACTGGCCTCCTGCAGGATGAGCGGCATGTCGGCTCGGTCCACTTCCTCCTCCGTCTGCAGGCGACTCTGGAAACTGTGCAGAGGTTTTAAAGCGTGCTGCAGGAACAGAAACGTGGCTCTGACTTTGGGATCCTGCAGCTGGGAGCAGACGGACTTGACTTTCTCATCTTCGCCGTCACAAGACTTAAAGTATACGATGAGATCCGTCCATACTTCCAATATTTTAGTGACTAACAGGCAGAACTTAAGGCAGCCGGAGTTGAGATCAAACGGATCGTCTGCACTGATGTCTGAGCCGAAAACAGCCGCGAGGTCATCGTTCTTCGTAGAGCAGGAGGAGTGGTGGGTGTGCATGTCTACCATCAACTCTTGGACCTGATTGGAGAGCTCCTTGATCCCAGCGTGGCAGGAAGCATCAGCGATGGCGTACAGCCCTCCTATAGCAACTATATTGGGGTTGAGTTCCCTGAGTTGTGTGCAGATCTGCTCCGAATCATCATCAGAATAAACAGCCACGAGGTTATCCGTGTGCAACCCGAACTTCTTCACCGTCTCCACCACCGCCGCGGCTGTTTTTTTCTCTCCGGCGCTATCCTCCGACTGAAGAGCATCTAGAAATTGGAAGCAGTGCCCGGAGGCGTCGACGTCAAAAAACCCAACGAGGACCACGGACACGGTGTCGTCTTTTCCCAGCGGTTCCCCTCCGAAGATGTACAGGCAGTAAGGCGTGTGCTGGCAGGCGGAGGTGATATCTTTGGGATACTGAGACCCCAAACGACAGCGAGCAAAGAGTCGAGCCTTGTGTTCAGATTTAGCAGGGCCGGTGTAGCAGTGCTTGTTGATGAAGCTAATGGCGGCGTCGCTACACGGCAGCGTTTCGGACAGCTGGCTCTGCCTCGCGGTCCTCTGGTAGATTAGAGTCCTTTTCTTGTGTTTGTTAGTGTCCGCATGTCGCCGGAGTTCAACAGGGCCTCTCGCTAATGTCTTCAGGCTGCGTTTGCAGGAGCGGCAGTAGGTGTAGTTATCTCCGAGAGGACTCTGGTCGGCCCAGTCGTAAATATACATCCACTTTTCATTGAAAAGGAAACTACCGGATGAGCTCTGGAAATCCTCTGACAAAGCGAGAGAGAAACATTTCGGTTAATGTGAAAACCACAATGTGCTGCGTCATGTTATAATTAGTACATTTAAATTGCATTTATCTGACTCTAAGGACAACGAGAACAGTGCCGACATATTCACTTGGTTACTAAAACCCTTTATGAACACACTTTTTTAGACTGTAAGTTAGGGCTGTGCAATTAATCGTATTTTAATCGCAATTACGATTTTGGCCTGGCACAATTACGAAAACAACATAATCGAATTAAACAATTATTTTGCTTTGCTAGGTTGTGACAGTGCAACATATTTGATTAATTTTGGTCTAATTTATTTGTATTTACCATATTTTTTATATATGATAAGTAGCTTTTGGAAGTGCGCTCCTAAATATTTGTTGATCTTGTTTATTGGTATTTATTATTTTGATATTATTTATTTAAAGTTTTTCCGTTGAATTATACGTTCAGGGTAATCAACAGTTATAAGATACTGTTCAAATTATTATTTGTATTTGTTTTAAAGTTCAATAAATGGATGTTTTCAAAGTCAATGAATAATCGTATTTAATAATCGTGATATCAATTATTGACCAAAATAATCGTGATTATGATTTTTGCCATAATCGCACAGCCCTACTGTAAGTGTAAATATGCACATTGACATTGAATTTGATCTCATTGCGCTGTCATCGCTACGACCTCTGCTTCTACCACTCTCATTCATTTATTGTGTCTATTTGTTACTGCAGTGAGAGTTGCCAAAGAAATGTCGTTGTACTTCGTATGATGACAATAAATATATATTCTATTCTATTTAAACAAGCAGACCATTGTGAGTGCTGCTGCATCAGTTAAACTCTGAAGTGCTTCTCTATCTAAACAGGTGACACAGTGAAAGAAAGTATAAGTTACCTATAAGCAGGTTAGTGGTTGCGACAGTGGGGCTGATGTTCTTTCCCCCCCGAGCTCTCACAGGGTCGTACCCTTGCCTTTTCTGATTGGCCAGGTAGAGAGCTCTGAACCACTTTATGAACTCGAAGTTGATTTGAGACTCCCCTCGTATGAGCTCCACGATTGGAATTGTCTAAACCAAGACAAAAAGACAACATTTAGGAATTAAAACAACTTCCATATTGCACATCAAGGGTGTAGTTTAACATTGCAGGTAGCATTCGTAGCAGAGAGTTATGGCGCATTTCCACTGCAGGGCCTCGCACTGCTTAGTACGGTATGGTTAGGCCTTGGTAGGCCAGGCTCACTTTATGCTGCGTTTCCATTACAGTTTAGTAGCTGGGGCAGTAACTATAGTAACGCAGTGTAGGCGGAGCCGTGACGTCATCTTCAATGCGAAACACAAAACCAACATCAGCCGTTAGCTGTTAGCACTCAGAGCTCACAGCTCCTCATATATGTTCAGAAACTAGACACAAGTTAAACAAGTACAAACCACAGACTGCCTGTGTCATGGTGAATACAGTCGCTGCTTTATTTATGTCTGTATAGGCCGTTGTTGTGAGTGTGGACGGTCGGAGCATATACAACGTTAGCTTAGCCGATCTCCATTCAGAAAACACGCATTTTAAAAGGTTCTTCGCCTGCCGTCTGTCTGCAGACTTGTCAAAGCATTAATTCATGGTTTTTACTAACCGGTATCAGTATGTTGTTACTTCGGCATCATTTTGAAACGTGTATTACAATTAAATCACATCAAATATGTTCATCTTGTTGTAGCTGCCAGCGATTCTCTCACTAGTTTAGCATACTCAGCCTGGTTGTTGGCCCGGAAAGAACCTCGATTTTGGAAAGCCAGAAAACTGTGAAAAAGTACCCGCTAGCCGGAACTACGCCAAGTGGAAACGCAACCAAAAACGGGCCGGGCACGGCACGCTTAAACCGCGCTGTAGTGGAAATGCGCCATTAGATGAGAGCAACTCATATTTCTGCACCAAGTATTGTTTTATTTGTGATCTGGGGGAATGCACAGCTCCTCCGTCAATCACTTTATTCCTCATTTAACCGTAATTGTACACACAGAGATACTGTGACCACAAACAAAACATTGTGTTCACGCGTTTCTGTGTAACATAACAAAATATGTTGTCATGTTGGTTAACAGAAAGCCTGAACTCCAAGTAGCCCACTTTTAGGTGAACACTTTTCTTGTTTTTTGTTGGGTTAAAGTCTGATATGGTTTCAGCATTTGGTGCCCTCGATAAGATATAGAAAGACAAATAAACAAATTATAAATAGTTTGACATTTTGCCCACACCAAAAAGGCTAGAAACTGGAGGAAACAGTTAGCTAGATTGTAGGTTCAAAGGTATGAAATCTACCAATCAGCACGTCTCAAGAAACTGTAATGTGTCTCTACTAATAAGAGATAGCATACCTTAGAGATGCTGCTCTTGTCGAAAGCCTTGCAGAGGAGACCGAAGTTGTGCATACAGTCGTCGTCACTTTGCACATCAAACTTCACCTGGGTCATGTCCACAGAGTCGGGAACGACCAAGTCCATCATCTGACATTGGCACGCACCTGCAGAATAAACACAGATGGGTTAGAAAGAGGTGTCGGTAGAACTGAGACCTGTACTACGAAGCTGGTTCAACTTAACCTGGATATGTTTGAGTTAGCCGGTTGGCCCAATCCAAAACATACGCGCTCTCGCTAAACTGTATTACGACGCTGGTTATCAAGTGGATCGCTCAAGCCAGCCGTGTCCTATCTAGTTAGGTGCGCGTTCACATGAAAGGGGTGGTATTTGGAGCATTCGACCAATCACAAACACGGACAAGCGTTCTGACAGCGCAGCGTCATACTTCCTGAATGAAAAGTGAACTTTAATATTAGTCAAATATGAAGAAGTTAAACTTTAAACATCCATGACTTAAACACTTTATCCAGGATCAAAGCCACATAGCTGCACCTGCAAGGTGAATACAGCTGGTAAAAGAAAAAGTGTTTGAATGCGTACATTAACAGGTTTATGAAATCACTGCCCCGTCCAAGACACGAGTGGATCTGACTTTAATTACATTTGACTCGAGTGTTTCGTCAATTTAATGTGTTGCTTAAAATAATACTTCTGCATACAGTATGTGACACTGTGAGTGTTGCACGGCCAGATACGGCTCAGCTGACTCAGATAAGGAAATATATGATACATTATGATGTGATATGATATGAATGATAATGGGACACATCGACGTCTGCACTCACAGTGCCGCGGACTGTACTTAATGTTACTCTGATCCGGTTACTTATGTCGTGGCAGATATTTAAGTAAGCTTTCTTAACGCTAATGTTATAATAGTCAGATTGCTCTGAAGATGGGAGGGGATATTCTATTCATTTTCACGTTCACACTGTCAGTTGATTTTTGCCGGCCGTCTTTCCTGCAACGGCAGTTTTTCTGTATTTCCTCTATCCTGTAATATGACTTGATCGCTTTAAACTCCGCACACGGAGCTCTGATTGGTCAGCAGGCGGTGCTTTCACTGAGTTGATCTCTTATGGCGCATTTCCACTACACGGTCGGCCTCGGCCACACTCGGTACGGCTCGGTACGGCTTGGCCGCGTTGGGCCTTAACAGGGCCGACTCACTTCATGCTGCGCTTCCATTACAGTTTAGGAACTGGGGTAGTTACTATAGTAACGCAGTGTAGGCGGAGCCGTGACGTCATCTTCAATGAGAAATCCAGAAACACAACACAGCTGTTAGCTGTGAGCACTCAGAGCTCACAGCTCCTCATATATGTTCAGAAACTCGACAAAAGTTAAACAAGTACACACCACAGACTGCCTGTGTCATGGTGAATACAGTCGCTGCTTTATTTATGTCTGTATAGGCCGTTGTTGTGAGTGTGGACGGTCGGGGCATATACTGCGTTAGCTTAGCCAATCTCCATCTAGAAAAACACGAATTTTAAAAGGTTTTTCGCCTGCCGTCTGTCTGCAGACTTGACAAAGCATTAATTCATGGTTTTTACTAACCGGTATCAGTATGTTGTTACTTCGGGCATCATTTTGAAACGTGTATTACAATTAAATCACGGTCAAATATGTCCATCTTGTTGTAGTTCTAGCCCTCTTGCCAGCGCTCCTCTCTCTAGTTTAGCATACTCAGCCCGACTCAGCCCTGTTTGTTGGCCCCGATAGAACCACAATTTTCTAGGGCCAGAAAAGAGGGGAAAAAGTGGCCCCGCGCCGTGCCGCGCCGGAACGAGGCCTAGTGGAAGCACAACCAAAAAAGGGGACGGCACGACACGGCACGCTTAAAGCGAGCTACGCGCTGCAATGGAAATGCGCCATTAGCCTGCAACCTAACCTGCTCCGGAGCAGGTTAGCCGCTCAGCATAAGTTACCATGGAGATCTAGCCCGCTAAAAAGAGAACCAGCGTCGTAGGACCGGAAAGCCCGAGTTTTCCCTGAAGTCAGCCGCTAAGAGAACATCCAGCTTCGTAGTACAGGCCTCTGGTGTTTTTTCATCGCAGTGAGGATATAACGCTGTGCTGAACAAGGGCTAACCCCAAAGAAAGATTTTGATTTTGGCATAATATCTGCTCAGACTGATGAGTTACCTGAACCCATCTGTCGCACATCTTTGAATTGGGTCTTCAGCAGGTTGTTTATCCAGACCACCAGATAGTGACGGCTGCTTTTATCTTTGTTGTTGGACTCCGGAGTCACAAGCACTGGACTCGCCATCTCGCAGCTCTCTGAGAAAAAAGAAAGCTTAGATTAACGATTGAACATGCTCATGACTTTGAAAGTGAGGTATAATTTAAATCACGAAATGTTGTACATTGGCTGTGGCTCAGCTGTAGTTCAGCAGGCAGGAGTTTTGCCAATTTTATTCCAATTACTATTATTAAATCCCAGTTTAACCTGTAACCAGTTCCTGTGATTAATATTACCGTTACCATCCATTGTGAGACTTTTTACATTAATAGTCTTCTTTTTGTCCGTTCATATCATGGATTTGTTGGTAAATAATTGTTTTGCATTGCATTTACATGTTTACTGAAGCCAGGATTGCAAAAATGCCAAGATTGTGGATGCATGAAGTGAAAGAAGAGAGAAAAATGTGTGTATTTAATTAATAAACTCAAACCATTGTTTACCATTTGTGTTATTATCTGTAATACTGCATAGTAATAATTTATGGAGATGTAAAAAAGGTAGCTTTACCTCAATGCAGAACATGTAGTTATATAAAACGTAAAATATGTCCATATGAAATGTAGTAGAATAGAAGATTAAAGTAGCAGGACATGGAAATACTGAAGTAAAGCACATCAAACTCGGATCTCTGTGCAACTATATCATTAATATAACACCCACAGACAGGCATTAGTCTTCAGTTGAGTCTTTCTGTGATTCAAACCAAACTACAAAAGGCCACCACCACATTGTTATTCATTCGTAAAACATGGCTGCCTGTCATTATTACCAAAGCCAGTGTTACCCCCCCCCCCCTCATGCCTGACTGCCAGGGATAGGGTGGGGGGTGAGACTGGGACAGTGGATGGGTTATTCTAATCCCCTTTAGTCTGATTGTGGAGGACAAAGACTGGGTGCTTTCTGTCAAATATCTAATTTCAGTGGTTTGGTTGTATCTTGTTTCCTCGCCATGTGTGTACATTAAAACAGCGATCTGGGTGTTAAGAGAGCCACGCTGCTGCTGTTTCTCCTCCCCTTCCTCCTCAATGTATAGAAGATGAAATCTCGCGTTGTCTATTTTTTGCCGCGAACATCCCCCAGTGAAATCAACTTTCACTTACAAGGAAACAGGAGCTTTAACATAAGATCCTGCTACTTTTCGTGCAGAAATAACAAACAAATGCAATGCACCGGAAGGTTTACAGTAACTGCCATGTCGACCGGCATGTTAGTTTCAATAATCCCGGTTTGTCTACAGCAGATCACATTGCATGCATGGTGCAGGGGCTGTAGCCTGTCTTTATAATATTTACGTTGGAAGCAAGAAGCCAAAAGTCACACAATCAAACAGCCGTTTAAGATAATGTAATAACAGCTGATTATCATTGCATATGCACGTTATTACAGCACTGGAAATCAATGAACTAAAAGTAAATTGCCGTCATTATTAGGAAGTCAAATGATCCAATCTGCTTTTGTATCGCCTTTGAGCTGCTCTTTGTTTTTTTTACCCTACAAAAGGCTGGATTTACAACAACACAGGACAATAAAGGCTGTAACAACACAATCCTGCGCTCGTAACCCGTGCAAAAACTGCGTTAAGAGGAGAGAGCCTCGGTTTAATATATGGTTTTGTTGTGTGCATGCATAGCAGATAATATCGAATGTAACTCACCTCGCCGTTTCGTAGAAACAGATGCTGAACATTAGCTTCCTCCCGAAGCACATTTTCCTTGTGACGTCCTCTCTAGCCGGGAATGATCCATTGGACGACCGAGGCAGGAGGCTGTCCCGTAGAGAGACCCGCTAGCTAACGTCCCCGTCCGGGAGTACGAAACCCCCCTCCCAACCCGCCCCCAACAAGAACACAGCCTGCTTAATAATTAATCAAATGTATGTTAATGCTAGCTTAACAAGAAATAAATATCGCCGAGGTGCAGTTACTCCCCTAACAATGATGCCGATTAATAATGAACTAGTCCATACTTTGCTAGCTTACGGTCATCTGATCTAACACCGATTGTCAGAACTGACAAACGTGCTAACGAGCTAGCTGTTGGAGTACTTTAAAGTTCGCAGCTTCCAATACAAACTAACGTTCGCCTAACATGTTGAATATAACACCTCTACACGAATAGCATTTCAATTAATTATATCATGGTGATAAGCACAATAGTTGATTCTACCTTCATTTTTGTTAGTACGGAAGAGAAGTCTTTATAGCAACACAAATGCGATGTTATAATCGGAGGGGCTTTGGTATCGGTCTTACTAGCGAATTAACCGTGTATATGTCGCCAGTTGAAATATTAAATATTACATGATTGTTAGCTTTGCCTGCTGACTTTACATAAAGTCGGCTGTAACCGTTTTACGATACCAGTTTTCACAAACCGTAATAACAGCTGTTTCTTTAACGGCCCATCTTATGTACCGACAGTTGTAACAGAGTAATGGCGGCGGCGCTGTTTCAGGCCAAAAGGTGAACGTAAATACTTTTTATAGCCACAAAAAATGCGATATGTTATAAGCGAACCTTAACCTGAATATCGGCTATGGTTAGTTTCGGTCATATTGGCTCATTAATGGTGGTGGATATGTCACATATTGAACACTGAATATAAAATAAATACGGATCGGCCGTGTCCGTCTAACGATACCAGTTTTCACACACATTAATAATGGCAGTAACGGTTGTTGTTTGGATATTAGGCTGATATTAGGTATGTTTCCTTATCGCATGAACCGACCGATATAACAGTAATGGCGGCGGCGCTGTTTCGGGACAAAATGTGGACGGAGAGACGATCTTTTGCCACAAAATGGGATGTTATCATAGATGGTATATATAAAGGATGCTATAAGCGAACCTTAACCTGGATATCGAACAGCTATGGTTAGTTAGTTTTGATCAAACTAGCTAATTAACGGTTGGGATGACGCATAATGAAACATTGAATGAATGGTGATTTCCGACTCCTGACTGTAGATAAAGTCGGCTGTATTAACGGCAGTTTCGTTCGTAAGGTCTGTTTCTAAACTGTCCATATTATGAACCGAGTCGACCGTCGGTTGTAACGAAGTAATGGCGGCGGCACTGTTTCAGACCAACAGGTGGACGTAGAGACGTTTTATAGCCACAAAAATGGCGACTTTTTAAGCGAACCTTAAACTGAGTAGGCCTATCGGCTTTGGTTAGTTTCGATCATAGTGGTGGATATGTCGCCTGTTGAAAAATGGAATATAAAACAATGGTGACTTCCTCCTACTTATTCTAGATTAAGACGACGGTTACCGTTTAACGACAACAGTTTTATACACATTAATTAACGACTGTTCCGGTAGTCGTTTTGATACAAGGTCTGTTTCTTTCGACCGTTGTAACAGAGTAATGGCGGCGGCAGTGTTTCAGACCAACAGGGGGACGGACTGTTACAGCAGATAACGATCAACAAGATGGCTTTTACCTTATTAATAACAAAACAGGTCGCGGTCGCGGACTCAAAATATGAACCGACATCTTCGTATTACTGTCAACAAATAAATGACTGAATATAAAGCTACCCTGCGCAGACAATATGGCGCCTATTGGGCCATTTTGTGAAAGGACAAGAAGCCATTTCATAATCTGAACCTAGAGTCAAACAACATGACGCTCAGGCCTAAACTGTCTATTTAAGCCTATTTTAAGTATATATTTATTTATTTGACTGATAAGCCCTTTCTTAAAACAATTTAGCATTTTGTTAAGGCATTTTAAGGATTTCTGATTTCAACATGAATACAAAAAATACTAAGAAAACCTCCTAGGGAACTAATTTTAATTATAAAAGTTCCTTTATTATCATCCCGTATTCATTTAGACCCTTCAAACAACATTTGACATGCGCAGTTACACGTCAGAGTTTGCTTTTAGGTCTTAAATTACATGATAATAAAGACGATTTAGAAATAACTAAATATTAGTCTGGGCATTAGGCTATGATACAGTAGGCCTACTGGTTAGAAACCTGGTAGGCTATTAGGATTGGCATTTAACGCCAAACACCAGCAGTTTTACAGATTGTCAGCAGTCAGAGGATGGTACATCCCCTAGCTGTTACATACAGGGTTTCACTAAAAGACCATCAATAAATTACAATTTAAATGACCCAAAACTGATGTTATTTTCAATACCTCCGTGCTTGCCCATATTAGTGAAAACTATGCAAAAAGAAATTAAAAGTATCTTTTGTGGCAAACATTTTTTGATTACTGCTTGATATAAATATTTGAATAGAAAATGATATCAGTTTTTATCAAAGCTTCCATGTCATGTGACCCATTGACTCCCGATCCATATCATATATTGTAACTTCACAGGACAACACTTCTTTATATTGGATTTTCCTCATAATACAATAATTAAAGGCCTATACTTTAACATTTCCCATCTCCGTCATATGTGAGCTTTAGAGAGGAGGGTACTGAGAGTCACTGAAGAGGTCAGGGGTTAATGTGTGTGTCTGAATTTATGTTCAAGCTATAATAATAATGTGAGTAAATGGTTAGAGATGAGGCCAAAAGGCTGGACTCTGATGGCTGTGTGTTCAGACGTTCATCGTACCGCAGTATTTATTTATGGACAGTGCATCCCTTAATGTTAAAATGCTCTTACAGTGTGAAATATGGCTTTAATACTGAACACAACGAATGGTCCCTGAATGTGTGTTTATGATGTCATTATGAAGATAACTCTGCAGTGAGTAGATCCACTCAGTGTTCGCCTACAGCGGGGTCACGGGGGTCGGTGTGGGGGTGGGGGGGCTTTGTTTTCTCTAGCCCATCCTCCCAGTGTCCGGATAATCAAAATGTTCACTTTCCTCCATGTGGCTGACACTCAGTGACCGTGTAATAGTAGAGAAGGGGTAAACGTGTGTGTAATCTTATTAAAAGGGTAAAACATTTATAAAGAGATCAATACTTTGCTTTATAGGTTCATCATACGCTGGGTTCAGAGGTCAGATAAAGGAATTTGGGAGTCTTAATTGTAACCATGCTGACAAAAGGAGGAAGAAAAGCCACCCTCAATTCCTCTGGTCTGAATGACTGGTGCAACAAAGTCCAAGAAAACACTTGGTCGAGTGGAATGAAAGGCAAAGACTTTTGTTGATAAATTAACCTTTATTTTATTTACCCACAAGAGAGTCTCACTAACATTGAAAATTAAGTTCACCCTTAAATTGATCATTTGTACATTCAAGTGTTGTAAAAAATTGAATGAATTGAAGTAATTGGGTCCGCATTTAACAACATAAACACTATATGAAAAGATATGTGTATTGCAGAATCATTTGAGTCTCATATATCCAGTCTATGCACTCCTTCACAAACACACAACTTTTTACTAAAACACGCCTGCACATGCTTGAGATTGTTTATTCTAATATTGAGTAAGGGTTTATTGTTTGTAAAGATTTATAATATACCCCAAGACCGAATCCGCCTATTTTGAGCTTCACAATGGCTTTTCATAAAGCTATGGGTGATGCGACTTATACCTCCATATTTTATACAGTCTATTATAATGATACAATGATTTAATACTAGGAATGACATTGCTATTTAAATAACAGTTAATTATATTTCTACAACTTCAAATCATGTTTATTGCATAAAACAGTAGTTTAGTTCAGGCAGTCAACTCGAGCACCAATCATACATTAACATGTGACGCACCTCGTCCCTCTTACAACCAACCAAACACATTCTCCTAAACATGCCACTCTATTTAAGCTGCCAGGTCTTCCTGCCTCTGCCTCGCTCATGCTGCTGCTGCACTGCTGTGTTCACTTGCTTTGTTACGTTCATGTTCCTGCTGCTGTGTTTCATGTTGCTGCTGCTCGCCTGCCCCACCACCACCCCAGCTTCCACCCCAGCTTCCACCCCAGCTTCACCCCAGCTTCCACCCCAGCTTCCACCCCAGCTTCACCCCAGCTTCCACCCCAGCTTCCACCCCAGCTTCCACCCCAGCTTCCATCCCAGCTTCCACCCCAGCTTCCACCCGCTTCCACCCCAGCTTCCACCCCAGCTTCCACCCCAGCTTCCACCCCAGCTTCCATCCCAGCTTCCACCCCAGCTTCCATCCCAGCTTCCACCCCAGCTTCCACCCCAGCTTCCACCCCAGCTTTCCACTCCAGCTTCCACCTCAGCTTCCACCTCAGCTTCCACCCCAGCTTCCATCCCAGCTTCCACCCAGCTTCCACCCCAGCTTCCACCCCAGCTTCCACCCCAGCTTCCACCACCAGCTTCCACCACCAGCTTCCACCACCAGCTTCCACCCCAGCTTCCACCCCAGCTTCCATCCCAGCTTCCACCCCAGCTTCCACCCCAGCTTCCACCACCAGCTTCCACCCCAGCTTCCACCCCAGCTTCCACCCCAGCTTCCACCCCAGCTTCCACCCCCAGCTTCCATCCCAGCTTCCACCTCAGCTTCCACCCCAGCTTCCACCACCAGCTTCCACCCCAGCTTCCATCCCAGCTTCCACCCCAGCTTCCACCCCAGCTTCCACCTCAGCTTCCACCCCAGCTTCCATCCCAGCTTCCACCCCAGCTTCCACCCCAGCTTCCACCCCAGCTTCCACCCCAGCTTCCACCACCAGCTTCCACCACCAGCTTCCACCACCAGCTTCCACCCCAGCTTCCACCCCAGCTTCCATCCCAGCTTCCACCCCAGCTTCCACCCCAGCTTCCACCACCAGCTTCCACCCCAGCTTC